GCCCAAACCACCTCAACTGGCTCCTTTCGATCCGGAAGAGCAACGGTTCTACTCCGAGTCCCTCCCGAATGTCCGAGCTCCTCACCCTATCTCTAAGGCTGAGCCCGGCAACCCTACGAAGGAAACTCATTTCGGCCGCTTGTATCCGCAATCTCGTTCTTTCGGTCATTACCCAAAGGTCATGACCATAGGTGAGGATTGGAACGTAGATCGACCGGTAAATCGAGAGCCTGTCTTTCTGGCTCAGCTCCCTCCTCACCACGACAGATCGGCTCAGCGTCCGCATCACTGCAGATGCTGAACCAATCCGCCTGTCGATCTCCCGATCCCTCCTACCCTCACTAGTGAACAAGACCCCGAGATACTTAAACTCCTCCACTTGAGGTAGGACCTCTCCCCCGACCCGGAGTAGGCAAGCCACCCTTTTCCGGTCGAGAACCATGGTCTCAGATTTGGAGGTGCTGATCCTCATCCCAGCCGCTTCCCACTCGGCCACAAACCTACCCAGCAAGAGCTGAAGGTCAGAACTGGATGAAGCTAGGAGGACCACATCATCCACAAAAAGCAGAGACGAGGTTCTCCTGCCACCAAATTCGACACACTCCACACCACGGCTGCGCCTAGAAATTCTGTCCATAAAGGTAATGAACAGAACCGTTGACAAAGGGCAGCCCTGGCGGAGTCCAACCCTCACTGGGAACAGGTCCAACTTACTACCGGCTATGCGGACCAAACTCACACTCCTCTGGTAAATGGACTGACTGGCCCTTAACAGAAAGCCACCCAACCCATACTCCTGGAGTGTCCCCCACAGGGTGCCCCTGGGGACACGGTCATAAGCCTTCTCCAAATCCACAAAACACATGTGGATTGGTTGGGCAAACTCCCATGACCCCTCCATCACCCTTGCAAGGGTATAGAGCTGATCCACAGTTCCATGGCCAGGATGAAAACCACGTTGCTCCTCCTCAATCTGAGATTCAACTATCGATCGGACCCTCCTCTCCAGTACCTTGGAGTAGACCTTTCCAGGGAGGCTGAGGAGTGTGATCCCCCTATAGTTGGAACACACCCTCAAGTCACCCTTCCTAAAGATGGGGACCACCACCCCGGTCTGCCACTCCACTAGCCTAGTGAACTAGACCAAATTTTTGCTTTGCAAAGTTTGGTCTAGGCATGCTCCATTGGAACCTCAGCAGCTCCTACCAGGACTCTGGCAAGCCAATCACAACTCTCTAGAGGGGTTTCAAACACATAAAGAGCTGTGATTGGTCCATAATGGTGGGCCAATCATAGTGCTCTATCTGCTTAATGAACAAATCACAGAGCTTTATCCGCTTTGTGGGCCAATCAGGGCACTCTATATGCCTGGTGGGTGAGACGATGCAACAGAGTGAAACAAGAGTATGTCACATTCATTGTCCAGTGGAATGCGGAGATCATTTGAAAGACAACGGTAGAACCCGCCCCACAACCGAGAGCCGTCAATGGAGCGTGGCCAGACTAAATAATACATTTATTTAGTCTGGCTTGCCAGGCTACCATTCCACAGGAACTGCCCCCAATTACCATGCAATGTTGCAGAGATGTATCAACCATGACAGCCCTACAACATCCATAGCCTTGAGATACCCAGGACAAATCTCATCCACTCCTGGGGCTCCGCCGCTGTGTAGTTGTTTGACTACCTCAGCAACTTCTGCCCCCGAGATTGGACAGTCCATCCCCAGGTCTCCCGGCTCTGGTTCCTCCTCGGAATGCACGTAGGTGGGATTGAGGAGCTCCTCAAAGTATTCCTTCCACCGTCCGACTATAGCCCCAGTTGACGTCAGCAGCTCCCCATCCCCACTGTAAACAGTGTGAGTGAGTTGCTACCTTCCTCTCCTGAGGCGCCGGACAGTTTGCCAGAACCTCTTTGGAGCCGATCGATAGTCTTTCTCCATGGCCTCACCAAACTCCTCCCACACCCGAGATTTTGCCTCGGCAACTGCCACTGCTGCACCCCGCTTGGCTATCCGGTACCTGTCTGCTGCCTCCGGAGACCCACAGACCAGCCACGCCCTGTAGGCCTCCTTCTTCAGCCTGATGGCTCCCCGAACCTCTGGTGTCCACCAGCGGGTACGGGGGTTGCCACCACGACTGGCACCGGCCACCTTGCGACCACAGCTAGCAACAGCCGCCTCAACAATCGCAGAGTGGAACAAGGCCCACTCGGAGTCAATGTCCCCCACTGCTCTCGGGACGCGGTCAAAGCTCTGCCGGAGGTGGGAGTTGAAGACCGTCTTGACAGGTTCTTCTGCCAAGCGTTCCCAGCAGACCCTCGCTATGCGTTTGGGTCTGCCAGGTCTATGGGGCATCATCCCCTGCCATCTGATCCAATTCACCACCAGGTGGTGATCAGTTGACAGCTCTGCTCCTCTCTTCACTCGGGTGTCCAAAACATACAGCCGCAGGTCAGATGATACGACTACAAAGTCTATCATCGACCTGCGACCTAGGCTGCCCTGGTACCAAGTGTACCGATGGGCATCCTTATGTCCTTGCACAGAAGTCCAATAACGAAACACCACTCGAGTTCAGATCAGGCGGGCCGTTCCTCCCAATCACACCCCTCCAGGTCAAGCTGTCATTGCCCACGTGAGCATGGAAGCCCCCCAGCAGGACAATAGAGTCCCCTGATGGAGCACTATCTAGCACTCGTCCCAGGGACTCCAAAAAGGGTGGGTACTCTGAACTGATATTTGGCCCATAAGCACAAACAACAGTCAGGACCTGTTCCCCGACCCGAAGGTGCAGGGAAGCTACCCTCTCGTCCCCCAGGGTAAACCTCAACACACAGTCAGAGAGTCTTGGAGCTAACAAAAAGCCAACCCCAGCCCTCCGCCTCTCACCCAGAGCAACTCCAGCAAAAGAGAGTGTCCAACCCCTCTCAAGGACTTGGGTTCCAGAGCCAATGCTATGTGTCGAGGTGAGTCCGACTATATCTAGCCGGTACCGCTCACCTCTGCCACAAGCCCCTGCTCCTTCCCCGCCAGCGAGGTGACGTTCCATGTCCCAAGAACCAGTTTTCTTGTCCAGGGATCGGACCGCCAAGGCTCCCGCCTCGGTCTGCCACCCGATCCACACTACACCGGACCCTTCATGTTCCTCCTGCGGGTGGTGGGTCCACAGTTGGATGAGCCCATGTATCCGGTTCGGGCTGGGCCCGGCCGGGCCCCATGGGCGAAAGCCCGACCACCAGGCACTCGCTCACGGGCCCCAACCCCAGGCCTGGCTCCAGGGTGGGACCCCGGTAACCCTCCGGGCCAGGTACTCCGACTCTTTGAATTTACATCCATGAAAGATCCTGTGAACCGTTCTTTGTCTCACCCTTCACCTAAGACCAATTTGTCATGGGAGACCCTACCAGGGGCACAAAGTGCCCCAGACAACATAGCTCCTAGGATCATTAGGGCACTCAAACTCCTCCACCACGATAAGGTGACAGTTCAAGGAGGAGTGTTATTAAAGGAAAACATTTAATTTATAAAGAAAAATAAATAACAATAAAGATCATAATAATTATCAATTTATGAAGAAAAGAAGAAAAAAAACAATAAAAAGGGGTTGGAGGAACAAAAAGCAGTTAGAACTATAGAATAGAATAGAATAGAATAGAATAGCAGGAATCACATTCACAACAGGAGCAAAGAACTAAAATATAGAAAGAATAAAACATTGCATATTGAATAAAAAACACAAGTGCAAAAGAAACCTAAATGTTCAGTTGAATTTACATTTTGAAAATAAAATGTGTAAAAAAAACTAGCAGATTATTATATGAAGAAAGGAGAAGGAAATAAAGAAAATCTTTTACATAGCGCTTGTGGAAGACAGAAGACGGGAGTTCCCAGATTCTGGGGGCGTGGCGACTGGACGCTGGCTGGTGCTTGTCAGGCGTGATGAGGCTGGAGAGGAGAAAAGGGTGGCAGATCTACCAAGGTGTGTGTGTGTGTGGTCGACCTGTCATTGTGGCACCCGGTTCTGGGGGGTGGGATCATTCGCAGTTGGTTAGGACTGCCGGCGATGAAGACAGTTGAGAAGGTGGGCAGTGTTCCAGCGCTAGGAGGGGAGGCTTGACGCCTTCTTTAGGTAGTGAGGGCTAGGAGTAGTTGGGTGCCGAGACCACGCCGACATCTACCGCCGCCAACTCTGGCAGCCGGACCTGAGCTGTGGACTCACCCGCCGTCCTCGCAAGCTGAACCCCGGGGCGTTGGACGATGTCGGAAGCTCAGACCCCGGGGAGGGGTTGCATCGACTGGGCCAACTAAGTACCCACTTGCTAGATTTTACTTATGCTGAACTGCTGGTTTTATCGTGAAGGAACTCGGTCGTAGTGTTTTATTGTTTGGTTGTGTTAATAAAGGATATTTTTGATAAATTGCTGCCTACTGGTGCTGTTACGTTCTGACTGGAGGGTAAGATATTCTGCCCGTGCTCCCATTGAAACACGCTTTTCAAGATAAAAATCACGAGGCACTTCACAAAAACAAAAAATTTAAAGTATAAAAAAATATTACAAATGTGTTTCAAGTGAGAAAAACAAACATTATGATTTTTAAAAATGTAAGGAAAGGGAGAGAGAAAATTAATAGGAAAGAGGGAATAAGCGGATCCTGGAGAAGGTGGAATAAGAGCAGAATAAGGAGAGTGTGGTGACAACAGTCACACAAAGCCAGCTTTAACTGGTGAGTTTTCAGCTGCTTTTTAAAGGAGACCACTGAGTCCACTGATCTCAGGCTCAGGGGGAGAGAGGTCTGGAGTCTGGGGGCCACAGCAGCATGATCTGTGATTACATGAATGGAGAAATGGGCAAATGAGACATGACTGAGTGCATTTAGAATTAAAAAGAACTGTGTAAATAGCAAAAGCAGCAGGGACACCATGAGCAAACAAAATGAACAGAACATTTTTGTTTTTTAGTTTATAATACTGGCACATTTATTTAGAATCCCGATCCGTCATTCCGGCTGGGGGCGGTACTGCACCACAGCTCAGCTTCCCAACTGCCTTAAAAAAGAAGGCAAAGAAGAAGAAAAAGCGGACTCGCTTCCTTCCTCACACCGGTATTTGTCGCTGGTTGTTCTACATCATGTTCAGAGTCGCCGTCCGACTTTCGGTCTCCGGTGTCCGGGGGTTAACTCGTCCACAGCCCAGGTGCCAAGGTATTTGTTCATTCGTCTTCTGTGGATGTTTCCAGTCTGGTTGATGTTCACACTGCCAGCTTGTGTGTCGTCACATTGCGGTTCACAGCTAAGCTAGCCATTCACTGTGAAATCTCAAAAATCCTCACAGAAAATGCAAAGTTGTTTACGTTTTAGTCGTCTTGTGACTCTTTTACTTAAGGGTTGCTATCACTCGCACGACCCGAGACCGTCCTGCCCCAGAGTTTGACTCGTGGGTGGTTGTGTCCTTGCCATGACCCAGATGGAGCATGCTAGCATGCTAACCGCGGTGCTCACTCTGCCAGCTGCGAGTATTTTAACAGCAAATCGGGTTGGCTGCAGCTTTACTCCCATCAAACACACACCACCCATATGTTTTATCCAGAACCTTACTAGCATTGCACTAAATACGTTTCTAATTCACTACAGATTATGGGTTTACACTAGAGTGCAGCAAGTAGTCTTATCAGACGCTACGTGCAGTGTCAAATTATGACAATGGAAGTAATCCAACTCACAACATTTATCCTGTTTCTTCTGCGATCACTGCTTATGTTGATCTCACAGGCTTCAATATAAACAAAACCAGTTTGTGTTTTACTGTCTTTATAGATAATTTTGTGATGATTATTTTTGTTTTTCAGCTGTTCTGGCTTCAAGGTGCTACTCGCATGGAAAGCAGGAGACGGACGAGGAGTTTGATGCCCGCTGGATTACATATTTTAACAAGCCGGACATTGATGCATGGGAGCTGAGAAAAGGTAGGGCTAGAGAAATAGAAACCCTAAAAGCTAAGGGAGTTGTGCTTTTTGTCCATTATGGGGCTTACAATGAGGAAGTTGTTTCCATGAACTCTGTAAATATTAACTCTTGATTTACAGCCAGCTGTTGAGGACCTGGTCTTAAATTGGAAGCAAGGCACGTGGATTAACTCATCATCATTTTGGATTAGTGCCAGAGGATTGATTTATTGTCAGCGTAAATGGGTGCAGATTAAAGTGTGATATAAAAAGCTGAAAAATCCCATGTGTAAAACGTTCATTAGAACTTTTGCAGCAGTGGGTGTTTTTAGCTTGTGTAAAAATAGTAATTAGTTAGATATTCATGGACTTGGTGACGGATGACTTGGTCGTAACAAAACTCAAAGCATTAGGCTCACTCAGTGCTACGCTAAACATTTTTGTTTCTTTTTAAAGTCTAAACAGACAATATAAATATTGTTCACAGATATGTTCTCAAAGGTATAAAGTAACATCTGTTTATTCCCTGGGAAAGCTACAATGTATCAGCTACATTTTTGTTTGTTCTGAATTTAAACCTTTATATTAGTGAATGATACACCGACATGAAATTTGTGGGCTGATATAATATCACTGTTATGGCCAATACCGATATTCTGACATTAATGCTTCTAAAATCAGCAAATTTTGTATAGAATGAAAATGATTAAAGCTGAATTTGTTATGTACACACACCACACATATTTATGCTGAGATGATTACAATTACTGTCACATGACTAAACAAATACACACCACGCCTCTCACCCTCTGAAACACAAACAAATGGAAACAAGATGGGGAAAAAATATCAGTTGTCAATATTGGCGCAGTTTTGTTTATCAGACCGATACCGATATGCTAAAAAAATGACTAACATCGGCCAATACCGATATTCATGCTGAAATATCGTGCATCTCTACTTCATTTATATCTGCACTGCACAACCAGTTGTTTAAATAACTTATTTGTTTTTGCTATAAAAACTAAAATAAAATCACCACATTGTCAAATTTATTTAGAAAATTGTCCTTTTTTTTAAACCTTTTTCCGTTTATCATGAGAGTTCTTGGGGTCTTTATTTGATCCAACTTAATTTTATGTACTTGTTAGTAACTTAGTGCAACTAAAGCTGCATCCTAAAGTTTTGATATCTCAAATTGACACACAAACTGTTAAATAAGTCTGAAATTGTTTTAAATCCAGTATTAGATGGAGATGGTTATATGTGCTGTATAGTCACATCTGTTTACCGTGTGCAGACTGAAACCGCTGAGTCATCTTGTTATACTTTATTACCACACCAGGTTCGATTTCTAAAAATTGTTTCCAGCTCATCTTTCACTCATCCAATCTTCCTCTGCAACAGCCATAAAATATGTCACGAGGCTAGCATATAAACTTGTATTTCAGCTAAGGGTCCAACACCCACAGGTTTTTTATAATTTAACCTTTTTTCTATTCTTCTTCAAATATGGAGGCTAATGAAGAAACGGGTTGTTGATTATAACATGAGGTGTTTGTTCTTTGCTGGAAAAGTTGCCTAAAATAAGGATTAAATAAAAAGTTTACCAGCTTTCACTACTAACATTATTTACTGCATCCAGTCTTCTGTTTGTTTGTTGCAGGTTAGCCCGTTATAATCAAACAAACATTGTTGAAGGTTTAAAACTTGGCCGCGGTCTTTCTGCATGGAGTTGCGTGTTCTCCCCATGCATGCGTGCATTTCCTCCGGGTACTCCGGTTTCCCCCACAGATCACAACATGCCCTATAGGTTAACAATTGTACGTTGCTTTGGATAAAAGCGTCTGCCAAATAAATAAACATTGTTATTAGGGGTGTGTGTGTTGGCAAGAATCTGGTGATATTAAAGTTGGTATCAAGTGTCTTTAAATAAGAAAAAGGTTTTAGTAGCAGAGAATAAAAATGTAAAGTGCACATGTGTGGCCAAAGGGCTCAAGGTTATAGTTAAATAGTTGCAGGTCTGGGTTTTGGTTGAATCTGCTCTTAATAAATTTAATAAGCTTAATAAATAAATAAAGTGGTTATTTTTTGTGATTTTCTTGTATTTGTGTTTTATATACATGATCTGTTTCAGGGATGAACACATTGATCGGGTACGATCTGGTACCGGAGCCAAAGATTCTGGAGGCTGCTCTGAGAGCCTGTCGGAGATTAAATGACCTGGCCAGCGCCATCCGAATTTTGGAGGCTGTCAAGGTGAAGGATGACAAACATGACGGAATAAGTGACCTATTATTACTCTCGTTTCTTATCATTTAAAACTTTGTGGGATTACCCATTTACTTCTTTAGGACAAAGCTGGGCCTCATAAAGACATCTACCCATACCTGATCCAGGAGTTGCGACCAGCGTTACAGGAGCTCGGCATTTCTACACCCGAAGAGCTTGGCATCGACAAAGTTTAGCCAAGTAAGCACTCAGATTTCCTGATGAGGTTTAATCTTTTTACCCCCTTCTTTTACACAACATGACAGACCTTTTTTTAATTTTCAGGACAAAAGACAATGGACTAACCCAGAAAAAAATCACCCTTGTGTTTAAATATTTGCCTGATCATCTGCGTGTGATATTTAATTTGGCCTTTAAGTTCTTTTACATGTAAAATACGGATTGATATAATAAAGAACGCTTATCTGAGTGTTAGATCTATACTGGAATATTTCCTTTTAAGGGCATATGAAAGCAAAATGCTCCATACAGGTTTCTGGAAGGGAGGAGAACGTCACCAAATAAACCACACCGTCCACCACCAGGGGGCAGCAGTGTCACACGAATGTTAAAGACTTGCTGTGTTTTGTCTGCTTTACATGTTTTCATTTCAGGGAAATTTTGCTTGCGGGTGAAATAAACTTGTTTCAAATGACATTTGGACTCATTTTATTATCCAAAGATATTTACGTGCGTCCAGCAAAAGGAAGGACTTTTGGTGCATCGAAGTTTCTGCAGAAGCAAATATTTCTGCTAAAGCTGATTTATGACCTGAACGTTGCATTAAAACCTGTACAATTGGAGTTGGAGCGGTTTTAAGATGATAGCAACACACTTTGAATTTGGTTCAAACTAGTTTTTATTTATCATTCAAACGTTTTTGTTGCTGAGCGCAAGTACGGTTTTAGTAAGGATTCTACGCAATGTTTTATAAATGAGACCCCTGGACACTAGAGTACTCCAGGACTGAGGGATGGTTCCCTCGTGTTGAGAACAGAAGAAACCTCAAATTTTGTCATTTGCACAAAAACAAGTCTCATCAGAAACTTTTTGTTTGTGATGAGCTATTTCAGATCAGATGAGAGCAGCTTCATCTATGAAAGTGAGACATTTGATTCGTGCGGTGAGAAATAAAATCAGTGGTCCTGGTGTTTCTCTACATCGGTGCTATCCTCTTCTTTGAGGACCACCACCTCCTACCAGCACACACATTAAAATGATTATTTACTGACGTCATACAGACATGCAGAACAACTCGTAGAGTTTTGATTATACTATTGGTATTTTCTTAATGTACTTTTTACCAATATAATCTTTGTAACTTTAATTTCAGCACAGAAAAAATTGTGGGGACCCCCTGCAATTTCTAGTGACTCCTTTGGGGTGGTAGACCCCAGATTGGGAAACATCTTTAGGTTTTGTCGTTACATTTGAAGGAATTTCTTCTCAAGGCCGGACAGACGCACCCTCTATTTCTCTAAACAGAGGCTGTTTAAATACTTTCAAAGTGGCCCAAAGATCTCATGCCAGCTGCTTGACCCTTTGTTGTGTTCTTGATTCTAAATAAAGATTTTGAACAAAATATTAGAGAAACTCAACTCCTGCAGGTCTCCTGTAGTTTTCCCTCTGAATGTCGTGGTTTCTGGCTGAAGTGATGTTTGCTGGGCTGTGTGAGCTCTGCTCTCATGCTGTAATCAGTCAGCAGCTCTGGGCTTTATATAGACTGGTGGGGAGGACCACTGATTACCAGGCAGCAGCAGGGATGTCTTATGGAAGGTGTTTCTGACCAGAATAGAAGCACTTCAGAGCTCCAAGAATAAAGTTGTAAAGATTCCTGCTTTTCCCCCTCCATGCATGTCTTTAATTGACCAGAAAGCAGCAGCAGAGGTCATGAATGTGTGTTTGGGCTGGGTGGGAGGATTTTTACGCACGGGGCGGGCCTTTCATTCAGAGTGGCTGTGTGGGTGAAGGGGGTGAGTCCGTCAAAGACAATCAAAGATGTTTGAGTTTCCATGCGCAGTGACCAGGGAGGTACACATCACTCCTCCTCCTCCTCCTGCTCCTGCTCCTGCAGCAGCTCCGGTCTCCGGCCTGCTCTCTGCGGGGGATTTTAAACTCACTCGATCAAAAGAAGAGCCTCTGGAAAGAGAAATGTGATTTACTTTCGCCAGAGAAACGAAGGAAAACCAGATAAGACCTGTCGGCGAGAATGAATTACTCCAAGGCGCAAATGGTGAGTGTCGACGGCGTTTCCCCCTTTCTGGCTCCCACTCGTGTTTGTTACAGTAACAAAGCCAGAGCGCAGCAGACGCTTCTCGGTTTCCAGCAGGTTTTCTCTCTTTCTTCTGTGGTTTTTGAGTTCAACGCAGAGAAAAGCTGTAAAAATACGCACATGGAAACTAATTTAAGTTTGATGAAGGAAAAATGAGGTCCGAAAAGATCAAGTCCATTTATATTTGCTGATTTAATATTTTTTACCTGATACAAATCAGTTTATAAAAACTTATTTGATCCAGTTTAACAGATAAAGTTGATGCCTTGTGTTTGGGTCTTTATTAGGTAGCCCTTTTCAGTCCATGTGGAGTATTTAAAGTCACTTTTCTTTGTAAGTTCTGATGACATGGCCATGGAAGCCTTTAGAACAGCCTTTCCCCCTATTGAACATCTTATTATCCTTATTGTCCACAGTCCAGTTTATCTGAGGAGGTGAGTTCATCTGGGTGTCCACAGCCCAGTCCTGCAGGAGGGAAGCTAGAGGCCATGATGGAGCAGCTGCAGAGACAACAAGAAGCCAAACTAGAGATGAACCTCCAGGAGAAACATCTGCTTCAAGCTCAGCTCCTGTTTGCCCAACAGGCGGCAGCTGCCAGAGCCTCCAGCTCCAGACCAGACTTCTACAGGAAGGTAGAGGGACACATTTATCCACCGAACCCTCTGGGCAGAGTGGACGTGAAGGAGGAGGACTCAGATGAGGAGGAACAAGATATGTTGGAGGGAGATGAGGAAGAGGAGGAGAAGGGAGATGAGAATGGGCCTCACCAACAGGTGAAGAAGCTGGTCCTCCAACAGGTTTCACATTTTCAGCCTTTTTCTGGTCCTCTGTCAGCTGCTGCTGAGCAGATCCCCAGGTCTCCGTCCTCAGAGATCAAACCGGACCAGAAGGAGAAGAACCTGCCATCTCCTGCAGGCCAGACCACCTTCACCTCACCCAGTAGCTTCTCTGACTGGAGCTATGACGAGATGTTCAAACAGGTACATCAGATTTATTCACGTGTGTGTGTGTGTGTGTGTGTGTGTGTGTGTGTGTGTGTGTGTGTGTGTGGCCCTCCTTCAGGCTGAGATAGCATCTGTGGCCAGTGTGTGTGTGTAAATGATTGACTTCCTGTTGCTGAGTCGTGCCTTTCTCACATAAGAGGGAGAGCATGTCTGCTTTGGGCCAAATCCTGCTGGTGCTTAAATTACCAGCAACAATCATACATCTTCATCCGCCTCTCTTTACTTCACATCTCAGGCTTCTGATGCAAATCACAACAACAAACTTGTTTCTGCTGCTAGTTGGGCTAATTGTTCTGGGCTGTGGTCCAAGTCTAGCTGTGCAAAGAAGCTACTCAAGGCCAGAGGATATGGAGCTGAAATGAGAGCGGAGGATTATTGAAATAGTCTCTGGTGTGTATTTATGGCCCTCGAGGCTGCTGTAAGCCTGTATCAGGGAGATCCCTCTTAAATCAGAGTGAAATAAGAAATCCAAAGCAGGTGTTGACGCAAACACAACACTGAGTAAGATGTCTGAGAGCTCCTTCAGGGAGGGAGGGAGCGAGCGAGAGAGAGAGAGTGTGAGAGTGTGTGTGTGTGTGTGTTCTCCATCAGGCATTTTTCTGGAGCAGAATCGGCTAGGATTGTTGTGGAGGTCTGGAAATCGTCCTCCACTCAGCCTGATCGTTCCTTCTGCTGTTGTTCTCATTGAAAATAATTAATATTTTGGTTTTTATCGTTTGCATGAATCCTAACAAAGAGCATCTGGGTGATGTCATTACTGTAGCTCTGCACATAGCTTTGCATAATTTAGCTGTCTCTTAACAACACTAAATGATGCCTCGACACCCCCCACCCCCTGCATGAGATCAATACAGTAATGGCTGCCGCTGCGAGGATGTTTCCTTTTCCCCACAAAGCAGCTGTTCAAACCTTTAATATTTACTTTAAATAAGTTCTCAGAAGCAGCTCGAGTTGCTTTAAAGCTCTGCAAACTTCCACAAAGTGTCTCTTGTGATTCAAGAAGTACATCAATTCTGTCATCATGTGAAAAAAATCTTTAAAAGGGATGGAAGTGGTTACATTTCCTTGTTTGAGTGTTAGCTGTGACCTTTTCTGATTCCACCAGATGAAATAAACTCATTTTCTCCTTTATCAGGTGTAAAGATGTCACAGGTGATTTTTTTGAGCACTCATATGAGGATAATGAGCTCACATACTAAACATTCGTTGGAAAAAATTTCACTTATAAACTGTCGGTTGGTCGAACTGCATCTATAGTTCTTCATCCCAGAAGAAGCTGGCAGCCATTGTTTGCTGCTGGTCGCACAGAAAGGCCCTACATGTATAACAGGGTCTGGTGAGGAGTCACATAGACGATCTTTACTTGCTGGGACGATTAAATGCCCAATAATTTAATTTGGATTAAAAAAAATGAGTCACCTCCAGTGATTTCATTGGAGAAGTTTTCATTTCTGCCCTGCAGAAGATGCATAATAGTCAAAAAGTGAAAATGGACGAACTTGCTTTTCAGCAATTGGCCTTTTGAAGATTTAATGTATAAAATCACATTATAAAGGTTATTTCTGGCCTGAATACTGAATGCTGTCAGGGTCCCTAGGCGAGAATGTGGGAAAGCTCTGTGAGCAATTAACTGAAGGCTCTTTGTTATTAGATCTGCATGGGTCTCACTTCCTCATCAATAAAGTGGGGGAGGGTTTTATTTCTATTAGATGGTGAAAAGACTTGGGTGTTTCTACCGTCAGTGAGCTTTTTTAAGGCTGGGAAAAAAAGGGAAAGCTGTTGTTTTTGTTTAGCTTTCAAGAAATTCCAAGTTAAACCTTTTAGCGGTGTCGACAAGAAGTGTTGTGGGAACAGAGAGCTGTTTTAACATCTAAAGATGGAGAAAGCAGTTGTGTTTAGTGAGAGGCTAGTGCAGGAAACAGCCTGGTCTGGCAACATTTTTGTGTTTACTTTTTGGAAGATTTTGGACTCATTTGATGCAGGAAAGTAAAAGAGGGTAAAACAGAGTTAAAGCAGCCTGCTTAAAGAGACTGGGTGTAGATTTGACCTCTAATCTCAGGAAATATCCATGTAAATGTTGTTGAAAATGAATGATGCCCAGTTGTTGAAAAATATTTGCGGCTTTGTAACATTTAACCATAAAAATCGGGTCTAAAATACACGAGAGTGGGTCGAAGTCTCTGCACGACGCCATGCTTCCTTCTACGTGAGCACTCGAGGACAACTTTCACCGTTCATGAAACATTGTTTTACACATTTACTTCTTCACTCGTTACCAGTGATGAAAGGGAGTCTATAACCTTCTCAGTGTCCTAGTGGCAGAGTTTCTGCCCTGGGACTGTGAGATCGGGGTTCAAATCCCAGTCAGGTCGTACCAAAGACTTAAACAATGGGACCCAATACCTCCTAGCTTGACACTCGGCTTTAACAGGTTGGATTTGGGGGTTAAACCAACACACAGTTCCTGAGCACAGCCACAGCTGCAGCTCACCACTCCCCATGGGGATGGGTCAAATGCGGAGATGAATTTCAGTGTGTGATGAGGACTAATGGGACTTTAACTTTTAACGTTATGTGCTTGTTTTACTGGAGGTTGCGCTCCCTGGGATATGTGCTGCTCCCTGTCGCCAGTGAAAATGGACACATTCACTTTAACCCCTAGAGACAGAGACTGATAAATGCTTTATGTTTACTCGAATCATGTTGCACAATCTGAGTTTGTTAGCTGTGGTGACCATGTTGTGTTGGGTCCACCCGAAAAGTTAATCAGTAGTAGATGAACGTCTAGTGATTCATTTCTGAGAGTTTTAACATTCATCTAGTGAGACTCTAACACACACACACACACGCACGCTTGCAAATCCATTACTGGCCGTTTTGCCTGTCGGTGGCGGGCGATAAAGATGAGCTACATGATATCTGGACTGAGTGATGAAATGACTAATAACTAGTTGTAGCGAATATTTAATCCGTGTCCCTTCAGGCTCCAAGACACAGAGAATTAAACTAGACTTGAACTAGACTTAAGTGAAGTTTGTTTAATTTATTCTGCTGTTTTAAATCTGATCTGAGACTCCATCAGCTGTGAACTCTTTCATATGGGCTATTCCTATCTGTACCGGGTCGGCCCGGGCCGGGTAGCGTAGGTTGTTTACATATCTGGGTGGCCTGGTATTTTTCGGGGCCAACCAAGGCTCATTCTCAGCCCTCTTCTCGAGGGGGTCTGCTTCAGGCCGACCAGGGCCAACACACCCACTGCTGACAGCAAATTCACACCTTCCATTAGAACAAGCCTCTGATTGGTGGGTAGAATCAGCCCACATGGGCTTAAGGCAAGGATGTGTGGAATCAACTGGGCCAGGCTGGGGCCGACTGGGGCTACCCGGCCCGGGCCGACCCGGTACAGATGGGAATGGCCCAATAGTAAACCCAGACCTTTAGATATCACACAAAGAACCCCAGCAGCTTCTTTTGTACCAACATTTGGGGTCATTTGGTGAGAAACTCCCTTTAAAAGAAGTAAACCTCCATTAGAATGAGTTTCGGTGGGACCATCTGCCTCTAATAGGGGTGTGTGTGTGTGTGTGTGTGTGTGTGTGTGTGTGTGTGTGTGTGTGTGTGTGTGTGTGTGTGTGTGTGTGTGTGTGTGTGTGTGTGTGTGTGTGTGTGTGTGCGTGCGCACACACACGCGCGCACACACATTAGCATTTTACAGTTTGATTTGTGTTTTTGTTCTGAACAGCTGATTATTGGTTCCCTGCAGAGCTAATTGTTATCATTATTATCTCACAGTGCAGCATTAAACATTAGGGGGGGGGGGCATTTACTTACAGCACAAAATAATATAGCTGCCACTGAAGTGCTGAGAAAAGCTGCTCACGTGCACCCTCGCCGAATGACGGACTCCTGCAAAAATGTTAACATGTTTGAACTGATCAGATCTGCTGCAGCAATGTAACGGATTCATGTAGTCATAGTGGAGATTATGGCGATTTCAGTCAAATGAATGGAGTCATAAACAGAAGAATCTGAGCTAACTTAAGCATTTCAGCAGGAAAATAACCTCTCAACAGGCTTTTCCACACTGCTGCACGTGCGCCCCCCTTCACTTCAGCCTCCAACGTCCTGCTGGTTTCTTTTAGAGGGGGGAGGGGGGGGGTCTGAGCAATAACATGTCATTTTAGTCCACCTAATGTACACGCTTCATTTCATTCCTTTGAACTAAGATACATCCAGACACCTCCCAAAAAATGTTATCATTAATTAAAATTAGACATTTTCCCACGGCCAGCTAGTCAGTAGTGGCAGAGCGAGAGCAGGTTTAGCTTCTACATGATCTGTGTGGAAAGATGCTTCCGTTAATATTAAATATACAAAAGAACTTTAATATAAATGAATAATCAATGAAAATAAAGGATATGACAAGAAAGTAAAAACTTAAATGTGGTGGAGCATTTGTTTTAGACTCAAAATTTCATGGAAAAAGGTTTTACATTAATTTCTTGGGACATTTATGTTTGAATACCATTATTATTCACATCTTTATTTACGTTTCACAACGTTGCAGAGCAAATGGTCACTTCAGAAGCCACTACTTCTGCTGAAAAAACTGCAAAATGTGAAGGACTAAAAAATAATATATTTGTAGAGGTCATTTATACTATTTTGAGGTTATTGCTGTCTTGAAATACTGCTCAGTAAGTCATCTGCAGCAGGTGAGATTATTTGCCATTTTTAAACAGTTGATAAATTCCCTTCAGAGCTGTGTTTCTGCATGAAAACCGCTACTTCCTTGTTAGCTGATTTAAAGGAGTGCGCTGAAACACTTGACTCACCCGTTGTTTGCTCCGTGTCTTTTATTGTATTACTCTAAGTCTTAAAGAGAGCCTTTGGCATTATTTAAGCTGACTGTTCACAACAGCACACACACACAGGAAGCCAAGCTCAGACTCACACTCAAACAGTAGCTCAGCCTGCACAATCCAGGTTAATTCCTTTAATTTACGTCTTAGCTTGTAGCTGCAGTCATGGAGGGCCACTGCCCCGCATGTTTTAGATCATTTCCTGCTCCAGCAAACCTGATTTGGTGGTTTAATTACCTTTGCAGAATATCTGCAGAGACCTGTTATAAATCAGATATGTAAGCAGAGAATCCTCTAAAAACAATGAGAAACCATTTTAACTTGTTATTTTTGAAAATGATCGGTCACTCTTGAGTTTGTCATTCAGGCTGAATGTGAAAATCAGAATAAGAATACTTTATTAATCCTGAAGGAAATTATTGTAGAAGTGTTGCTCCAGACAATAGGATAAAGATAGAAAATAATAAAAACAGTCATGATGGCGATGAATAATCACATAAAAATGATCACTAACCAGTTACAGAAGCAAAAATTACAATAAAATCCATAATCTAAAAAACATTCTACCCATATTCTGGCATAATGCATAAAACTAAACGGTGGATGGTCTCCTACACCTATCTCCTGTATTAACTGCTGAATAAAAAATAGACAATGAAACTCTAGGATTTGAAAATCCTTACAGATCTACGTCACACTGTCCGTTAACATTCGTGGACTCACCCATCTTAACTCACAACGGGGAAAGTTTGTTGTTGGTTTAGCATTCAGGAAACAGCAGAGAACATATCGACTAGTAGACGCTATCCGTTAGCATTAGCAACTCCACCACACAGCAGAACTCCTCCAGGCTTGTGTTGTTTGTGGAGATAAAACATCAATGTTTCAGCGCAAATATTCAGTGATAGAGTCGCATTGCTGTTGGCCAATCGGAGGCAAGATGTCCAAATATCAGGAAGTAAGACTCTAAAATCCTGTCATCTGAAGCTACTTTCTCCTCGAGAGGAATTCTCTGAGCTAAACAGATGCACCAGAGCTTTTTTTCCCTACAGCATGATTTACAAGACATTCATTCCCACTATAGACCACTGCAAATGTGCTAAAATATGACTGAAGGACCTCTTTACTTGCAGTTACATTACTCACGTAAAGCAGAACAATTAAAGTAAAGTAACTGCATTCAACTTGAGCTTTCCGGATTAATAACGCTTGGTACAAGGCACTGGACAGAATCCAACCTGAGCCCCAAGAAGCAACTGGACTTATTTGCTGGACAGTTTTGTTGTCTCAAATATGAATGAGAAAAATGTCTAATCAGCTGAATCTTTCCATCCAGAAGGGTTGTTGGAGGTGGTGGAGGACTGCAAATGGTGTTTGTTATTTACTGAAATGAGCTCTGCAAGTGCTTATTCTTGAGTGGCAAAGATGGCTTTGTTTAGGAGCTGGCAGCATGATTTTGTTTACACAGTTTTCTGGTGACAAAACATCTGTTTGGACATCAGTGACTCATAAAAATGCACTGATAATTTATATCCAGATACATCTCCTTATGATTTTGCTTGTAAAGACAATTTGCTCTCTTTTTCCCATCATAGCTTATCTAATTGCATATATGATCCTACAGGAGTAAATTTTCACCCATTTCTGATTAAACAGTGAATCTAATTGGACCTTTACAGTTTCTGCATTCCACCATTAGACCTTTGCTAACGAGGTCTCCAGAGCTACCTGGAATCAGATGTCCAATTAAAAACAAGAGCTTGGGCCCCTCCCTTAAACAGATCCCACAGCAGCTGCTCTGATGTCGATCATGCCTCGATTCTAGTTACCAGAGGACTTTCGGAGAAGGATTGTGGACCTGCACAATGCTGGGGAAGGCTACAAGAGAATCTTCAAAGAGCTGGGAGCCAGTCGCTCCACAGTTAGAAATGTCATCTACAAAGGAAGGAAGTTTGGGACCGTAGCGACTCTGCTGAGGAGTGAGCGTCCTGTAAAGGACTGTATGATGTTCTGCAGGTGAAACTGTAAAATGAGAATATGGTGCATGTAGTGAGTCTTTCAAATATTAGTTTAATCTTTTAAGTAGAATTACTGACGTGAATGAACTTTTCACGATATTCAAATAATTTTTGTTTCACCTGTAAAAGACAGGGTATCCGCGGGTCCTTAAAAAGTCTTAAAAAGCCTTAAATTAGCTTTTCCAAATTTAAGGCCTTAAAAATCCTTAAAAATTACAAATAATCCTTAAATACAGTTTCCAAAGGTCTTAAATGACCAAAGACCCAATAAACAAGATTCTTTTATTTCTATAAAATTTTCGTGAATTTCTAGTTGGTGTTCAGCGTTTTTTGTGTACGTTGTTGGCGTAAGCGGAACCGTACACATTCAGTTGGTTGTGAAAGGGGGCTATTTTTAGATGAGCACGTTAGCTGGTTAAGCTAGTGGGAGCTTGCACCATGGGGAAGTGCAAGTTTAATGGTAACTGGATGGCTAATCCCACGATCGTGGCGTGGTTAGCACCGGTTCCAGGCAACAGCTGGAAATTATAGCTTAAATGATAAATGACCCGCACTTGTATAGCGCCTCTCAGAGTAAGGACTCCAAAGCGCTTTACACTACAGTGTATCATTCATCCATTCACACACATTCACACACTGGTGGGGATGAGCCATGATGTAGCCACAGCTGCCCTGGGGCACACTGACAGAGGCGAGGCTGCCGAGAACAGGTGCCACCGGTCCCTCCGACCACCACCAGCAGGCAAGGTGGGTTAAGTGTCTTGCCCAAGGACTCAACAGCAGAATTCTCTGTCCGGAGCCGGGATCGAACCTGCAACCTTCCGATTACTGGACAACCCGCTCAACCTGTTGAGCTACTGCTGCCCTGCTTAAATAGCTTAAATTTGGTCAAAGTGGCCTTAAAAAGGTCTTAAAAAGTCTTAAATTTGGCTCTCTTAAACCTGCAGATACCCTGAAAAGAGGTGCAAAGGAACATCCCTGTGATTGGTTGTAATGTCAGGAAATGGATGGTGACAGATGACAATTAGAAAATAATAAAAAATGAAGAAATGGTGTTTTTGAGTGATATCTGTGTCTAAATGTGCAGAGAGGAAGAGGCATCTGGGCCGAGGAGAGCGACGGAGGAAAAGTGAAAGCAGGAGAACCATCCAGGGACTTTGCCAAGGTCAGTAAATTTGAAAGATGCCGAAAATGAAGTTACTCAAAACACTGCCCACTAACAGCCTCTTGCTGTGTTTCTTTTTCCTCCTTGCAGCTGTATGAACTAGATAATGACCCAGATCGCAAAGAGTTCCTTGATGAACTATTTGTCTTTATGCAGAAACGAGGTAAAATTTAATGACTTAATATGTGAATTAATGTTTTATTTCGTGGATCGAAATGTTTGTTAAAACTGCATCTTTTTTTCCCACCATGTGTGTTTTTTTTAAATACCTATTTATACTAATGATGGATCCGCAGGCTGATCCTGGCAGCTGGTATTCAAATCATTTAATTAAGGGAAACAACTGGACTGTAATTAAAAGGTCAAAGGTAATTAGAACTGAAGCAGTCTGGGTTTATGAAAACAGTCAGTGAAATAAATTGTTCATTAATTTATTTTTATTATTTTTGCCAGTATGTCAGATTTTGCAAATTTAAGGAATTTGGGAGGTGAAATTTAACATTTTCTTTTAAAACCTACTGGGTTAAAACACTGTGTGTGTGTGTGTGTGTGTGTGTGTGTGTGTGTGTGTGTGTGTGTGTGTGTGTGTGTGTGTGTGTGTGTGTGTGTGTGTGTGTGTGTGTGTGTGTGTGTGTGTGTGTGTGTGTGTGTGTGTGTGTGTGTGTGTGTGTGTGTTCGTTCATCTCAAGCACCGTGTAATCTTATTTCTATGGCTGCATGTTAGTCTTTCCCATTAATGGGCTTTTCTCCAAATCGGGATTGGAGAGGTTAGCTGTCAACCCGATGACTGGCAGACCTGCCCCCACCCCAGCACTCAAATCAGCTTCTGCTCCCCACCCATCTGAAATGAGCTTCATTGGATGAAGTCTATCACACAGATTACACATGCTAAGCCACATTACCTAACACCGACCTAAGACCCTCAGGTGTGTTAATCAGAATCGGTTCCTGTGCTTCTCCTTTAATAAAAAAGCATCCAAACTTTTCAGTAGGTCTAAACCCTGTTTCTATATTTCAGGAACGCCGGTCAACCGCATTCCCATTATGGCGAAGCAGGTGTTGGACTTGTACAGGCTGTATAAACTCGTGACGGAGAAGGGAGGACTGGTGGAGGTCATCAACAAGAAGATCTGGAGGGAGATCACCAAAGGTCTCAATCTGCCCACATCCATCACCAGCGCAGCTTTCACCCTCCGAACCCAGTAGGACTTTCTCATAGTTTAACAACTGGAGATCATTCCTTCAACCATGATCACAAATTTAACTGAAAATCTGTTAAGATAAAATACAAATACTCAAAGTTTAATAGTTTTAGGAAATGTACACTTTTCACTCATTATTCTTTAAGAGTTTACAACAAAACTTGTTCTTTCTTTTAAGCATGTTTTTGATGTTTCCCTACAGGTATATGAAATACCTGTACCCCTTTGAGTGTGAGAAGAAAGGTCTGAGTTCTCCGGGTGAGCTGCAGGTAGCGATCGATAGTAACCGCAGGGAGGGCCGACGTCCCAGCTTCACCAGCAGCCTTTATCGCTACTCCCCGTCCCCAAGCTCTGCTCCACACCCGCTCCTGTCCTCACCTTCGATGCAAACTACTCCAACTGCACTCAACGGCGTGAATCTATCCGCCAGTCCCAATTTAAAACGGAACATCGGTGAGGCAACCTATGAACATGTCATTCTTGGGTGGAATTTTTCTTTTTATTCATATTCGGATTTTTCAATAATCTCAAATGTTATTTGTTGATTTTTAATCAGATGAGACCTCCACCTCTGTAATACCCAGACTGCCAGTGGCTATGGCGCTCGGCCAACACCAGCAGCATCAGCACCAGCAGCTTGCACAAGCTGCCACGCTGGAGCATCTCAGGGAGAGGTTGGACCGAGCGGCTGGTGGCGCTGCAGTCGATGGTCCAGAGAAGAAAATGATGCGGCTTGCAGAGGAGCAGCAGCGCCTCATGCAACAGGCCCTCCAACAAAACCTCCTGGCAATGGCCTCTCAGTTCAACCCCATGAACCTCAAGCTGAACAATGGGCACGGTGAGTGGCTCCTGCTCTGATCAGTACGGCTTCATTTAGGGAATAGTCCATTAATTGGTGTTTTTGTCTCGCAGAAAAAAAGCAAGATTTATCACTAAATATCTCTACTAATGGACCAGCCAGTATCAGTGTCTCTGTGGAGGTCAATGGTACAATCTACTCAGGTGAGTTCTCAAAGAAAACCGTGCTTCTGCTTGCGGTCTCCTTGCCTTTCGATGGATATTTTAAACATTGAGCATGTGTCCATTATCCTCTGCAGGCCTGCGTCAGAGGCCTTGCACTGACGCATCATAGCGTTGGGTCTCAACGAGCTGACAGAAGCATAACCTGGGAACAGTTTCAGCTGTAACTAGTCGTTAGCACATCAGTCCAATCAGAACTGAACTTGAATTAATTCAAAGGAAACTTACTTTAATTTATTTTTACCTATTCCTTTTTCATTATTGCATGTTTTGAATCTTCAGTTGTAGTCTTACACAGATCCACAATTCCTTCTTGTTTCTTTTTCGCAAAACTTATTTTTTTATTTATGCGTACATTTTCCACACGGTACAATCTCCAAACTTGGATCGCTCCCTCAGTTTACTGTTGTCTCTGCTGTAGGAACTCTGTTGGCCCAGAAGTCTGCTGCTCCTGTCTCATCCCAGACTGTAACTCCAGCAGGAACCACTGGTTTCAGTGCCCTCTCCTCCTCTCACAGTCCCTCATCTACATCTTCTACTTCCTCAAAGGGACCAAATTAAAGCATTACATGCTGCACCTCTGCTTAGACAAAAAAGCACGAACTTCAGGGAAAAAGGTCTGCTACGCAGAAAGCCAATGTTATTTTTTACTTCGGTTCCTCTGACAGCCTAAATACTTAGAGATGATTTAAGTTGGAAAAAGACCCTTTTAGATTCTGATCTGTTAACTATAGTGCCTGTTAGTGTTTTCTATGTAAACATTTTTGTCTAAAATATTTTACAGTGATTGTTCAGGAGTGTCTTTAGAGCATCAAAACACACGGTGGAAATCTGTGTTTCATTGACATTTAGAGGAGCTTTATCCAACCGTTCCTTAGTGTTTCTGTGTGATCATCAGTAGAAGAATGTAGCTGCCCAAGAGCAGCTAATGAAAACCAAAACGCCTTAGCTCAGGGTCATGGCTTCGAAACCACTTTTCTGATGCTTTTTTATTTCCTGTGATCATTATTTGATTTAACTTGAGTTTGAGCTCAAACTTTCTACTTTTGATAGAAGAATTCAGGGAAAATGTAGTTTCCACAGAAAAACACCACGTCCTAAAGGCACAAAGTAGTTTGGGTTATTTTACATTTGTTTTTTATTTAATAATTTTGGTTTGTGAACGTTGTTGACTATGTTATTGCAGGGAACACTTATATAGAACTGATGCAACATTTACCTCATTGACTTCCCCTGTTGGTAGGTTTCCTCAGTCTGTCTCATAATATATTACTGTTATATTTGTATAAACGCAGAGAATGTAACATTGGTGACCTCCAGCTCTGGTCTAATGAACACTGACACAATGCTACCTCATTCCACTAAAATATATGCAATGCTGAATGCAGCATGTGTTCATGAAGCCCCGTGCTGATATAATCTGTATGTGGACAATCAAATACATATCTTTGCAAATAAATAAGTTTGCCACAGCCACTTTGACTGCTGAGTAAGTTGCTTTTGCATTTCAACTCTGCTTCTCACAATTTGATGAGAAAGAGGTTAATCAAAAGCTGTTTGGCGTGGTGGGAGAGGTTTGAGTCAGAAGCATCAACATTGACCTAATATATGAGAGAAAATGTTTTATCTTAATCTTTCAGATGCTGAAGGTTCATTAGCAGCACAGGTTTGTACATGTAAGTTTGTTTCATGTTTCAACACCCTTGCTTTTACATTAGACTCCAACTCCATTATTAAACCCTTCAGATTAAAGATGGGCTGTTGTAAAAACAGGAATTAAACGGTCCGGTAATGCTGCTCAGATATTTGAACAAAGCATGGAAGTAAGCAGCTTTTGTCACATTTCAAAGATCTGGCTGCTGTGTTTGTGACAAACATCTGTCTCCTTATTGGAACTCCTGTGTGTGGCCCAAGATCATCAAGGAGCATCAGTGTAAAGATGACTAAATAAAACGGATGCAGGGTCAAGATTAGATGTCAAAAAGTATAAATGCAATTTCTTAAATAAATTTTGATATGTGAAAAAAAAAACAATCAGGATGGTATGTGGGAGAAAATGTTTTAGGCTCTTAAAGGGACCTTTTTATATTTTTAAATCATTTTCCTGAGCCAGTATGTGCTAAAATGACCCTTTACAGGGTTAATGGAAGGTCACCTAGCCCCTATCACCCCCCCTGTGGCCAGGATATCGCATTTGCAACCTCACAGTTGCCGTTGTCGGTACAGGATCGGCTCGGGGTCCTTCGACTGTCGATGACGTCAAAGTAGTTGATTGGCTGAACATGAAGCTTATGGAAGTGACGTTATCACGCTATGATTTTGATTGGTCAGAACAAATTTGCGGTCGTAGTCTTAGCGGTTGTAGTCCTGTAGTCCAAAAATCATCACTTTTTGGAGAAAATATGTTTGAATTTCTAAAGGAAATGTAAAATATAAGCAAATGATAAACGGTGACCCTCAAAAGCTCTTGATGTTGATGAAATGGTGCAAAATAAAATATAAGAACTTTATTGAAAGACACCAAGCACTATTTAGTCAAAGAATGTATTTAGATAACAACTAAGGAAATATACAGACGAGCTCCACATTAATACAAACAGATATGGCTTCACATATAAGAACTGTTCTATTTTTTGTTGCCCCCTGTGGCCAGGTTGGTTTTATGCAGTTTCAAATTCTTTACAAAACAAATATGATATGGTGTTTTATTAACAAATTACAATTATAAAGAAAACATTTAGGTGTTAATAAACAAGAATTTATTTACAAAACTGCTGATGTCTTTCCAAAACGTGTGTGTGAAAGCCGAGTAGATTTGCAGTAATGAAACGTCATCGGCAGTCGAAGGACCCCGAGCCGATCCTGCACCCGAGCAGATCCTGTACAGACACCGGTCGGTCTGTTTGGACTTAGAAAAAACTGACACTAGGGGGTGCTAAAGGCAAGAAAAACTGCCTAGAATCCCTTTAAATGCGAGGTACATATAAACATTCTAAAGTAGCTTTAAATATTCCTTAAATTTTACTACCCGCCATCGTTCTGATGCAAAGTAAGTAACCCATCATTTATGTTTCCCTTAAGTTCCTTTTCTGGCCTCTACAGCAAAGCGAATCATTTTTGTGAGCCTATCTTTGACCACAAATGGGAGCTGCTAACCAATGAGAATGTGACCCAGTTCCTAGCACGCACTACAGGGTGATGCAGATGCCTCAGTCAGCTTAGAACACCAGCCTAGCTTGAATGCTAACTCATCCCGCATATCGAAAACATGTGGCTGCAGCGGCTCTACATTAGCGCTACTTGTGCGTGTGCAGTATGAGGCGTTGCTCGAGCTGCTCCTACAATGGGAGGGAGAGCAGCGGGAGTTATGGCTGTTTGAATTTCAAACTCCATGGTCTCCTTGATGTTGCCACATCACGGACCACAGCTTCAATGCTGTTTTGAGACACTTCACACCTGATCTCTGTTTCTCCAAACTGAGGCTGTACAACGAGGAGGGATCGATTGGTAACATGGTAATGGCTTATTTCCACTAAAATGTCACTTTAGTACTCAATATTTATTGTCTTAGTTTAGTTTAAAACAGTAAATGTCAGAATAACGGTTGAATTTTATTCTGTCATTAGATTTGCTGCAGCTTAAAAGCTCAAGTGCATGCCATACTTGCCATCAGTGATATTTGGATTTTTCTTTTCAAAATCTCTGTATAATATCATTTTCACTCTGAGTTTACCTGCAACTTAATTTAATAAGAACTAGTTTAAAATCAGATTAGGTTTGTTGTTATACCAAAATCAGATTACAAAAGGAGAATGTATTGAGTTTTGATTAAGTCTTAAGTTCTTTGGTCCTCTGGCTGCAGCAGCAGCGGTCCCTCATTCCCTCGCTGGTGCGCCCAGGGGATGAGGGAGGGGGATGGGTCTGGGGATTTGCTGCCATGATAGTTATCCTATAGTGATGGCATCTGGGATGCTGCAGAACAGAGATGTATTATGAGCTGGAGATTTCCACCGACAATCCCCTCCCACTGGGGAGGAGGAATCCTGCTCAGATCACTCTGCAAATGAGGACATCACAGTCCTCTGATGGGAGTCTGAATGGGATTTCCATTTTTTTTTCAGGAAACCAGATCTGCGGCCAGTGAGAAGTGCTACATGCTTCTGTCTTATTTTCTGAAATCTGTAAACATTTTGTGTGGAGCAGATTGTTATTTCTGTTGTGGCTCACAGATGTTTTTGTGTGAAACGATGACTTTTGCCCACTTTCTAAGACTGGTGAATATTAAAAAGAAAGTGAGAGCCAAAATGCTTTTTCACCACAGATTTGGACTTTAACTGCTGGATTTTTTAGAGCGAAGCCTGTTCGTACGCTTGGCACCATGCCCTACCATGATGAGGAGTACCCAGGCCAGCCTCTCTGGCAGTCTGTGCTGCTTTTCTGCTGCAAGGGCATGATCGAAGGCATCATGATCCTTCTCTTCTTCTGGCTCCTGGTGCAGGTCCTCTTCACAAAACAACTGGAAGGTATGCTTTGGTTAAATCTGGTTTTTCTTGATGACATCAACTTTAGGAGAGTCTTCGCAAGAATTAAATGTAAACTTTTCAAATGAAATCCGTCAAAAAAGTAATGAAACTACCATCAAAAGACCAAAGCTTCTGGTTACAAGTAAACCATTTGACTTAGTAAAATTCTTTATTAGTCAAAAAAAAAAATCACAAATTTCACAAGGCAAATGTCAAAGTATGTTCAAGTGTTTCCTTGTAGCGTTGCTTTAACTTTCAATAACTCAAGTGGGAAAAAGGATGAGGATTGTCAACATCTCAATTTATTGCACATTTCTGACAGATCTAGGATTTGATGACTCCTCCATTTCAATCATAATGGGTTTAAGGATATTGCAGACAGCCAGGATTATTTCAGGAATATTATTCTCTGTGAACATGATTACATTTCACTGTTACTTTATGAGCGATTTACACGAGTCTGTTCAAGATATGACATGTAATCCAGTCATGCAGCTAGGTAGATAAAGCTTTTTTGAATTTCATATGGAGTGGTGAACAATCCTGTCTTCAAATGGTACTAACCTGCATGTTTTAGATGTTTTCTTGCTCCAGTACACCTGAGTTAATGGTTGAATATCTGAATGGTATGTCCAGAAGTTCTGCAGAATCCTGGTAATGACCAGGGGTCTCATTTATCAAACATTGCGTAGAATCCTTACTAAAACCGTACTTAAGCTCAGCAAAAAAAGGTACTTACGCCAAGTAGGTTTGTGATCTATCAAACATGGAGTACGCACAGCTGCACGCAATCTCTGCTTCAAAAATCGGAGACTAACGAGAATGTTTCTTAGCTGCATTTTAGTCACATCCCACCTTCACCACGCCCAATTACTGCCATAAATGTTCAATGCAAAGTGCCTTGTGGATCTCATGCATATACACTGGCTGTTGCAGCGCTCCGCCAGTGACGATGGCGACCGTAGATCAAGGCAGATCAAGGAAGCGCAATTTCACAGAAGCAGAAATTCAGGTACCTGTGGGTGAGGTGGAGAAATGAAAGGAAGTGCTTTTGCAAAACAAATAAGAGAAAATCCATGGAATGGCACAGTGTTGCTGAAGCCGTCACTGTTGTGAATTCTTCAGAGATCTGTGGCGGATATAAAAAAATGATCCAATCAGGATTTGATCCCCAGACTCTTGGGTGAAAGTCACGCACGCTAGCCAGTCAGCCAAACGGAGATCTCCCCTGTACAGCTAGCCAGGGCGTATCATCAGTTGGGTCACAGTGACAGGACACACACTGTCAGTGACTACGTTTACATGCAGCCAATTTCCGGGTTATGATCGGGTTAAGGTCGGTATTCGGGTTTCTGAGTTGATCAGAATAACCCCTTTACAAGCACAAATAGAAAGATTTACCCCTAACTTGCATAACCCGATTTAGATGCGGACGTTGGGGTAGCGCCAGGACGTATGGACTACGTCCAGACGCAATATGCGTCATTTCCGGTTCTTCTTGTTCCGGTATCCGTGAAAACAACATGTTTCCCAGTTCGGAAGAGATAGCGACCGCGTTTGTTTGCGCTTTAGTTTCCTTGTCACTCCAAAAGTGTGGTGCTGTGCCACGACTCGCCATGTTGCTCCCAACTTGTTGTTTACTTCCGGAGTTCTGGCGCATACAAGACGTCTCGCTACTCAAAAGACCAAGGTTCCTTGCGAACAGAGCATGCGCAGAACACACACTTTGATGGGGATATCCCGATATGCGTTTACACGACCAAACATTCGGGTTAGAAAAGGGTTACCCCAGGTGTAGTAACCGGGTTTTTAAAAACCTGGTTATGAACATATCCGGATTTTTGGCGGTGTTTACATGGACCTGTGGAACCGGGTTATTGAGTGCGTTTACATGCAGCCAGTAACCCTTTAAAACCCCGAATATTCACAATTACCCGGTTTCGCACGGCCTTGTAAACACCGCCAAAACCCCGGATATGTTCATAAGTTATCATAACCGGGTTTTTAAAAACCCGGTTACTACACCTGGGGTAACCCTTTTCTAACCCGAATGTTTGGTCCTGTAAACGCATACCGGGATATCCCCATCAAAGCATGTGTTCTGTGCATGCTCTGTTCGCAAGGAATCTTGGTCTTTTGAGTAGCGAGACGTCTTGTATGCGCCAGAACTCCGGAAGTAAACAACAAGTTGGGAGCAACATGGCGAGTCACGGCACAGCACCACACTTTTGGAGTGACGAGGAAACTAAAGCTCAAGCAAACGCGGTCGCTATCTCTTCCGAACTGGGAAACATGTTGTTGTTTTCACGGATACCGGAACAAGAAGAACCGGAAATGACGCATATTGCGTCTGGACGTAGTCCATACATCCTGGCGCTACCCCAACGTCCACATTTAAATCGGGTTATGCAAGTTAGGGGTAACTCTTTCTATTTATGCTTGTAAACGAGTTATTATGATCAACTCACAAACCCGAATACCGACCTTAACCCGATCATAACCCGGATATTGGCTGCATGTAAACGTAGTCACTGTGAATATTCGGGTTTTAAAAGGGTTACTGGCTGAATGTAAACACACTCACAGACGCATGACAGTCTGTCCCCCTGCTGATATTCTGCATTCCGTATTCGATGTTTCAGGCTGTGTGTGTGTGCACACACACGCGCGCGCGTGTGAGTGTGCGTGCATGTGTGTGTGTGTGTGTGTGTGTGTGTGTGTGTGTGTGTGTGTGTGTGTGTGTGTGCGCATGCACACGCGTGTTTGTGTGTGCATGTTGGGGTCTTGTTCTGTGTGAAAACGAAGCAGTACAAGTAGGTGATAGCCAGGTCCTTAGTCAACTTAAAGTTGCGCACATTTTTCCGCTAAGTTTTCTTCCATAAATCCCAAAGTTTGCGTGGTAAGTTGCTTACGCAGTTTTCCGACCCCGTTTTGTGAGTAAGCAAGCTTGATAAATGAGGCCCCTATTAATCAAACCAGCTGTTGCAGAGAAATGTCTAAAAGATCAGGATGGTGACCCTCTGGGATCAAGACAGGACACCACTTCTTTGAATGAGTAAAAACAGGAAAACGATGAGCTTGTGACATTAGTCCCCAGGTCATTTTGGGGTTTGCCAATAAGTTTTAACCTAAAGCAGGCAGAAGATGGACTGATGTTCTCATCTTTCTCTCACATTGGCATGGAGTATTTGGTTCCGCAGACTTGCTTTGATCCAGATGTTTGCACAGGTTTCTTATGGACCTGAACTACAGCAGAACTTTTGCAGCAACTTGATTCTTCTCTCTCCGTCATTCTGTTGCAAATATTCTGTTGTACTCTTTTGTAACGGAATGAAATGACTGTTTTCCACCTAAAAGTAATTTCCCCCCTCTCCTCAGCAAGAACTAATCTGCATGAGATATTGTTCAAGGTCTCATGCATTTGCTTCTAAACTGTTTTCCTTTCCAGCCCAAGAGAAGAATGAAGACAAAGGACCCTGTCCTTTTAACAAATCAAAGAACTCTATTTTTAATAAAGCTAATCAAACAAAGTGTTAGTCAGTAATAAGATGTGGACCAATCTGTGAAATGACAATGTTATAATTAGTATGTTTAATGAGTGATATGACTTTAGTCTAGCTGCACTAGACATTCTGACGACACGTAATGTAAACGCATGACACATTGCTTTTACTCATCCAATCAGAGCCTTCTTTTCTAAAGCATGGCATAGTCTCTGTGGTGTTTATAAATCTGTCCAACTTTGATTCGACCATAAATCAAAACATCCAGATTAATAAAACCAGTCCCCACGCCATCTTAGATCAGTTCACTGCATGCTAAGAGGAGTATCGGACCGGCCACCCAGACTTCCTTTATAAGCAAAGAACCAACAAGCTGGATAAAATCTGTTGCATTTTACCAACCAAGCAACGGTTCCCTTCAGAATAAAAGCTGAACTCACTGACCCTCCGGGTCCATCTGACGCTGTCAACCAACTGTCGCTTTTTACCTGGAGACAATCCAAAGACTAGTCTGTCGTACTGCTGACGCTGTTTCATCGGCTCTGGTACCGAAAGGGGGGGTTAAGGGGACCTGGCATTCTGGATCTGTACGGAGGTCTCATCCTGAAGGGTATGTGTGGAGCGACAACATGGCGTCTCATGTGTTTACGGAACTCCGATCATAGCTTAAGCGCAAAACATCACTTCATCACTCAGACTTGCTTCTCCGGATACGAGAGTTCTGATGACAACATCACTCACACATACACCATTCATCTCACATTTCATTCACACCAAGATCCATCCATTCACTTAGAGTTTAGAGTTAGTCTTGTTTAAAATTGTTTAGAAATAAATCTTCTTAAATGTTTTAAAGGTGACTCTCTCTTCTCTTGTCTCTCAGTTAATACGAAGTGTTACATAATCCCTGCAATTAAAAGTTCCAATCTTCTGGTTAAAAGTACCCAAAGGTCCATAAGATTGATTTGATATTTACTATGAAATCTCACATCTTATGGTTCATTAAATAGATGTAAAATTAACCCTTTACACTTTCATGACCCACTTTTACAAGTGATACTTTTTATTTTACTAGGGATACTAAGCAATTTTGGCTTAGTTTTAGCACCTCCTAGTGTCTGTTAGTGAAAGCAAAAGTGAAATTTGTCTCCTGTTGTTCGTCAGTTTGTCTTTTAAACACCTTAATCTAAATGCTGTAATGTCTCCTCAGTCCTCATTAGTTTCTACAGGAGTGATTCATCACTAAATCAAACAAATCAGCTGTCTTCATGATTTAAAACATGCCGGGAACGTGCTGGAAGCAGACTGCAGTGCCGGGCATGTCAGCTCAGCTTTTAAGTCCAACAGGGACTGAGCACCTTTTCTCTGAAGTTGCAAGTGCATAAATCTGGCCACAGAGGTCAGAGGGGGTCTCAGTGACATTTCATCTACCATTTTAACACATACTCTCTCAAGAAGATTGTTTAAAAATATAAAAAGTTGCACTGTGCCTTTAAATTTCATCAGTCTAACACAGGGGTACTCAATTCCAGTCCTGGAGGGCCGGTGTACATCACGTTTGAGTGGCTTCTCTGCTCCAACATGCTTGTTTCAGTGGTTGAATCACCTGTACAGCAGCTCATCAGGCCCTGCAGAAGCCTGTTAATCACCTGATGATTGAAATCTGGTGTGTTGAAACAGAGTTAAAACTAAAACGTGCTGATACCGGCCCTCCAGGTCCAGAATTTAATACTTTTACTACATGATGAGATTTTCTAAAGGTACTAATGGTAAATGGCCTGTATTTGTACAGTGCCTTCTTAGGGCTCTACAACCCCCAAGGTACTTCACAACACATTCACCCATTCACACATTGGTGATGATGTAGCCACAGCTGCCCTGGGGCACAGTGAACAGAGGCGTGGGCTGGTGGGTGAGGTGTCTTGCCCAAGGAGACAATAGCAGCATTCTCTGGCAGGAACTGGGATTGAACATGCAACCTTCCAATTACTGGACAAACCGCTCTACCTCCTGAGCTACGACTGCCCATGTAATAATGTGTAGCCTTGAATTTAATAGAAGATTTGTTTAACTTTAAATCAAAACCACAAGAAGTCTAAACTGTTGTTCTCCGTTTTATTTCTGCAGTTCACCTTCAGGTTCTTCTTTTGGTCGGACTGATCATATTTTGTCTGACTTTGATTCTGGGATGCATCATGTGCTGGAAGAAAAGTGACTTGTGCTCAGGAAAAGACAAAGCTCCGGTCCCATCAGCCCTGCCTGCTGTTGAGCCGTTGAACTCTGCTCGTAGCCGACGTCCTTCAGGAGCTACCGCTGCATCCAGGCAGCTGTACGAGGAGCTAGATGGAGACCTGCTGGAGTACCCCTCCACCTTCACCAGCCCAGCCCCGTCTCAGAGTGAAATAGTCTCTCAGCCATTTTCTGATCAAGATCATAATCAGAGAACAACTTATTTCTCCGTTCGCCGCCTCAGCTCCCCTCTGCAAACAGCACCCCTCTACAAACCCATGCATCCCAGCCGTGCTTCGCTGCCTTCGCTTCCCTCACTGCCCAAACTGGGGATGTTGACTAGAACATGTAAGGCCATGCAAAGGCACAGCAGTGTCACAGGTGACAATAAATCCTACAATGAACACAGCAGACTCACCATCAACTCCTCATTAATGCCTGGAAATCTAATCCCTATGGCTCAACTGAACTACGGCTCCAATGCAAACTGCAAACAGCTGTTTTCATTTAAACCCTGCCTCCATTTTACCATGGCCCTCTGTCTGGAGCAGCATACTTTAACAGTCACTGTCTTAAACCTCACTGGGAGGCCTCAGGGATTGGAGGATGTTACTGTGCTGGGAAGTCTGCCACCCCTGCATGAATGTCCGACTCCAGCCACAACTCGGAGAAGCCTAAGCCCTGAGTCGCTCAGCTTGGTGCTGGTTTTTAACGTGAGCTCTGTGAGCGAGATCCCAAGCTGTGAACTACGGTTAGCTGTTTATGAGGACAACACACAGAGCACAGACGGCTGCGCTCTGGGTGAGGTGGAGTTCAAATGTGAAGGAAGAGACTGGAGAAAAGAGCATCCATTGATCCTCGTGAAAGAACTTACTGCAAACAAAGTGAACACTGAAAAGGTATCTGTGAGAAATGGTTTGAATGATGTCTGGATCACGGCAAAATGTCCTTCAGATTTCGTTGTTACCAACATTTATAAGGCAATGGATACTTGCTCGAGGGCTGCGCAGTGGTTAGAACTGTTGCCTTGCAGCAAGAAGATCCTGAGTTCGCTTCCCAGCCTGCGATCTCTCTGCATGGAGTTTGCATGTTCTCCCTGTGCATGCGTGGGTTCTCTCCGGGTACTCGGCTTCCTCCCACAGTCCAAAAACATGACTGTTAGGTTGATTGGTCTGTCTAAATTATCCTTAGGTGTGTGTGCATGATTGCTTGTCCTGTGTGTCTCTGTGTGGCCCTGCGATGGACTGGCTCTCTGTCCAGGGTGTACCCCGCCTGATTGCCCATTGACCGCTGGAGATAGGCAGCAGCCCCTATTAATTGATAATTAAACCTCTTATCCCCTAGCGTAGCTGCTACTTACCACATTTATAGCAGTTTCCCTCACATTTAATGTTCCTTTTGTCCTGAAAGGATTGGAAGCTCACTTAACTCAGACATTTTCTTCTCCTTGTGCAGTTCGATGATATCACCTTAGTGAGATGTGTCTTTCACACAAAACTTAGAGCTACTTTTGTCGCCTGTCGAATCAAACATCAAGATCCGTCTTTAAAATTCACAGACATTGTGTTAAATCCATGTCACATATCACACAGGATTACATAAGAACTTTCATCCTGTCATAGACTCCCATTCATCTTTTTTGGGTAGCTGGGGGACCCATGGTATGGAAGTAGAAGAATTAGAAGTAGTAATTAATTATTCTGACACCCAAAAACTAAAATGGCCAAAATTAACCTATAAAAGACACAACATTTTTTTACACTATTTATGTTACAGAACAACAAAACTAGAGATCCTATGGCCAAGAAGGACAATCTTAGAGGGTCCCAATATGAACGGAAAAAGAAGAGAAGTTCTCAGAAGTTTGTTTTATGTTAAGCTTTGAGGAGAACAGCGTCAACTTTCCTGTCTTGTTAACTGAGAATAATTTTCTGGCCTTTGAACCTTTTTCCAGTCACTGCAAAGTCAGACCTCCCAGGATGTACTGAGGGGGTCCAGCTGTCCTCCACAGATCTTCATTGGGCTTCAGTATCAGGCTCTGACCCATTGCATCAAAGTCACGGTCCTCAGAGCTGAAAACCTCCAAAAGCTTGTTCACACACAGATGGCAGCAGGTAACAACTTTTTAGAATCTCTTTAATAGGACAAATTCAAACATAATGCGACTGTGTAAAGAGAAATTATTTATACTTATCAGGGCCAGAGGTAAAGTAATTCCCTAAGTTTGCTTTTAATATTTAGGGGATTATTTGATGTCTCACAGAAGTCCAACGCTGCAGGAGATCATCCCTTTTTAACAATGAGGTCGTAGTTTAATCCTTTACTATTTAAAATCTGCAGGAAAATGTCCCAGCCTCCACAGAAACTCTGATAAATCTAATCTTTGTTTGGTCTGCCTATCTTTGAATTATTTTTACCATAGCAGACCCCAGCTTTTATCCAGAACCACCGGGTTTTACACAACAGTGAGGTTACAAGTTCAGTACTCAGGCTGCAGCTTTCTGAGTGAGGTTCCCGTGTTCTACTCATGCATGGATGCATGCATGGGTTCCCCCCAGGTGCTCTGATTTCCTCCTACACATAAAACACATGTTTAGGTTAACTGGTGACTCTAAATGCGTCATACAATTATTGTCAGTGCAGTTTTTTTTTGGGTTGTATTTGAAGAAGAAGAAGAAGAAGAAGAAGAAATCATTTCTAAAGTGCCTCTCAAGATAAAAATCACGAGGTGCTTCACAAAAACAAAAAATGTAAAAATATAAAAAAGAATTTAGAAAATGGTTAAAAATATATTTAAAATGAGCAAAAAATAGACAATTGTGATTTTAAAAAATGTTAAGAAAGAGAGAGTGAATAGGAAAGAGGGAAATCAGTGGATCCTGAGGAAGGTGGAATAGGTGGAGAGAGCAGAATAAAGAGAGAGTGGTTGAAGAAGTTCATACAAAAACCAGCCTGAACCAGGGGCGCAGATAGGATTTTAAAACTGGGGGGGGGGGGGGGGGACAAAGTTCCATTGTACCCTCCCCCAAACACATACACGTACGTACACATACACAGGCATTTTGAACCACCTGTAGACGGTTCAGGGAGGTTCTGCTCAGACACGTGAAAAGAGAGTTACAGTAGTCTAAGCGTGAGGAGATGAAGGAGTGGAGAACTGTCTCAAGTTCAGAGCGGGACAGAATGGGACTCAGTTTAGCAATGTTCCTGAGATGGAAGAAGGAAGAGCGAACAAGAGAACTGACATGAGAATCCAAATTTGCAGTTCAATTTGCATTTGAACTTCAGTTTTTTGTGTATAAATGTGTTACAACCCTCTGATGTTGTTTGTGCATCTGTTTAAAGATTACCAGGTGATTATAAACCTGCACAACGAGGGAGTTTTGATCAGCAGCAGAGAAACAACACGAGAATCCTGCACCGTTTGGAATAAAACATCCTTCCTGTTTAAGCTGCCTCCAGGGGACATCCATCAGCTGCCAGTCCTGTTTGAGTTTGTAATCATGCAGGTATCTCAGAGTCTCTGACAGTTTTTAACAGACTTGGATCCACTGTGACAATACTAACCCTCTCCTTTTTTTTTGGTGGAAACAGTGTCATGCATGCTCAGATAGCACAGCTGTTGGTCGAGTGCGGATCGGTGCAGATGCTGCAGATGCAGGACGTAATCATTGGATGGACATGTGCAGCCTGCAGGTGGAGCGTGCACGCTGGCACATCATTCAACCAGAGACACTTCAACATGTCGGTGCTGCAAAAGTGTTATAACCAATGAAATCACAAAGTGTTGCACTTACTATCTTCTTTCAAAGTCAGTGTTTCACACATCAGGAAACAATGAAAGAAGTCCTAAAATCAGGAAATACATCCTTAAATGAATCGTCATGTTATAAGAATGAAGGTGTATTAAAAATAAATTACCTTTTAATTATTTTTCATTTTCAAGCAGCCATATTTGTCTTTTTTTAACATGAGATGATTTTAGTTTTTAATTAGCACTCTTTGAAAATACTTCATGCTGACTGTGAGGTTTCAGAGTCTAAAATAAAATTAGTTTTCTCCGCAGGTTGGCAGGGCTCTCCCTTAGAGATAGGGGGAGAAGCACGTTCTTCTGGGAGGGGCTCAGAGTAGACCCGCTGCTCCTCCACATTGAGAGGAGCTAGATGAAGTTGCTCAGGCATCTGGTTAGGATGCCTCCCTGGTGAGGCTTTCCAGGCACGTCCAAAACCAAGACCTAAAGGAAGACCCAGGACACGCTGGAGGGACTGTTTCTCTCAGCTGGCCAAGGAACGCCTTTGGATACCCCCGGAGGAGCTGGCCTATTGGCTGGGGAGAGGGAAGTGTAAGCCTCCCTCCTAAAGCCTAATTTATAGGCTCTGTCCCTCTGCGTTGGGACAGACACACACAACACCATTATTCGTCCTTGCGATGGCTCTCCGGCAGGCTTGCAAGGACGGACGGAGTCGAGCTCCCTTTACTAAACATCCATCCATCGAGATGGAGAACGCAAGCTTGTGATTGGTCAGGACGCTGCTGTCATCTACAGGGCCGCCATTGCGCCTTCAAAAACATAAAGAGAGCCGAGGCTATCTAGCGGCAGACATGGAGAAGCTTGAAGAATACCTCATGGAAAAAACTCTAAAAATATTAACGTTTTATTCCCCTGTGACTGGAGGAGTGAAAATGTGTGCAGCACAGTGGACGGAAATGATGTGAAATGTAGGTTTAGGGGTGGTGAGTGCATGATGAGGTGGAGGAGAATGAGGGACAAATTTGTCCGTGTTAAAAAGTCTCTTAAATACAAAAATAAAAATAAAAAGCACTATATAAATGCACTGTCTTGGACCAGATCTATGACAGGATACCCCAGAACAGCGCTACGCCCTCTGTTGTCCTGGCGGGAATTTGCTTTGCAACACTCCCCGGGAGACGGAGAAGTATGAGGGCAAATTGTCTCTGGCCGTGCGTGCGTTTCTTTCCCTGGCGGAGCTCATGGAGAAGAATAAATTAGGCTACTGCCCCCGCGACCCAGCGCCGGAGAGAATGGATGAATGATGGCATCAAACAATTTTAATAGGTGGTTTATTTTTGCAACTTTCTGATGTTTATATCCCAGAAAAATCAGGAAAAGTGATGCAAGTTATTGAATTTAGCACTTTGGTTTTTATTTAGATACTCTTGCAATACGAAACATGATATTTCATCAGTAAAGAAAAACAAAAACAATGTTTGGAAATGTGTTTTGAATAAATTCAACACTATTTTGCTGAAGCTTTTATGTATTTGTTGTTTAATTTGTTATTTATTTATTTATTTTTTACAAAAGTTTAAACTAAACACAAAACCAGATGTATGAAACATGGGTTATTTCTTTTACTTGAAGTAAAAAGCAGCAAGTTAATCAGTGAAAGTCAGAGTATTTCCTGGGAAGTACTAATATAACTTGAGTCCATGCATCTCACAAAACACCAGACTGGAGATTTCCTTCCTCTTCATCTTCACCTGGGCTGCAGATCTCTAAGATCTCAGCCAGGATAACACCACCAGGATAAAGAGGGTGTGTGTTCCTCCGCTGTAGGTCACACTCATCCCTGCTGAACTCCAGGTAGCACGACTCACTTCCTGTGGTTTGTGGGTCCTCGCTGGGCTGATTGGTTTTTACAGCTTAATTAAAAAGGTTAAAAAAAAAATCATTGTCTACACGTGACACAGATCATTGAGAGCGCAAATGACATCATCTGTTGGAAAAATAAATCCCTGCTGCAAAGAAGATCCGTCTGTCAGAAAACTCACCCTATCCCTACCCTACTGACAGAGCATTACCTTACCCCTCCTTGATTGATCTATAAGGAAAGATTCAGATCTCACAGCAACCAGCTTTAACTGATGCCTTTTAATAAATCTGGCCCTTTTATGCAAACGTGCATCGGATAAAGTTGGAATATTACAATTAATCACACTCATTGCACCGCTCCCTGCTTTCTGGGTGAAACTTATCGCAGCCGAAGCTAAAATTTGCACGTATTCATAGATCATTTTTGTGGTTGCTTTGAAGTTTGAAGATGAATTTGGTAAAGACGAATGTTTGTGATTCCAAGCATCAGAAACATGACCGGGTGTCTGACTACATCTTGGCAGCAACTCAGGAAACGCCAGAAATGTCAACTTTTTGTTGTTTCATTTACTTGTTTTTTAACAAGTAAATGTCTTTTCATTATGCAAGAACTCCCACATTCGTGCATCGAACAAAACTCCGGTCAAAGTTTGTTTTAAATGCACCTTTTTAGAGAAGATTTATGTTGATGTTCTTTCCTTTGAGATGTTCCTTCTTTGACTTTTAAAACTGAATTGTAAAAGTACATAAAAATTAGTAGGGACACTGATGTTTATTGATTTTTACATCATTTGAGTGTCTGATTTTTCCTGTTTCATGTCTGGAATTGAATTAATTTGCAACAACATTTACTTATTTATACATTTTCAACAAATCCATCAGGGTCTGTTTACTTCATCAGTCAGAATAAAGTTTGGTGATTTTGATCAAAAAAATCTCTACAATAGTCAGTGATGCAGTGATAGATTATGACTGATATATTTGAGCCACACATGCTCCAGCTTCACATTTAGTTACTTCTGCTGTTTAAACCTCTGACTGCAGAGTTTTACCTCAGCACAAGTTTCTTTTGCATCTTCCTCCTCCTCTCTAAACCAATCACTGTCCTCTTCGTCCTCTTCATCCTCCTCGTCCTCCTCGAACACCGGCATCAGTCCTGAGCTGTGATGCCAGTTTCTCCTGTCCCATCCTGCCTGCAGGAACATAACCTTGGTTGTATTTTAAATATGTTTTCTGCAGTATTTGTGTGCTTCAGGATTGTTGTGCATTTTATTTCACTCACCCTTACAAACAAAGATGGAGTCCAGTCTTGGGGTGAGGTGGCTCCAGTTTGAGCTGATGTGTCCAGCACCTGACCATCCTCTTTTCCTTCTCGCTGCTTAAACAGACTCTTTAACTGAGAAAAGTTAAAAGGGTTAGAACATATTTAGAAATATTTTTAAACAGCTGAGCAAATGGAGCTCTGAGTTAGAAGCACTGCTGTAAAGCGAAATACCTGCTCTGTGATCATTCGTCTTCGCTGCTCCATCTCTGGATCAACCGTACAGATCAGCTTATCCTTCCTGTCTTCAGCTGATAATTTCTCCTCTTTATCCTGCAGACAAACTCTGCATCATCACTGCACTCACCACCACACACACGAGGTATACTGTGTGCTGCATCACAGCTTATACCAGGTAGGGCTGTTGTTTCAGATGCATCTCAGCAGCTAGCAGGTCCGTGTTCCTCCCATGCTCTAGAATTATACGAACAACATCTATTTAGATCTGAATAGAGACACATTTCTGCTTTTTCACATTGTATTGAGCTCACACCATCTGGCTGCAGTGAGGCAGGGTCCAACACATCTGACTGCAGGTCTCCATCATCTTTGCCCTCTTCAGACACTTTTTTCATCAGCTTTTACAAAATAGGAAGTAAGGAAATATGAGATGATGCTTTTATTAAAGATGTCTTTTTGATCAAAGGTGGATCAGTACCTGCAGCTGCAGAGTAGAAATCTTGATCTGAGCTTCAGTTTTTTCCATCTCTCTCATTTTTTCTAAACTCCTAAAGGCTTGTTCTCTGACACAGAAAATTAAACAGTTAATGTCCGGTCTTTAAACGCATCAGAACTCACTAGAAAACAGCTAACCTTTCAGTCATTTCCTTCTCCTTTTCTGCTAGTTTCTGTCTCAGACTTTGCACCTGGTCGTTTTGTGTCCACGCCTGTGGATTAATGAACATTTAGCTGGCCTGTGAATAAAACAGCCCCTATAATAAGGTACTGAATGTGGATTTTAGTGTGAGAGGACCATACCTGTGTGTTTTGGTCAAACTGGGGCTCTGGTGGATGCTCACACACCAAATAGGATTTTGATAAGCTGACAATTAAAGAGGCAGATCACAGCATTTCTATTTGAGGATTTGCCAACATTACATTCTGCAAATTAAAATCTTCAGCAGCATTCACTCACTCTGTCTCTTTTGGGATAGTCTGAAGCCTCTGGACTCCTGGAAAGGCAATCTCTCTACATTTTAGTGCCTCCCTGTGTTTGTAGGGTCAAATGACACCTGTCCTCTAATCTGTGGCTTTGTTACATAAACTTAGAAAACTGTTTTAATCTTTACCTTGTGCCTGATGGCTCTGAGCCCTGCTTGGTTCCTGCTCCAGCTCTGGTTTGTTGTTTTGAAGCTCAGCCCTCAGCTCTGAGCCAGACTCCATCTGTGCAAAACAAAACGTGCAGAACTTTATTTAAAAACATCTCAAGATTTCCCTTTTTCTGCATTATATCAATTTAATTCATTTTAGCTTTAAAACTGATCTGAATCTAGTAAAATCCAATTTTACATTAAATATTTTGAACACTGTTACATTTCACTGTGCACAAGGTTTTATTTATCAACAAGAAAAATGGCCGAAATCCCAATCATCCTCCACAAGTCATCATTTATTGGTGAGATGCTTTCTTACTTGATCTGCAGAAGTCCTCCTTGTGAGTTCTTCTAATTGGTTCTGTGTGGCCTGAAGGGTCAGAGCCGCGTTTTGCCACTTCTCAGTCCAGTGTGAAGCCACAGCTTTCAGCTCATCAATGCATCTGACCCTCATGTCATCTTGTTTGTTAAACTCCTCCTCCTGAAGGTGCAGCATCCTCTCCTTGTCTTTGACTCCAGCCTCTAAAACCGAACACTGATCGTGCACTTTCTGAACTTCTAACTCTAAAACTTCCAAGGATTTCCTGGTAAACAGATCAACACAAAAAGTGAGTAAATGTGTGGATTTTCTCTGATTAACATCAGCTGAAAAAATGGTCTGATCTCCATCTCACCTGTGCTGGCAGCTCTTTTCCTCCGTTTCTTGTGCACATTGGTTTATTTTGGTCAGCAGCTCCTCTTTCTCTCTGATCAGCTGAGAGCGCTCTGCCTCCAGATCTGAGATCAGTTTTGAGTTTGTGACTTTCTCCTTGTTCAGCTCCTGCAGCTGACGCTGACATGTGTCAAGGCTCTTCTGGATCAGTTCAGCTTTTTTTTCCAGCTTTTCATTTTTCTGCTCCAAAACCACATTAAACACATTTAAATGAACTTGATTCATTTTTAAATAATCCTTTTTAAACTCCAAACCTCTTGGAGAACGTCCAAGTCCTCCCTTTTCCATTCAGAGTTGTGATTTTTTGGGGTCTCTGGGCCAGGTGAGTTTCTTATGGTTTTCTCCAGTGGCTCCTCCAGGTTCTGGGCTCTGTGAAGGCGCTCCTCCCTCTCCTAAACGTGATTAATAGCATTTATAAAAGGTTTAAGGTAAATTTCAATGAAAGTTTATGACACAAGAGAGCTTCATGCTACCTGGATCAGGTGATCGTTGGCACACAGAGCTTCTCTCAGCTTGGTTTTTAGTTATTTGACATCATTTTCCAACTTCAGCACATGTGTGGAAAAAATAGCTTTGTCCTGGTGGAATTTGAAAACATTTTTATCCAACATGGATTCTAGTTTGATTTACTATGAGATGTTTGAGGCTGACATCATAAAAAAAACATTTTATAGCTTTTGTCAAAAACAAAAGCATATTTTATTTGGACTGACTGAGAAAGGCGTTGGTTGATCTAATAAGGGGAGTTTTTACTGACCTGATAAGCTTGGCTGATCTGGTTGCTGGCTTCTCTCAGCTCCTCATGCACTTCAAACCCCGTTTCCATCTCCTCTATTTTATGACTCATCATCCGTTTTGTCTGCATTCATGAAAATAATAACACAAAGTGGTGGATGAGGACATGTGAACCCCAGGGATTTGACTCAGGCTGGTTTTGCTACCTCTTCAGCTCTCCGAAGATCACTGAGAGCTTTGTTTCTCTCTTCTTCGTGGGTTTTGGCCCTCGCCTCAGCTTCTTTCAGAGCCTCTCTCAACTTGTTCAGCTCTGATTCATTGTTTTCCTTCTTCTGAGTTCAAACCAATATTAAAACAGGCATATTTTGGCAGCACATGTTTTACATGTTTATTTAAAATTTACAAACCTGTTTTTCAAAGACTTCTTGGTTTTTTGGACTCAAGTTGCTGAGTGAGATGGGAGCCAAGAACCCAATCAGCTGATCATCACCTCCTTTATCCAAAGCAGACATCATCTGCAGCAGGTCTTTCTCCAGCTTTAGGACTCTTGAGAACAAATGTCAGATCAGGATTTTCACACATCTGAATCTCATATTTGTTTGTATTTAGTTGAACTTACTTTTCATGGAGCTCTCTTTGCTCTCGGCTCGTGTCAAACTGGGAAAACTCTGATGCATCCCGACCAATTCTGCTGATTGTTTCTGACAGCTGCTGTGATTCATGTGGTTAAAGGATGACAAACATAAAGGCCCAAATATGTTGCTTTTCCATAAAACTCATTCTTTACCTTTTGTTTTGTGTCAAACATATTCGCCATAGTTGTGTTGTAGCTTAGGTTCATGTCTCTGGTCCTCAGCCAGTCCAGCTGAGATTCCAGTCTATCGTGAGTATCCTGGAGCCATCGTTCTGCTTCTGTTGGATAAAAGCTGCTTTCACCCCCACTCACTCTAAATTCAGATCCTGATGAAGAAGACCATCTTGTGGATGTCTTAGGTGCTAGATTATACATTGAGTGCCACCTCCGGGGACCTGGATCATTCTTTCTGAAGCCAGATGTGTGGAAACATCCCAATTAAAAATAGAAGCAATATTTAGGATTTTGTCACTTGAATATCAGTAAAACTAACTCACCTAGCTCTGATTTTTGACAGGAACCCTGATCCAGATGCAGATGATGAACCACGCCATGCTGAAGTCTGAAAAATAAGCAATAAGCATCACACCTCCTGTCTCCGAACTTCGGAGCTTCTTAGGGGTGTGCAACTACTCGCGCCAGTTCGTAGAACACTACGTTGAGATAGCGAGACCTCTGACTAACCTACTGAAGAAGGATGTGCCTTTTGAGTGGACTGAGCAGCAGCAACAGGCCATGGATGACCTGAAGGCCGCATTATGCTCAACTTCGTGCTTGGCGCTCCCCGACTGTGACAAGGAGTTCCACCTTGAGGTCGGTTTTTCATCTCACTGTTTGAGTGCCAGTCATACCAAGTATATGACTGCGACAGGCGTGTCGTAGCCTATGCTAGTAAGCTCTTGTCCGGTCCTGATTTAAAGTACTCTGGCTGTGAAAAAGCTTTGCTTTCCACCATGTGGGCAGTGAAACACTTTTCCAGCTACATCAGTGGACAGAAGATCATCATTGAGACTCAGCACCACCCTTCCTTAACAGTCAGCACATCAGAGATGGTGTGGTGACCAATGCGTGAATCGCGTCATGACTGCTGGCTCTTCAAAGCTTCGACATCGAAGTACGCTATGGCCAGAACCGCCGTAGCCCTCTTGGCATGGGTTTGGCTACGTGCCAACACTGCTTGGATGATGCTGTCACATCAGTCCCGCCAGCTAGCCCTCCTCATACTCTTCTAAACCCCAACCATGACTACTTCGATCAGTCTCTCTGTGTGGACTTGCCGACCGTGTACGTCGATGGCAGTTCTTTTCGACATGGTCCTACGCCTAGGTCAGGCGTGGGTGTCGTCTGGTTGAACGCTGACCAGAAGAACTCCCGATGTTACTGGTTGGGTCCTAAGACCTCATAGTTTGCAGAAGTGGCTGGGATCTTGATAGTACTACACTTGCTGTGGACCGTGGTGTCCGTGAGCTGGTGATTTGCACTGACTCAGACTACGCACGTCTCAGTTTCATTTGTCATCTACCTTCTTGGAAGAGTCACGGGTTCCTAACCTCTAACCAGAAGCCCGTTAAACATCAGGACCTCTTCATGGCTTGTGACGCCCTAGTGACATCACATGAATTGCACATTTACTGGCGTAAAGTCAAAGGACATTCTCGTGCACCCGGAACTGATAAGGATCTGAACGGCCTTGCAGACTCTCTTGCCAAACAAGGGGCGGTCGATGGTACTCCATGTGTCTTCAACCCCTTGTGGCTTCCTGAGGATGTGTCTTCTCGGTCTGACCCACCCCATGTGTGTGTTGTGACTCGAGCTCAGGCTGCTAACGCGTCCACCTCCAAACCATCCGAGGGTGTGGTGTCCATTCAACTTGTCTTTTCTGGTAATGATCTTGTCAGTCTTCAGTCCCAGGACCCTGCTATATGCAGGATGATCCTGTACCTTTCTGATCCTACAACTCATCTGCCTTCTTCCGCCGAGCTTGACTCCGTTCCTGAGCTCCGTGCTCTATTTCGTGTTCGGGTCACGCTGAGAATGGTTGAAGGGTTGCTGATGCACGCTTCCAAGCCTCCTTTGCGCCTGTCCTCGTGGCGCCACGGTCACTAAGGGGGGACATGATCACGCAAGCTCATGACTCTCCCTCCGCCAGACACAAAGGTGTCAAGGCCACGTTCGGTGCCCTGAGCCGGGTTGCTTATTGGCCGGGGATGCGTCGCGACATCTCAGATCACGCCCAGCGTTGTTTGGTTTGTTGTCAGTTTCAGCCATCCAACCCCGCACACAGAGCTCTCCTACAGAGAAAGGGACCGTCCACACCGTGGTCAGAATTGCAATTTGATTGGGTGGGGCCTCTGACCAGGTCCAGGAGGGGTAATAAATACATCTTGACCGTGACCTGTGCATTCACCAAGTGGGTTGAATGTCTACCAGCACCTAATGACACGGCGAAAACAACAGCTATTCTCTTGATGAATCACATCTTTGCCCGTTCGGTCTTCCCACTTGGGTTGACTCGGACAGAGGTACTCACTTCACCTCTGAAGTGATTGCACATCTTTGGAAACTGTTGGGTGTGAAGGCCAATTTCCACATTAGCCATCGCCCCCAGTCTTCTGGCCAGGTCGAAAGGATGAACCGGACGGTTGTCGGCATGTCGAGGAAGTATGTGTGCTCTAATCACCGAGACTGGGATGTGAAGCTTCCGTTGGTCCTCATGGCCATACGGGCCACCCCTCATGAGTCTACAGGTGTCTCCCTGTTTGAAATGATGATGGGTAGACAAATGACCCTGCCACTTCACCTGCTGTACCAGCCAGTTCAGTCCGAGGCAAACCCGGCTTACACAAGCTAACAATATTTGCAGGACCTGAAGAACCATCTGCCTGCAGCATTCTCGTTTGCACAGACAAATCTGGAGAAATCAGCTGAGGGCAGGAAGGCTTATTATGATCAGAAGGCCTCACATTCTCAACTCAACATAGGTGATGAGGCCTGGTTCTACATTTTCGCTCCTAAAACTGGTAACACCAAGAACACCTCTGGGAAGCTGGCTAAGAAACTTTTGCCCAAGTGGTCAGGTCCATACCTGATAACTGATAAGCTTTTTCCAGTCGTGTATCAGATCAAGATTGCCCAAACAAACAAGGAGCCCGTCTACAAATGGGTCCACAGGGACCAAATCAAACCACACAAGGGTTCCACTAATTTGGTCAATGCTACCACCAACAACTTACCGACTTCGAAAGGGGGGTGATTTCGCGCCTCGTCGGTTCCATAGTTCTCTATCTCAAGTTACACAAGTTTGTCTATGTTTGTGTGTGCGCATGGTTGTCTTTCCTGTTTATGCATGATGGGCAGACTTGGGTGATTTGAGATGAACATGCTGTGGGTTCCTGAAGTCAGGTAATCAGTTAGTTAAGATGGGTTTAGTCCACATATTACTGTTATCCAAATTTTTTATTATTTTCACTAATCTTAATTCCTTAAGGGTACATTCACATGTAGGTTGATTACTAACTTCACTGATTTACATTTTAGTGCTCTTTGACACTCAAATATCTATCTTTTTATAGAATTTTACTACAGTGATTAAGTTTTGAAAACTTTATGATTAAAATTGTTAATTTATCTTTATGGGCTACAACCATTTTTGCCCTTCATGTTGATTACATTTTTACTTAGTGCAGTGATTTCTCCCTTACGCAGTACAGGGTTTTATTAATTTTATTCTTTTTGCACCACTTTTTCCCAATACACGTAGTGTATTGCACCCATTTCTTCACTTAAAATGCTAATTCACATAATTGCTACACATACAGTAGTACATGCAGGTACTCACAGTGCTAGGTTTCTTTTTGTTTATTAATTTGCATTAGACGCCATTTTGTTGTGTCTACATTGAGGTGCCCTGTGCTGTGCTCTCTCTCCTCTTCTGAGTTTCACTGATGATCCTCGCTTCCTGGGGGTGGACCTATGATTCGTCATCGGATTCTACTCCTCCTGATTGGTGTTCCGGCTCGTAGGAACCTGGACGTTCATGGATTCCGGCATGGCTGCTGGGATACTTCGCTCGCTGGGACCTGACCTACCTGCTGCTCTTTCCGGCACTGGATCACGATAAGTGCAATTAGAAATATCAATATACTATTTTGGAAGCATTCCCTACCCGTGGATATATAAAGTTGCTCCTGCTTCAAATTATTACTTCCACGTGGATATCTTAATAATCTGCTGACTTGTGTGCTTCCAAAAGGATTATGCGAGACTGTTGAAACCATGTACTGTTCTTCGGAGTGGGGTTGGTACCTCACCACTTTTGGCCTCTTCCTGGGGAACTGCAATTTCCCCTATCGTCGGAGTCCCTTTAGGACCCTGGTTTGTTCAACGCCAGGTGGTCTCTGTACGGACCACCGTACCATTGAAAAGGGGGGATATGTAACAGAATGAAATGACTATTTTCCACCTAAAAGTTATTTCCCCCCCTCTCTTCAGCAAGAACTAATCTGCATGAGATATTGCCTCAAGGTCTCATGCATCTGCTTCTAAACTTTTTTCCTTTCTAGCCCAAGAGAAGAATGAAGACAAAGGACTCATTCTTTTTAATAAATCAAAGAACTCTATTTTTAAAAAGCTAATCAAACAAAGTGTAAGTCAATAATAAAATGTGGACCAATTTGTGAAATGAAAATATTAATTACTTGATATTATAATCCTACAGAATATAATAAGTAATATAACTTTGAATGTTTCCACTAGAGACTGATCACATGTAGCGTTACGACATGACACATTGCTTTTACTGATCCAATCAGAATCTGCCAGAGGCGTGGTTTTGGTGGTGTTTGGTAAATCTGTCATCTTTTCATTCGACCATAAACCAAAACATCCGAAGTATAAAATTATGCCAACGTCATCTTTAACGCCAGTTCAAAGCGTTCTAGAGAAGTTGACGAAGTGGCCAATCCGTAACTTTCCTCTTCAGCCAAAAGAACCAACGACAAGCTGGATAATCCGTTGCTGTTCCAACTGCTGCAACGGTTCCTTTCAGAATAAAAGCTGAACCATCACGACCCCATTTTGGGTCTCGCTAGATGCCAACAAAACTGTCGTGACCCGGAAGTATCTCAAAGACTGGTCTGGTCGGCAACCGCTGCGTTTCCTACTGGCTTTGATTCCAGAGAGGGTCAAGCTGGGCCTCGACATTCCTGATCTAACGGGGACTTCCAAAAGGGTATGTAGGCCGACAGAATGGCGTCTTATGTGTTTATGAAACTCCAAATCAAAGCTTAGCGCGAAGACATCACCTTCACTCCCATCAGGACTAATCGTTTCTCCGGATTTGCTGGTTCTGAACAACATTTCACACTACACCATTCTCCGTCTCACTTCACCTTAGTTACACCATACATTTAGTGTTGAAGTTAGTCTAGTTTTAATTTGTTTAGTAATAAATCTTTAAATGTTAAAACTTGACTCTCTCTTCTGTTGTCTCTCAGTTAATACAAAGAGTTACATAATCCCTGCAATAAAACGTTCCAATCTTCTGGTTAAAAGTACCTAAATATCCATAAGATTGATTCCATATTTCCTATGGAATCTCATGTCTTATGGTTCATTAAATAACATGTAAATTAACCCTTTACATTATTTATTAATCCAGCTGAAAAGAGAAATTCTAATCAGATCATACCTGGGCTGTAAACTGAGAACTGGTGTCCCACATGTCTGTTCACGAGAAAAAGATGGGTTTGAATTTTAAAATAAATCAAATGAACATCCTGCAGAGTCTCTCTCTCAATCCAAGCCACAAGTTTGCTCTGTGAGGGAGAAACTGCTCATGAGTCTGCTTACATGAAGAGGAGAGATTTTCACACAAAGGTGGCAGCTGGAGGTTTGTGGCTATTCTTGGATCATGCCTCTCGATGGTTTCCACTGTTTACGTGATGATCAGCAGATATTTATTTTTGGGGGTATGGGTATATTAAAACAGTCTGAGGAGAAAAAAACTATGGATGAGTTGAATTATTTCAACAGTCCTATTTGTTCTGTCAGAAACTCTCCTGTTCGTTATTTACTCACTTTGGTTCATGATCCATCCATGGTGATCTCATTACACAAACACAGCTGGATGAGTGGATCATGATCATCACTTCCTGTATAGTCCCCACATGATCACACCTAGTCTGACCTACTGTTGTTAAGAATATCACCCAAATGTTAATAAGGCACAGAACTTGTCCTATAATTAAATGTTAATTTAAATCAAAACTGATTAGGGAAAGAACTAGTTTTAAATAGTTGTATGATTTTTTTAAGTGTGCAGGACAAGCAGTGTTATAAATCATCTGAACAGATACTGATATTCTCCAGGCCAGTGTGAAATGTTGCACAGCTCTGACTAAATCCTAAGATGTTTCCTTCCATGAAATAAACAGGTCAGAAACACTGATCTGCTTATAAAAATAGTGTGCAATAAATGGACTTAAAATAATTTAGAAGGAAATTTAAATAGCTGCTACATCTTCATGTTTACAAGAAATCAAGAGTTTAGAAAAGACAAAACAGTGTTAACCCAGCTCAGATTTACATCAGTTCAGCCAACATATCTGAAGATTTGTCATCCAGTGGATAGAAAATGAAGCCAGCCCTTACAAATAAAGCACCGACTCTTACAGAAACTATATCTTTAAAAAAAAAAAAATTCTAACCTTCTGTGGCATCTGGGAGAAAAAAAGAACATTTATGTGTAAAGTTGCTTGGAGCACTGTGCCATAAATCAAAAGCGACAAATAAAACACCCACAAGAAAAAAATAAATAAATAAATAAATAAATAAATAAAATAACCACAAGTAAAGTCTTTGGAGTTATTGATCAGTCCTCTAGATCAGTGGTTCCCAAACTTATTTAGCCACGCACCCCCTTCTATGTCCCGACCATGTCGACCCCCCCCCCCCCCCCACACACACACACACACATCGGGGCATTGCTATATATATATACATATATATATATATATATATATATATATATATATATATATATATACATATATATATATATATATATATATATATATATATATATATATATATATATATATATATATATATATATATATATATCAGATGTCAAGCTAAACAGACAGGGTTAAAAAAATTCCCCATCACTTTCATTTTTTAAATAGTAAATAATAAACGTTCGATACATTACAATTTCCTTTGATTTCATTTTAAATAAATATTTGGAGTGCCCAGGTAGCACATAAACAATGCAATTTAACGGTTTTCTTAAAGTAGGAACGTTTAACCTGTGCGGCCAGAGCGCTCTCCTTCCTTCTGCTCTGCGTAAACCTGAGCTGATCACCTACTTGTGCGTAATCAAATGTCAATAGGGGACAAGATATAGCCATGATGTTCACTTTTACCTCAGACCGACTTATTGCTGTTTTATGGTGTGGCTAAATCTGCGATCCGCTGCCACGCGGACTGGAATAACAAATGCTGCAGTAACAGGACTTGTGGTCAGGTTCATGAGGAGTCACTGGCTGTAGCGGACCCGACTCATCCCAGAAGCTAATATCTTAATTTGACCTTGAATGAAAAATAACCTCTTAAAAGTTTTTATCAAGGTGGAGGCAGCGTTCATTTCTGCCTTCAGTCTGACAACGCGCCGGAGTTAAAGCAGCGTGCGTGCTTATTGAATCTGTGTGTGTGTGTGTGCGCGCACGCGTGTGCGGCATAGCCGCTCAAGTCACCGCGTCTCGTTATTGGCGCTATTTAAACTTCTGCCCAGCCCAGATGTGCTCACATGTGCACCCGTGAGCCGTGGTTCCGCTGGAACACGTCTGACCTCTGACAGACGCACTCTGAACTTCAGATCTTCAGCGCGCTGTCAATAGCCTAAATGGGAATCATTTCTTGTTATTTTGTTACATCCACAATGTTCTGTGTGTGAGGTTTACAATGTCAGAACACCTGCATGAGACAGGGTGTTAATTACAATCTGCCAGAATGACTTGCCACCTTCAGATTTCTCCAACACCGTTAAAAATGATCAAATACGGAACATATCGGCGTGCGCAGGCCAGAGTGCTGAAGCTCGGCGCATTGTTATTATGAAGCTAGGGCACATGCGGAGGACACGCGCGCGCGACGGAACATATCGGCGTGCGCAGGCCAGAGTGCTGAAGCTCGGCGCATTGTTATTATGAAGCTAGGGCATATGTGGAGGACGCGCGCGCGCAAAAATATACTTGTTTTCAATTACATTTATTGGGCCCACTTACTTTTTCTTAGGCCCACCCACAAATGAGTTTCTACAATAATGGTGACATATGACAGACTTCTCTGAGCTCCGCAGCCATTACACTTTTCACCTCGCGCACCCCCTAGCGGCAGCTCGCGCACCCCCAGGGGTGCGTGCACCACACTTTGGAAATCCCTGCTCTAGATGAAGAACCTACAAATTCTGAAAAATCTCAAGCATTGTTTATGCAAGAAGCTGCTGTCACTCAGGATTTGGCACAGAAGCTGACTGACAGCATCAGTGAACTGCAGACAGCTTCAAAAAAAGAGGAAATGCTGCAAGTACTGATTATTTGCTAACTAATAACTGTTTCCATTAAATGTGTTTATGGAATGGTTGTAAACCTTATAAAATACTTGTACTTCAGTAAAACATGTCAAACAATAACAATGAATCCACAAACAAACAAACAAACAAACCTTCTAACACCACAACTAAATCATAAAATATTAAACTCACTGGAACCCTGCTGAAGGGAGTGTGGACACATAAGTGCCAACCACACCCACATGTTTTGGACATGCAACAGAATAAAACCATTTTAGGATCAAAAATCTATTGAAATGACAAAATTATTTGGATATAAAATACCCCAAAATGAGATGATTTTAATGTTTTGTAACTTAACTGAGAATGTGGTCAAGAGAAAGGACTATCTCTGTAAAATTTTGTTAATTGCTGGTAAAAAAACAATAACCAGAACCACCAACCCTGGAACAGTGAGAGGAGACAGTGAACAATATACGATGGAACGGATCACTTTTTAGTTGAGACTGAGGGGAGAACTCTTTTTTTTAATGGGGAAAAATGGACCTCCTATCTTCAAGGGACATAGGATGCTAAAGGTAAAAATATAACTGGTTATAGGATAGAATTGGCAAAGCCCCAAGCAACTGTTTTATATTCACCCATACATTTTATTGTCATTTTTTCAATTTTGCCCTATATGGTTCTCCTTCTTTTCTTTAGTTTGTTTTTCTACCAACACAGATTTTTGTTGTATATGTTGATTAAATAAGAAAGACAAATAAATAAAAAGTAAAAAAAAAAAAAAGAAAAGAAAAAAAAGAGGAAATGCTGCAAGTATTGATTATTTGCTAACTGATAACTATTTCCATTAAACGTGTGGAATGGAATGGTTGTAAACCTTATAAAATACTTGTACTTCAGTAAAACATGTAAAAAAATAACAAAGAATCCACAACAAACAAAAACTCACTCACTCACTCACTCACTCACTTTCAGTTAAAGACTTTTGACTAAACGTTTTTACCAGCCAGATATAAAAGTTCCGTCTTATTTTGAAAAGCTCAGTCTACCGGAAACAGGAAGGCGAATAGCAGTAGCTGTTCTAAAGCTAAAACGCTAACTTCTCCGAGAGCAATTTTCTTAGCTTTTACTACCCGCTGTTTCATTTTTATTATCAAGAGGGGTCTACTTTATCTTAATTCCCTAAAGGTACGGTGATAGTTGAAGGTATTTTACGTTTCAGCACGTAAATTGGCTCTGCGTAGCTTAATAACAGGCCGGAATAATAAGCAGTCGACACATTTCGTAGGCCTAAAAATGAACAATTAATATTTGTGGTTCTCTTAGGTCACAAGTTAACGTGCTGCTGTAACAAGTGTGACAACTTTTAACTTTTTGCAGATAATGGCTGCGGACTGGTTAGGTAGTTTAGTGTCCATTAATTGTGGCCCAACGCTTGGGGTGTATCAAGGAGAAGTATCATCAGTGGACCAGTCAAGCCAAACCATCTCTCTAAGGCAGCCTTTTCACAACGGAGTCAAATGTCCAGTTCCCGAGGTCACATTCAGGTAAACACGGGTCTTTTCCACTGTTAGTAACTTTGTGTGATTTGCAGTTTCTAGTAACTATTGATACAATAGTTTGATTGTTTTTCCAGTGCCATTGATATAAGGGAGCTAAAGATTTTAGACATCAGAAGTGGTAATGCAAGGAGAACCTCTACTACAGCTACAAACGTGCACAGTGTTCCGGTGGCAGTCCCAAAGGGTGACCCCAGAGCTGTTGAGAAATTAAACTCTCCCCAGCAATGCTCTAAAAGTTACGGAGAGCGTCATCTAGATGCTCTGGGCCAACCCAAAGGGTTTCGTCGAAGACATAACTCATGTAAGGGCCATTTGTTCGGCGATCAAATAACTAAACAAAAAATCAATTTCTGTGGCATGATACTAATGGTTGAAGTTTTTCTAATCTCACCAGGGTCATCTAGTAGTCGAGGACCAAACCAAGCAACACCTAAAAAGAATGGAGTGAAGAACGGTCAGATGAAGCACAGAGACGATGAGTGTTTTGGGGACGGCATGGAGGATGACCTGGACACGGATTTTGACTTCGAAGGGAATCTTGCCCTTTTTGACAAAGCAGCAGTTTTCTCAGAGATTGACACATCAGAGCGGCGTAACGGGGCACGGTCACGGGGCACTCCTCAAGACCAGACACCCTCACGGTACCGCCATGATGAGAACATATTGGAGGGCAAACCAGTCGTTTACAGACAGATTATTGTACCTCAGCCTGGGGCCAAAGAGTACTGTACTGGTATGTGCTTAACATTGTAAATGGTATTATATGATAGTGTTTGGGTTTAAACTGGTTGACACCTTTCTCTATTACTTTCTACAGATTCTGGACTTGTTGTACCAAGTATTTCCTATGAACTCCACAAGCGGCTGTTGTCTGCTGCTGAGCGTCACGGCCTCTCACTGGAGCGAAGACTTGAGATGACTGGAGTGTGTGCCAGTCAGATGGCACTTACACTGTTAGGAGGGCCCAACAGGTAAATGTGTAAAGATGAAGACTAACTTCTAAATCACCTTAGAAATAAGGAAAGTTTTGAGTCAATTTCAGCACTTAAATTATTCGAGTAACTTAAATGAGCTAATTACAGATACTTCATTGGTTGTCATGACTGTGGTTTCCTCTGTGTCGACATGTTTAATTGGGACTGACATGCTGAGGCAGCCCGAAAAGTGGCTTCACTTTTTAATAATGGAGAAAAGCAAAGATTTTTTTATGCATGACTAAGGCCGACTCTGGTATAAATGATGGATGAAACAGACCAAACGGTTTTGGATCAATCAATCAATCAATACTTTATTAATCCCAGAGGTAAATTAGAGTTTCAGTATGCACAATTCAGAGATCAGACATACAGGTTGGTAGGTCGGGTTTTCACAGCATCTGTCTGCATTCCTTCATGGGGGTTTTTAGTTGCTTGCAGTTCAAGGCTACCAGGGCGTCAGATTCGGATAACAAGAATTTGTTTGGGTCAGGCTGATATAATTTTCCTCTTTGCCTTCAGTCTTTTAAACTGATCATTCCAGTCCTTCAGTGAAGCCAATTTTGGGTTTTTAAGCTTGTCCATACCGTCTGGTAACTCTCCGAGATGACGTCCATTTTGCACACTAATACCGGTATCGCAGCTAGAACATTGTCCAGCTTATGATTCACCTCGAGTAACGTCCCAGTCTGAGAAGTCTCCACACGTACGGTGCTTTCCGTGGGTGCAGGTCACCCTCCAACCGCTCCCGTCTTCCCAAATTTCCAGAAAACCAGATATCCTCCCACTCCAATCAGGAGAAATCCAGTGATCATCAGGCCGAATATCCACACGTCTTCGATATCCTCAATCGACAGCTGGGAGAGGCATATGATCTTCCACTCCTTCCGGGAATCCAACATATATCCCACTGGGTGTGTCCCCTGTGGACATGTGGGAGCCCCCCTACTCCGTTCTCAATGTTGAAAAAATCTTATCGATCGCATTGAATGACCAATTTATCAAATCCATGGTTAGTTAACAGTTTTTCAGAAGAAATGCAGAGAAGCGCTCTGTGGGCAGACAGGACAAAGAGCCTTGGGGAAAAAAAGATAAGGGAGCAAAAGAGGGAAGCGTCTGTACTCCTCGAGTGCCTGAAGAATCAGACATAAAGAAGATCAAACATAAAAAAGCATCAAACTTTTGAGTAAAAGATTGGGAACAACCTGCGTGATGCATGTAGCTGCAGCACTAGTCGCTTGTGTACCCTTTTGTTTTTGTTTCCTCAGGTATGTTCTGAGGTGTAGTTTCCAATGTTTCCTCTTTTCGATGTTAATGCAGGTTATTTAAAGAATTTTCGTTAGACAATTGATCCTGTTAATTTCTCCAAATTTTCTTAACCTAATCTGTGTTTCATTTCAACTCTAGATTCACACCAAAAAATTTACATCAGCATCCCACTGTGGCGCTGATGTGTGGACCTCATGTTCAAGGCGCTCAGGGTATCAGCTGTGGTCGTCACCTGGCCAATCATGAAGTAGAGGTTATCTTGTTCCTGCCAAACTTTGTCAAGATGCTTGATTCTGTGACAAACGAGCTCACACTTTTCAACAAAACTGGAGGCAAACAGGTGTCCAGTATCAAAGGTGGGTTTGTTGGGACATAAATATTGATAATTTGTTTATTTTAGTAATTAAGAGTTCAAAAATTCTATAGTTATTCTTTTATCTGACCTTGCAGATCTCCCAGACACACCAGTTGATCTGATCATAAACTGTCTGGCCTGCCACGAGAACACATTCCTGATGGACCAGCCTTGGTACCGGGCAGCTGCAGACTGGGCCATCCAGAACAAAGCACCAGTGCTCAGCTTGGATCCTCCTGTAAGTGGACAGGGACATGCAGTAGAGGCGAAGTGGTCCCTCTCGCTTTGCCTCCCCCTTCCTTTAGCTGAAGGGGCTGGCAGGGTGTACCTGTGTGACATCGGTATTCCTCGCCATGTGTTTCAGGAAGTTGGAATCAAATACCTTTCTCCTTTTGGCTGCAAATTTGTCATCCCGTTACACTCGGCCTAAAATGATCGAGTATAATTTTCACCATCCATGACCATTTTGGTTTTGGAGCCTTATATTCCAAAAGTCTCAGTTCAGTTTCTGATGTATCACATTAACTGGACTTTGCTTCCCTCATACTGGTGGACCACTGTTGTTTACTTCATACAGACATAAGACTACGTGAACGAAGGAGGAATATATTTTGAGTCTTTATTTCAAACCCATGACCTGACCACTGGAGGAGATTGATGTTGTGGTTAAGTCAGGGGGTGATAAACAGTGTGACTAAGTTGTTAAATACGCTGTGATATAAGGTCCTCTTCTAAATCGAAAAGGACAATCTCTGAAGTGAATTTCATAGTTCTGAAGCCATATAACACGTACTTCCTCTTTTTTTTTTTGTTCATGAGGCAGAAAACGTGTTGCTAGATGTAACTTCAGTTATGTTGTTCTGAACAGACATTTCCATCTACACTTGTATTTATCAACAACAAATGAGATAAATGCAAATATTTGAGTTATTGTGCCAGCAAAGGAGTTCCTCTAATGTAAAAAGTCCCTTTTATCCAGCATGCATGTAATGCAGAAATTATATAGATCAGTCATCACCAAAATTTGAGTTAAAATAAAACAACATCCTTATTGTGATGCTTGCCAAATGGTGCAGCTGCTGGATAAACTTGCAGAAATCTGCAGAGCTGTGATTAAAGCAGTCTTATTTTGCTGTTTGAGCATCTGAGGGGAAAGTTTTTCTTAAGGACAGTATCAGTGTGTTCATAGCAAAATACCTGTTAGAATGATCCATTTAACACCTATTAAATGTATTTTCTTGCAGTTTTGATGTAAATGTTCTTTGTCTTTTTGGACGACATAAAACATTTTGCACCCTAAAACACAGAAATCTGCAGTAAAAACCAAGCCTTTCTTGTGGTTTTGTGATGCGGTTGAAGCGTGAACCGTCCTTATAACTGCATACGAAGCTACACCAACAGGATATGTTGCAAACTGAATGTTTACTTTTTGCACAACTTTAGCGTGCATCTTTTGTTTTATGTTGCTAAGAAGTTAATGGCTGTCCGCGGATCAAATGCTTCCAACTGTGGTTTGATATTAGACATAAGGGATAGAAATGACAGGTTTGATCTTTGAAGTATTAAAGGTAATGCTTCCCATTTTCTCATAATAAAAGCTGCAACAGATGATCCATTTAATTTGACATTTTTGTCTTTTGAACGGACACACAATGTGTGTGTGGACCTACACACACATTTAGATGTCCTGCGCAAAGTAGCCTTTAAGAACCAAAAAGGTTGGATCATAAAGACTTCATGGCAATCTGAAAACACTTTTTAAATTCAGAGTGTTAACTTGGCATTTACAAACTGAAAAAGGATTTAGGAAGGGTTGCTTCTACCTTGCTGCATTATGGTTTGACAGATGTAACATTTTTTCATCTTTTTTTTAAATACAAACATTTTCATTATTTCTACACAAAAGTTGAAATCAGTCTAGAAATAAAGTTTCTACTAAATTTAGGACATGAATTAATTGGGATTGTGCTCGTAGTTTAGCCAAGTTTGATGTTATGTTCCGGATGAGGCAGACGGCTTTGTTGTGGTTGCAAATCCTGGTTCAACAGCCCTAAGGATTATATATTTTTCTCACGGTTACTGTCACCCACCGTGTGCTATTCCCAACATTCCTTTAGCCTGATGTGTAATGTCACATCTGTTGAGACAGGTCTGGCCTCAACGCTTGTGAATGTGAATTAAAAGGCTGTTTTATCTTCGACCACCAGGGGGCGAAAAAGTATTTTGGTGCATCATTATTCTGCTACAATGGCAGCTGTGTTATTTGATTCCAGATAATTGTGCTTTTTTAAGTTAAAAAAAATTAACAAATGTTTAAAAAAAGACAGAAATTAACAGTGGAGTTGTTTGCGCAGGACAGTTTCTTCCAAAGGGCAAAGTTCACTGCCATCAGGCACAAGGGCACAACATATTGTCGTGCGTCATGTCTGCAGATGAAACAAATAAAAACACACTGGAAGGTTTGTCTGGACATTCTTTTGTAAGAATTGCTTCATTGATCAACTTCCTCCACAGTTTTGCCTGAAACGGATCGTTGGTCAACTTATTTTTAGACACTACAACGCGCATGCGCAGTCAATGAATTAAGGTGGGGCAAAACCAAAACTTGAAAGTTGCAGACGGGAGGAGAGGAGTCAGACCGGAGAGAACGCGAACTAGACAGAAACTTGTCTGTTTTCGTCCCATTGAGTCGCGCCTGTCTACTTTTATTATAGGAAGGTCTCCGCTCGTCCATACAGCTGGGAGGGACTATCAGCTGTAATTGTTGACAGGACCTTTGGACCATCATGAAATTTGTTTTCATGCTCCGTAGCTGAAATTTCGGAAGATCCGAGACTTGATTTCACTTCTTTATCCTCACCAGTTTCCGTTTTTAAGGCTCCTTCATCCGCTGCCGGTGTTTTAAAGCGTTAAAAGAAACCCACACACCTTTTCACAAATGAGCATGGACGCGGAGTAACCTGCTGCTGCCAGATTATTTAACTTTACCTGCAAAAACAGGTGAGGAAGGCTTTACAAAACGTCATCTGTGGGTTTATTCTGGTGTGCATTTTGATTATAGTAACTGACAGCTAGCAGAAAATAATCAGAATTCAGTTATGATTATTTTTTAAAGATTCTTAAATATAATGAATTATGTCTCAAAGATGCTCTACATGCACCCAGATTCTGACCGAGTGCTGTCGTGACCGACATGGCCTTGTTTAACATCCTCCTTCAAACTACCACTTCCTGGGGTGAAGAAGCTGCAGCATGCATGCACCTTCTCACCGATCTGTTCACACAGACAGCTCTCACCTGCACACACGTGAATTCCCCACATGCATGGTTTGTAGTTTTCAGTGGGTAACAAAGCACAAGCAAATAACTTCCTTATAGTAAACCATGAAGGTTAAAGGTGATGCCCCTTTGGCTAAAACTGAAATGTGCCCTTTAAAAAACAAACGAAGCACTCAAAGCTGATGTCTGTGTTGACTTTGTTTTGTTTTTCTAAACTAGAACTTTTTGGTCACAACCTATAAACTGCTGAAACAAAACGAGAGCTTATAAAACCGCAGCAGCAGCTTGCACTGCATGCTTTCTGCAGCAAGGAAGTGTCCGTCTGCTGCTCAGGAAGAAAATCTTTGACTTATATGGAGTTTCTTGACGTGCCTACTTGGTAAGATCAACACTACCCATCATCTGAACTCTGGAAAGCTGTAAAACACAAAGTTCACTCAGATGGCTGAGTGGGTGGCATGAAAAAGGGGATTGCCCCTCACAGAGAATGGTACATTTTTTCATTTCCCAGTGTTCTTAACTGCAGCCTTGATAAAAGTGTGTACCGGTATTTATTTATGAAAAACGTGACTATTTATGGGTATATTTTCTTTCATTTCCTTCAGGCCTGCTTTACAGAAACGGATGAGGGCAAAGTATGTGGTGAAAGCGGTACAATGACAGCTTGTACTGAGTGGAAGAGCACTAAACTCATACTTCCTCCCATAGATTTGATGTACAGTTCTGTCTTTGTGCTTCGCTTCTACATTATAGTGTATCAATTAAGTCTATTCTCCTCCACATAAAAACATCAGTGTGAACTGTTGTTACTTTTTCACACCAAGCGTCCTCTTTTCAGGTAAAAATTCTGTGGTTATTGAGGGGATTAATTCAGTCCATACTGATGTGCATAATAAAAGAGAGGCAGCTTTATTTTAGTGGGATTAATAATCTGATCCAGGTAAGCAGGTAACCTGCAGAATACTTGATGTATCAATGTTTTATAGCTCAATTTACTTAATGGCAGCAATTTTCTACACCAGAGCGCCACCAGAGTAGCCTCACAAGAATTGTAGAGCTATTGGAAACTACTTTAATGTATCATGTCTGATATTCATTTTCTTTCTCCCTTTCCTTATATTTTTTTGATCAATTTTTTTTTTGTCATTTTAAACATATTTTTAATCTTAAAATTGTATTTTATATTTTAAATATTTTGTTTTTGTGAAGCGCCTCGTGATTTTTATCTTGAGAGGCACTAGATCCTTTTCTTTCTTTCTTCTGTCATGCAATGAACTGTAAAGTTGACATTTTAATGTATTTTAAGCTGTTTTTTTAGTGATGCGCCGATATGAAATATTTGGGCAGATACTGATAGTCGATATTAATATCACTGTTACTGCTGATAACCGATATTTGCTGATACCGATATATTGACATTAATGCTTCTAATATCGTCATTTTGTATAGAATGAAAACCATTAAAGCTGAGTTTACGTTATTATGTACACACACCACACACATTTACACTTCTGTTCTGAGATGATTACAATCACTGTCACATGACTAAACAAATATGCATCACCCCCTCACCCTCTGAAACATAAACAAATGGAAATGAGATGGAAAAACATCAGTTGTTAATATCGGCCAAGTTTTATTTATCGGACCGATATGTTAAAAAATGACTAACATCTGTCAATACCGATATTGATGCTGATATAGTGGGCACCCCTACCTTTTTTTAGAACATATTTGTTGTGATACCACGTGGATATGTTGATAGGTGGAACTTTTGTGTTCTGTTTTTATTCTGTCAGGACTGCAAATGTTCATTAGCCAGTGGCTAACTCTGGTGCCATGCATGAAGTGTCAACATTTATTAAGGTTTACTTGTGTTTTAGATAATTACTGTGCACACATTATTTCCTAACAACCCAGCAGGAAAAAAGTTTTTGATAAAGAGGGAAAGAATCAAGTTAGACATTTAGACAAACCAGCAGTAAGATTTTGCTCTGCAGGTCAGTCTAGCTATGCTTCACTGAAACCTCAGCAGGTCTACCATTGGCTAAAACAATTTTAGTTCGAGCCAATCACAGCACTCTGTAGAGAGATGTTGGGTGGATTTAAAGGGTGAGTCACACCATGGGTGGAGACTTATTTCACCCACACTTTCTGTTAGAAAAATGCACTTAAAGGAGGTGTTGCCTGGTGGACAGAGAGAGCTGTAATGAGACAGTGGTTTACAGCACCCCCACCCCACGATCAGCTCACGGAGCTTCTCAATCGGAAAAACGAGTCGCTAACAAGCGTGCACACTCTCGTGCGTGCATTCAAGCCCACACACACACAGCTGACTCACTGATTAGGAGAAGAGCAAACAGAGACATTGATGCGGTTGGGGGATTTCCTGTCCACCGTGACCTCTAGAAGAATGGGGGAGGGGAAAATTTTCTAAGGAGGAGATCAGCTCAGAGCCGTAACATTTCATATCAGCAAGTGAGTGGCTGAGTCAGCTGGAGGTGTGGCCAAGACTTGGTTGGAGTATAGTGCACCTGCACCTCTATAGCCTTCAGCTGTGGCTGATTCTAAATCAATGCAGCACAGAGTTTTAACCTGAAGATAGATATCATTACGGTTTTGGGCTGAAATATTATATCTTAAGTAAGTTGCACTAAACTACCTAAATAATTAATACACATGTCTACAGCACTATTAAACACTCACTTATAGGGAAACTAAGTCACGCCTTTCTACTTCCAGACCATCGGTCGAAAAACGAGCTAACCCTAACCTAACCCTATCCCCGGAAAAACGAAAAAATGAATGCAGGTCAATGGGGCTAAAAATGCTATTTTGTAATTCTGCTTGTTTTGTGCCATGGATTTCACATATGATGTCTGTGAATTTTAAAGATGCATTATGATACCAAGAAAGAGCTTATTTTTGAACGGGGGGAAACACTATTTTAGGTTTTGTGTGAAAATAAGTCCAGAACTACAAATGCGCTTCACAAAATGACATAATCGAATCAGACATGGAGAAAACAGAGGGAAAATGGCTGTAAGTTCAGCAAACTTCAAATCTTTCCCACAGGAGGAAAGAACCACCATAAATCTGGCCATGTGGTACATAGCAGCTACGCTAGGGGAGAGGAGATTATGTGGTGACGTTACAAATGCGACGTGCTGATGTAGTTATGCTAATTACAAACTTTTACAAGCTGATAATTCTCAATGCACATGACCGGCGTTGTCGAAACATCCATCATTACTTTTCATTTAAGTTGCAGTACAACATATGTGCAATCCAGGGCATGAGGCAAAGCGGATTAGAAAATAGTTCTTTTAGCCCATTGACTTGCATTCTTTTTTCATTCTTCCGGGGACTCCCCCGAAAAATTAACAACGTGGTTCACACACGTTTGTCTAAAACCCCCGCCAATAACACGGCTTGGACTGAAAGAAGCTGGTTGTCGGTCTTGCCGAACCGCTGCGCTTCCACACTTCCCTGGGCTCTCCACTCATTACACACCCGCGTATTTAGCAACAGAAAACTACCGGTGTGAGAGGTCCTCTGCTCAGTAACATCAGAGAAGGAGAAACAGCCGGCTGCTACCACTTCAACTTTAGGGCAAACTGAGTCCCATAAAGAAAAACATAATTTGAAGTCAATGACAACAACAGACTTTGGGATCTAGAAAACAGTGACTGGTGTTCAGCGCTCTTTTGTTTCCTCTGCTAATGTGGCGTTCCGGTGGACATGGATCCAGGGAAGATACCGAGGGGAGTGTTCTGTGACTTTGTAGATTAGCTAAAGCAGCTTTAAGTCACTTATTTCCAAAAAAGAATGTATTTGCTTCTTCTTCTTCATCTTTGACAGTATATGGCTGTGAGCTCCATTGACTGATTTCCACAGCAATGAATACTTCTCTTATGTTTCTCTGATTGGTCCTAGGACTGTCAAATGCACTCAGACAACGGTGTATTACGCCCTTACATTTGAGCTCTGTCTATGGGTTTACATTTTTAGGAGGGCTTGCCAGGCTAGCAAGTATATTTAAATAATGTTGAAGTATGAGTAACTGTTTTCAGCAATGAACAAATTAGTTTCATACAGTGTTGATTTAGGGTCAAGGAATTTGCATATTATCTCCAAATTCACCTACTTTATCTTTTTAACCAATCCTTTTTTAAATGAGCAGCAGGGTTCTTCCCCTCAGACCTTTCTCTGCAGGTAGAGAAGGGCGTGGCAGACCCACCAGGGCCAGAGAAGATATTTCTACATTCCTGTCTTGTCTTGCTTTGTTCAGTCAAGCTGCTACTAACTTGTGCAGATCAGATCTCTACTGGCTTTCATTAAAAATCGACCAGCAGCTCATCAACAGGCCTCGTTCCAATTGTTAGAGAGGAAGAGGATATGTAGAATTAATACCCAACTGTTATTTCATTTGTCTCTGTAAGGAACTTAGAGGCACAGTTCAGATCATTTCACGTGGGGATCTATGGAGAGGTTATGAGTAATTAATATGTTACAGTTTTAGATAGCTCTCTAAACAGCCTCTGTCTGGAGAAATGGAGACTAGCTCTGACTGCACTAATCCCTGTGAAGACACTCAGTGCGGTTACATGCGCACTGACCAACGATCCATGTCGATCTTATTGGAATAAGCCGGGATTCTTTATCCTAGTTTAGATGCAAAACCGAAAATAAAGTTGGTTCCCCTCCAGTACAGTAGGGGGCAACATGCCCCTTTTCATGTTAGCATTCTTCTGGTTAGCTTATAGCAACACAAGCAGTCTTTCTGATGTGCATGTAAATTACACTGACTTTAAAAGGAGAGAAGTGTTGTTTCCAGAAATTAATTTAGCAAAGAATTTCTATCGGATTCATGCAAAGTTTATTTTATAAGCCCCTGCATTACATGCTCAGTTATTTATTTGATTCTTTATGGTCAAGTGTAACAGATATTAGCAGTGCAGCTTGCTAGCTGTGGTTTGATCACAGCAATGAACACAAAATCATTCAAACAAACTTGTTGAATCTAATCTTGTATTTTCAGACCAGCTGAATTGTTAAGTTGGTTTCTGTTCATATTGATGATGACAGGCTTCACAGTGATAAAGAGCACCAGGGGGAAACACAATGGTGGCCTTGTGTGCTTCACAAAAAGAGCCAAGCTGTTTTTGTGGAGAGCTCTCTGGAAACTGCAGTGTGACTCGATGTCTGCATTCTGCTTTTTTCACTCAGCTGCCCGCCGCTGCTGCTGAGATGTAATTCAGCATTTTGAAAGAGATGAAATGTTGGATGGCACCCCCAGCCTTAGTGATTCATCCGTCTCATAGCCAGAACTCTTCTTATAGAGTTTGTTCTGACAATTTCTGTTTAGGTCATCAGATCATGTTGTTCTGAAATGGATCAAGGTTCAGACATGTTGGATCTTTCAGGTGGATTGTGATCATGTGACTGGATGGATTAGTCGAATGTAGTCCACATCCTCATTCTGAAAAGCTGTACATTTGCTGGTTTTATGTTTGGACATTTTCACCCTGCTGAGTTATGAGTGTTTTATCCATTGCGATTGGAGATATTTAGTTGTAAACTGAGTCGATTTTAGACACACAAGAACTTTTTCGGTCCCCAGCAATAAAGAGAAAAGAGAAACACCTGTTTTGACTTTTTAATACATTTATTTTTTCATTGTAAAAACAAAAAAGCATGGAATACACTTAAGCCTAATTTTTACTTGGCGCAAGAGCTCTCCAACTGGCTCGTAGAGGGTGAAGGAGACATGCCAAAATTTTTTACTATCCATCAAAAGTGATGGATACTGCAAGCTTGTGATAGGTTAGGATGCTGCTTCCTGTAAATTCGTCAATAGCACCTCCTTTGCACCCTCAAAAAGTAAAAGGCTATTTAGCGGCAGACACAGAACAGATTGAAGAATGCAAAACTGAAAAAATCTGAAAATATGAACGTTTATTCACCTGTGACTGAAGAAAGGCATCAATCGTTTTTATTCATGGGAGAAAAAGACGAGAAACACGAGTTTAGACCGCATGAGGAGTTGGATTTAAAAAAATTTGAACATTAAAAATAAGACAGAAATAGAAACAAATATTTACAGAAAAACATAATACAAAAGAACAAAGAAAACAGATATAGCTATCAAGTTAGCAAAAATATATTACATTTATTTTTTTTATATTTATATTGGATGGGGGACGAATTTGTTTGCGTTCAGAAGTCTCTGAAATACATTAAAACAATATAAACACAATAGTAAATACACTGTCGTGGACTGGATACGTAACTGTAATGGTCGCAGGACACCTCAGAATAGGCTGTGCCCTCAATTGTCCTGACAGGGAATTGCTTTGCAACACTCTCCAGCTGACAGAGAAGTCTGAAAGTAAAATGTCTCTGTCAATGCGATTGGGACTCTCCCTCGTGGAGCTGACAGAGAAGTATATATTAGGCTTTAGGACTAGGCTTGGGCGGTATCCAAATTTTGATACCATCTAACTTCCTCCACATTTTACCACGATGTACGGTTTTACCGAGACTAATAGAAAAAACATGACCTCAAGAGTAATTACAAAACTGTAGGTTTGGACCTTCACCGTTCAGGCCTCAGGGCTAAAAACCTGCTTCCATGAGTTTGTGACACAGACACAGGTACTTTGGGTTTAGTCGCGACATCTGAAGACTGAAAACTCAAGCTAGAAAAAAGAAAAAAAACTAAGGGTAAAATAGAAAGAAAAAAATAACAAAGATTATGGACACTAGTTGCTCTTAAAGGCTCACAGGAAGACTTGTATTTATTTGAGTATTATTAATTTATCTGTAAATTTTATAATTTATTTTATCACTAAAACTGCTTATATGGGGAATAGAAATTAATGATTGTTTTGGAATTGTAGTCATTTTCTAACTGTTAATTTTAATACATAAAACGGTCTAAGATGGGAAATATATTTCACTCATAGCCTCACCAAGAGTTTCTTTTCACCAGCCGCCACTGAACTGTACCAGCTAGTTGGTGAGTTAAAAAAAACAGGAACAGTGTCAGATTTATGATTAGCACGTATTATGAAATGTTATTTAGTGTGTTGAAGTTATTTGGTTGACTGAGAACTTTCAGTAGCACATTATTTTCATTAAGGTTTAGGAATGGTGTGTTCATGGTCTTTAAATAGATTATTTTGTTTCAAATCAGCCAGTCAATGATTTAGCCAATGGTGATGAGAATTGGCTAATTTTGATCTCCAGGTGATTAGTCTCTATTATAAACTGTTGCATTTATGAGAAAAGTAAATATTCCAGTGAGTTCAACTATTTGGAAACATTCTATCAACCTTCCTATTAATCTGGCTTAAAATATAACTTTCTGGCTGTTTGCATCAAATTTCTTTATATTTCTACTTGCATTAAGCTCCTAGCTTACAGGTGATTGTAAATAAAAGTTTAATAAGTTGAAGTCTTTGTTCAAGCTGCTGATTTGACCAAAGTGGATCTAAGCCAGAAACATTTGCGCGCAGTGTTTGCTGTAGCCCCGCCAAAACGCTGGTGTGTGTGTGCACACATCTGTTCTCGTTTTCATTCTGGGTGCTCGGCACCGTGTGAAATGTTAAAGGGTAATGTAGATGAGCTGGGATGAGCAGAGAAGGAGGGGTGGAGGGGGGTTTGGGCAGGAAATGCATTCAGATCCTCAACACAGAAGGCAGCTGCAGCTCTGCACATGGGAACAACATCCGCCACATCCCCACCATGCTGAGTGAGGACCTTCTTCTCTTGGAGAAGCCTTTTTTTTAGTAGTATTTAGTGAAAATTCAGACCTTTTATAATAAATGCACAGCAAAATCAACATGCTGCATTATGTTTTCAGCAGGAGATGCACTCCTAAAAGGAACAGTTAGTCCTGTCTTCCCTACTTCTAATGCCAGTATTACATTACTCTAAATAAGGCAAAACCTGCAGGATGTTTGTCTCGCATGTAATGGACAACGCAAAGGATGTGACCTCATGTAAAGTGACGGAGTATCAGGGGGAGAATTTTCCCCATCTGCTCTGACCACGGAGCCCCGTCACCTCTCTGGGGGAAGTGAAAGAGGAAGTGGAGCTCAGAGGGAGGACATATTTAGGATGGCTCACTGTTAAACACCAAGTCTGACTTCTTGCGCAAAACTCAGTATTCAGATTGATTCAGTGAGTGATCTGTTGGAGCGTCAGAGTGTTTGCTGTACGAGTCCCTCAAGTTTGGTCAGATCTCACCACAAGATTGCATTCCAGCGTGGCAGATAGCATAGGCTCAAACTACACAGAAGAAACCTGTAATGTTAAGTAATTGTGTGAACTTCTAATTAAAAAGAGGGAGTTAGCATCTCTAATTTGTTTTTTTTACAATGAAAGTTGCTCTATAATCATAACAAAGTGTTGCCTTGCATCATGGAAACTTGGGCACTATTTGTGGAAGAGTGATTACAAAAACAGTCCCACTTGTTCTGCTTTCTATTTGAGTATTTTATTTTTACTGTCACTGTCTGACATGTCACCACCATACATTCTGATAGAAACTGATCTGATTGTTTTAAATGATCACAAAACTAATAAATGAAATGTCTTCTTGATGATTTGCTTGTGGCTTGAAAGCTTTTACTCATATTCCGTTTCCTTCTTTAGGTTCTGTGTGTGTGTGTGTGCGCGTGTGTGTGCGTGTGTGTTTCACTAGCTCTGATGGTAGCAGCAGGAATATCTCACCAGTGAGAGGCTTCAAGCACCTCATTATGACTGAGGTCCAGGTAAGATCAACTTCTGGAGTGGTGGGGGACAAAAATGAATATTTACAGCTTTTTTTTTTTTTTTGTATTTTTCTAAAAGGTGATTCACCCATGTCGTTTTAGAGTCCATGGCCGCAGGGCACAGAGTGTGTGGCCAGGTACAACTTCCTCGGCACATCGGAGCAGGACCTGCCGTTTAACAAAGGAGACATTTTGACAATCATCGTTGTCACAAAAGTAATTGTTTTATTTGAGCATGCATTGGATGAGCTCAAAGCTGTTTTCCGTGGTGTGATGTTTTCAAGGAGAGATGCCTCCTACTACGCGCATGCACATTCTCACACCCAAGGCGTCAAAATATGACGCGTGTGATCAAGCCTCAATATATGACGATTCGGGACGCCCCAGCGCGTCAGAAGACGACGATCAGGGACAAACAGCTGACGCAGCGTCCCAGAGCGTCGGTAACCAACGCCGGTGGTGAGACGGACATTGGAACTACTTGTGAACTACTTAACCTTCCCCTCACCCCAATCCTAACCTTAAGGTCACAGTTTATGGACCTTAAGGTTAGGATTGGGGTGAGGGGAAGGTTAAATAGTCAAATAATGTCTGTGTGACCGCGCGTGTCAAACAGTGACGCCAGTGGAGCCACGTGACCCAGCGTGTCCCTGATCGTCGTCTCCTGACGCGCCGGGGCGTCCCGAATTGTCATATATTGAGGCTTGGTCACGCGTCATATTTTGACGCCTTGGGTGTGAGAATGTGTTGACAGAAAGAGCTATACACTAGTCTGATGAAGCACAAGGTTGAATGCTACACTAATCACTTGGCTCCACTATACACAGAAAAAAAATACTTTTTTATTCCCTTCCCTCCTCTTTCACTATTAGCTTGAAGCGTACAGACTGACATTAATTCAATGCGGGTCGAGTTAGCATTCAAGATAGCACCATATTAGCCTAACACAGCATACAACAATTATCTTCAGTATTATTTTATCCAAATAAAATTTTGATTACAATTCTCTAAACTACTTAGGATCTACATGTCCAGTAGAAACTTTAGCCCTTTTTAGAAGACACACCGTGTCAGCAAATCGGCGTAATACCGCCGCCACGGTGTGTCTTATGAACGCGCCTTGGCGGCAACTAAAGCTTATACCATACCATTTATTTATAAAGCACATTTAAAAACACAGCATGTCAGCTGACCAAAGTGCTATACAAGTACAAGGATAAAAACAGCATGAGTTAAACACAGCAACAACAAGAATAAAACAAGAAAACGTCAGCAATGGAAGAAAGCCATTTCATAAAAATAAGTCTTTCAAACTGATTTAAAACAAGAGAGGGAGGGAGCCTGCCCGATTGAGAGTGGGAGGGCATTCCATAAAGTGGGGGCAGCAAACATGAAAGCTCGCTCACCCTGCGATTTATATCTCATCGATGGTACATTGAGCAACAGAAAGTCAGCTGACCTCAGAGCCCGATTTGGCACATAGGGATTGATCAAGGCGGAGAGATATCCTGGGGCAGAGCCTTTCAAAATCTTAAAAAATGTCGGGAGCTTGAACATGACTCGTAAGTTTACAGGTAACCAATGCAGATGTTCCAGAACAGGAGTGATGTGGGAATGCCTGCAAGTGTTTGTCAGGAACCTGGCTGCAGCGTTCTGAACCACCTGGAGATGATTTAGAGCTGGAGCTTGAACACCTTCCTCATACCAGCTTGGCAGCATTGTTTTCCAAAAGAGGCTTTTGGCAACTCTTTATCTGTTTTGAGTCCTTGTAAATCACCAAGCTCCCTCCATCTTTTGAAAACTTCTCCAATGTTAATTCTACTCCACTTTTGTAAAAATCTCAGAGAAAGTCTGTTGACATTTTCTTTGAAACGGAGAAGGCGGCCTAGGAATTGGTGACTTGGATCCTTGTTTAAGTTGCTCCATTCCAGAGCTCCATCATCTTCCTGCATCACTCTAATGTACTCTGGGGACTGGGGTGCTTTCTCGCTGATTGACAGCTCCCTCATATGGAGACACAAATCTACTGGTCAACGCTCTAGGCTTACGTAAATTAATAGTTTTGTTGTAAAGACCAGAGGAGGGACTTAAGGGGAATGTTTATTATAAAAGATGAACCACTCTCCGTCATAGAACAGGGTCAGTTGGTCTAATTTAAAAATTAAAAATTTTAAAATACTTACCCCAGCTTTACCAATGTTTTTAATTCCCTTTCAAATTTAAAGTACAACTTCCTTATTAAAGAACGTTGCAGCTATTTAGAAGTGTGTTTGTATCTAAAGATCACTAGCCGTTAGCTCATCAGTCCATTAACTTCATTACGTTGAACAGAGGTTGTTTAAAACTGGTGATTATTCATTGTTTACGCAGAAACAATTCAAAGTGGTGGAAAAATTATTGAAATTATGATTTAAAAAAATTATTCTAGTTATTGTTGACACTTTGTGTTGCAGGATCCAAACTGGTACCAAGCAAAAAACTCTGCAGGCCGCGAGGGAACTATTCCAGCCAACTATGTTCAGAAAAGAGAAGGTGTGAAATCTGGAGGGAAATTGAGTCTAATGCCGTAAGTGTGGAGAGGATTTAAACTTCTTACATTTAAACAGCCTGTTTGGCATGGCAGAGATGCTCCAGTTGTGTGAATGGAGACCGCAGTGTTGTAATTGCAGTGCAATTGTAATCTGCCTCCGCCTCAGCTTTGCATGAACTCTGCACAGCTTCCTGTTGTTTCTTTTCTATTTCAGACAAAAGTAATCTTGAAAATCTCCTCGTTTTCCCACGTGATGGGTTTCTGCGTGCTTGCGTCTGCACATGAATAATAGGTTTCATTTTTAGTATGACTGATCAGAAATAACTTCATGAAGATAAATCTGCAGCCATACTGATGCCGTGTGCACACAAAGCTAAGTGTTAGGAAAATTAATATGAAACCACATATCTAGTGTGAAGAGGTTAATACAAAATTATGTTGCAAAAAACATGGACAGGACTTATTTCTGTTATACAGAAGCCCTTTGTTGGCAACTAAAGTGTTTTAGGAGTGCAGAAAATGGTCAAAGACAATTATTTTACAGCTCAAATTTTGCTGTTTAAAGTCTCAGTAGCAATAAAAACCCTGCAAACCAGCAGAATTGAACATTTAAGAAGAAGTAGAAAATATAATTTCTATAGCCTCTCAAGATAGAAATCACGAGGCGCTTCACAAAAACAAAAAAATGTAAAATATAAAAAATTATTTAGAAAATGATTAAAAATATATTTAAAATAAGCGAAAATAGACAATTGTGATAAAAAAATGTAAAGAAAGAGAGAGAGCAAATAGGAAAGAGGAAAATCAGTGGATCCTGAGGAAGGTGGAATAGGTAGGGAGAGCAGAACAAGGAGAGGATGATGAAGGTCACACCAAAACCAGCCTGAACAAGTGAGTCTTCGGCTGCTTTTTAAAGGAGACCACTGAGTCCACTGATCTCAGGCTCAGGGGGAGAGAGTTCCAGAGTCTGGGGGCCACAGCAGCAGATGATCTGTCACCTTTGGTCTTTAGCCTGGTGCTGCACAACCAGTAGGCTTTGATCACTGGACCTCAGGGACCTGTTGGGTAGGGTTGGGCATCGAGAATCGAGCATTGATTGTAACCTGTTCCAACTGTTCATTTTTCCCAGAATTGCACAACATTTTTATTCCGATTCCTAATGTGCAGACGGAAGAGAAATCCGCTGCCGATCTCCGTGAAAAATAAACGTGATCTGCAAATTGTGATCAATGCTTTTCAGAGCTGATCACACCAGCTGTCTGTGAGCAGCACGAGTCCCCCCTCCCTCCCTCATCCGGATATAAACAAACACGTCTGCCAAACTTCTACTCTGTAATGTAAACTTTTAACTCCTGCAGCATAGAGGAAACTTGTTAAAATACGTCAACACGGTGGATTTAATAGAAGCTTTAAAGAACAAACTCTGGACGGTGTGAGGTGATCGTCTCACTGCAGAAATAAAAACACGTGAGCGTCAGAAGGCTGAACAATAACCTGTAGAATAATTAAAGTCATCATGCTGGAGCAGCTTCTCTGTGGTGGACCACACCAGCTTCTGCCACAATAAACAATAATAATAATAATAATAATAATAATAATAATAATAATAAATCACACACAAAGTTGTGAACATTTTAATTTCCTTTCTGAACAATTTCTGTTGAGTTTTAATGTTTAAAATCTGTTAGATTGTTACTGTCAGCAGCTACATTTAAGCTTCACTTCCTGTTCTGACTGAACGCTGCTGCAGCATGGAGGTGTAGTTCTCAGTCATCCTGGACATGATCATCCTGAGAGTTGTAGCTGAAAACAGCTGGACGTTTCTGGATATGTTGGAGACATTTAGCCTCATCCCAGAGGCTTCTTCCAGACTTTGGTTGTGGTCAGAAACAAACACACTGGTTGTGCTGCAAGTCTTTTTCTTTTTTCTCCAAAACATGTTTCTGTCTAAATGAAGGTGATGTTATCGTTCATAGAATTAAAATTCATGTTGAAGTTAAGATTATTTCAACAAGTAGGACCTGTGGTTAGCTGGCTCATGTAAAGCATGTCATGTCTTGAAAGAATCGGAAGCGGGAATCGATAAGAACCGGAACCGAAAAGAGGAATTGGAATCGGAATCGTTCAAAATCAAACAATGCCCAACCCTACTGCTGGGGTTGTAGGGACTAAGAAGATCACCAATGTATGATGGTGCTTGTCCATGTAAGGCCTTAAAGACCAGAACCAGGATCTTAAAATGAACCCTGAAGTTGCTTAACAGCCAGTGAAGCTGGAGGAGAAGCGGGGTGATGAGGGTGTGTTTGGAGGACTTGGTCAGAAGCCGAGCACAGGCATTCTGAACCACCTGTAGACGGTTCAGGGAGGTTCTGCTCAGACACGTGAAAAGAGAGTTACAGTAGTCTAAGCGTGAGGAGATGAAGGTGTGGAGAACTGTCTCAAGTTCAGAGCGAGACAGAATGGGACTCAGCTTAGCAATGTTCCTGAGATGGAAGAAGGAAGAGCGAACAAGAGAACTGACATGAGAATCAAGGGTGAGAGCTGGGTCAAAGGTCACACCAAGATTCCTGACAGAAAGTTTGGTGTGAGAAGCAAGCTGACCAAGAGTGTCTCTGACTTTGGGAACCAGCTTGTCTGGGGCACAGATGAGGATCTCAGTCTTATCTTCATTCAGCTGAAGAAAGCTCCCAGCCATCCAGGTTTTGATAGAGTCCAAGCAGGTGTGTAACAGCTGCAGCTTAGACCTCTCATGGGGTTTGAAGGAGATGTACAGTTGGATGTCATCTGCGTGAAGATGGTAGGAGATTCCTTTGAAGGAGCTCAGGATGTGCTGAAGAGGAAGCAGATAGAGGAGGAAGAGCAGAGGTCCCAGCACAGAACCTTGTGGGACACCATGGGTAAGAGAGGTGGTGGAGGACCTAAACTTGGAGACGGCCACAGAGAAGGAGCACCCAGAAAGATGAGAGAACCACTCCAGAGCAGTTCCTGATAGGCCTACCCAGTATCTCAGCCTCTCCAGTAGCAGGTGATGGTCAACAGTGTCAAAGGCTGCAGTCAGGTCCAACAGGACCAGAACAGAACAGTCCCCTTTAAAGGTGTGTTTCACTGAAAAACATTTTTTAATGATTATTTCTGATTATAATCAATCACTCTGAGTTTTTCATGCAGGCTGAACATGAAAATAGTCCCCTACACATATCTTCTGCATTAGCTTCTTACAAAAATAAACAGTGAAAATCTAGGATTTGAAAAGCCCGACAGATCTACGTCACACTGTCACTGAACATTCATGGACTCACCCAGCCTGACTCATGATGGGAAAGGCTGTTGTTAAAGGAAACAGCAGAAAGCGCCTTGGCTAGTAGGAGCAACTTCACCACATAGCAGAACTCCTCCAGGCTTGTGTTATTTGTGGTGATAAAACATCAACGTTGCAGAGCAGAGTCAATGGTAGTGTCACTTTTCTGTTAGCCAATCAGATGTGAGTTGTCCATATATCAGGAAATAAGACTCCAAATCCTGCCGTCTGAAGCTCTGATCTGGCAATCTTGATCCTGAGACAGGAGCACCAGGCGTTTTTGTAGCCAGAGTACAACTTACAAGGCATACATTCCTTTTAGAGACATCTGCAAATGTTTTGATTAAATGACAGGAAAACCTCTTCAACTATCTACAACTCAAAAGGAAGTCAATTCTGTTTCTGTGACACAAAGCCTTTGGCTGAGCTTTCCAACAAGCTTATCTGTGATATTTAAATGTCATATGGGGGCACATGGAAATGTGGTTACTGTACATTCTGAAAACTTCATTTGACTATCTCTGTGCTAAAAAACGGTCATGCTGAATATGCAAATCATGATGCATCTAGATGCTGCAAAAATTTGATTAATTAGCCTTAAAGGCCGATGTGGAGTCAAAAATGAAACAAGGCTATTATTGAAAATGGAAAGATGAATATTTCTGAAGGATAACTGAACTCGAAGTGCCAGAATTCCTTGCAGGAATGTGTACCACCCAGCGTTTTTCATGCCAGAGTTTAAACTGAGATCATGTTGAACGCAATGTTCAGTCTCATGTGATATTGCAAAACTCTCTGTGGTCTGTTAGCACTTAATCTCTGGTACGGATGATACTTAGTTAAGAAAACATTTTAGATGTTAGATCGGTTTCTTTAAATTTGACCAAACTCCAACAAGAAGGACCAAAGCAAACCAAGAAATTCAAATTGATTAATTTGTGTGTGTGTGAAACAAGCTGGACAGGTGATGGAGGGTGGTCAGAGACAGAAGGGGACATGTCACAGTGAGCTGAGGAAAAGAGGTCCACTGCTGGCACCCAGTATCCTACATATTTAATGATAAACACAAGGCTTTTAGCAGGAAAATACTCAAAACATTTCAGTGATGTGAGAGATCAAAGTTGTCTAAATTTGGTCAGAGCATAGGCGCGTGTGTGTGTTTGTGTGTGTGTGATGTTTTTCTAATAATCTATGCATAAGCGAACACGTCTTCTGGGAGGTAAAATAAAAACATAAGTGGTTCTAATATAGTAGCACACCAACATAAAGCTCTATAGTTCATGGTTCATGTGGACAAGTCTGTGCAAACTCAAACAGTAAAACTAAATGTGTACTTTGAGTGTTAATGGCACATATTATGTAAAGTGATCACAACTGGAGAAGGAAAGGCTAAAATGCAAATTACAATCAAGTCTGACTTTTAAACAAAATAAGGAACTTGCTTCTATGTGTAGCTTTATAATGAAGAAACAAGCAGGTTGAAATCCTTTGGTATCAGGCTGTTTTTGTTTTCACCTACATTTTAAGTGATTCACAAAAAGAGTCTGTTTTATGAGATGTATTCATTGACTCCATGACTTCCAGATGGTTCCATGGGAAGATAACACGAGATCAGGCAGAGAGACTGCTTCACCCTCCTGAAACGGGCCTGTTCTTGGTGCGAGAAAGCACCAACTTTCCCGGCGACTACACCCTGTGTGTGAGCTGCGATGGTAAGGTGGAGCACTATCGCATCATCTACCACAACGGCAAGCTCACCATCGACGAGGATGGCTATTTTGAGAACCTTATGCAGCTGGTTGAGGTGAGACATAAGTTTTAAGTTTAAACTCATTAATTGAACCGCATTTATATGTAGCATGCAGTGTGGAACTGTGTAGAACATTTCAGGGCTCTACTCTGGGTGTAGAGCCGCAGCATAATGCTACCAATTTAGAGACGATGTGCAGTTCCTGGAACATTTGATCAACAGGAAGTGCCAAAGAGGAAGTGAACACGGTACAGAGTTATATCTTCAAAAAAAGGTCAAAGAGGCTCCTTCTGCAAAATGGCTCTTTTTTCCTAATGTGAAATGTGAATTTAATGCAACAGCGTGTTTACTGTACACAAGCTGTTGTGTAAGAAGAAGTTGTTGACTTGGCCCTTTTTTATTTCCTTGTTTGATTTTAGGGCCCTCTGCTGGGCGCCACACCACTCTGATCCCTGAGTTTATTGCTTCTGTCTGTTATTGATTTTCACAGCAGCTTCACTGGTCTTTTTAATCATTGCTATAATTTAGTTTTTCTGTTTTCTTTGAAAATAAACACTTTGACTCGAGAGTACAAGAGAATTATTGATGGTGATAAAACAGAAACCCCAAACATTCTTAGATAAACTTTTTATTCTGATTATGGAAAAGAGTGTTTTTAAAATTGCATTTAAACACATTTATGGTTGAAAAAATTATTAAATAAAAATTATTTATCACGCCTTTCTTTTGCAACATTTTCAGCTGATTATTTCTAATGAAAACATTTTACCACAGGTCATCAAAACCGTTCCCTCAATGAAAACCCAAAATTGAAATAATCATCCTTAAGATATTAAGAGATTTATCAAACCTGAAACAGTTCAGACTTTCTTCGTCTGTGTTTTTGATTTAGGAAAGTTGCTCAGGACCGAAAGAAGATGAATCGGTGAAGCTCTTCCTGATTTTTTTATCACAGTGAAAGTTTTTCTCATGTTTCTGTTCTGGTGAACATGCAGATTGTTGGAGTCAGGAGCCGAAAAAATGCAGCTATAATTTGTATTTTAAACTCTGCTACTCCTCTTTTTGGAGAATCCAAGCCTCAAAGCCCATCAGACTCGTCTCCTCTCCTTTCAGTCTGCCCCGTCGTGTTCAGCATCTGCACATATGAGCCTTCCTGTGCTTATTGGGAATCAGCACCAGGTGTGCTTGGGCAGGATCTGGCTGGCTAACCCCCTTGTATGTGCTGCCATACTATTCTAGTGTCAAATGTGAGACCACCTGTCCAACAGCTGAAGCTTGGACCAAAGTAGGTCATAAAGTGGGACAATGATCAAAAACACTGAAGCAGTTGGAAATACAGAGTCAAGATTTTGCAGCTCTCAGCTTGACAGAAGCACTCAGAGAAAGAAAGCTTGAATGGAGCAATAAACACCAATAAACTAAAGTCAACATTATGAAGAAAAGTAGGTCAACTTTTCCACAATGTGAAATACTGATGATGTCATGCAGACAGACGACAGTGTAAATGACAACATCTGTAGGAGGGGGAGTTCACGTGTGTTGCATCTAAGCTAGTTAAAAGCACAACTCTGAGGAAACAACGGGGAAATAAAGCCGACCTTTACCAACGTGAGATGAAGCTGCACTGAAGTCATCTCATGTCTGCATGATGCATATTCTACTGTTATATTTGGAGTTGGCAAAAGACAGAACGCTGCTGTAAGGCTTCACGTCTGCTGTGTGGTGCTTTGCAGACATGTTACTGCCTGCTCTAGAGGAGTTTAACAGGAAACCAAAATATAATCTATTATTTTTAGACCATCTGAGTAAATGTGTGCATTGATTCTGAAACGCCTATCTTCCCCCCCTTTATACGGCCTACAGTATATGAAATATACGAAGATAGATGTTGCAGGTATAACACGCACGAGAATGTTTGCTTTTAAATGGTTTTCTTACTTAGAGCAGTTTGAACGTGTGAAGTTACTCATGTGAAGCGGCGGTTCACAACACGACTCATCTCAGACCCAGACTCACCACTTTGCTCTGAGGGAGTAACGCCCACAGTACTGTAACCAGAGAAAACCAACGTTTTAACATTCAGTTAACAAAAGCAGTCTGATCAAACCCTCTGATGCATTTGATGATTTCAACTGAAATCAAAATCACCGAAATTTTATTGGAAGAAACTGTTTTTAATTAAGAAAATGTCATGCATTTGATTTAGCATTTTTACATTTGATGAGTCATTTATTTTTAATTCTGAGTCTTTATTTTATATCCAGCACTACACCAAAGATGCTGATGGTCTGTGCACCAGACTCATCAAGCCAAAACTGGAGGAGGGGACTGTAGCCGCCCAGGATGAGTTTTCCAGGAGTAAGTCTCAGTTTGTGTATGAGTCCACGTGTCCTTGTTCCGTCTCATCTAACGCTCGTGTATCCTCTTAACTTTCTGACAGGTGGGTGGTCGATGAGCAGGAAAGACCTGAAGCTGCAGCAAGTTATTGGAAAAGGAGAATTTGGAGGCAAGTACTTTTGTTTTTACACAGTAAAGGTGAGAAAGATCTGTTTTAATGGCTGCATGTGGCAGAAATCCAATGTGTTAAACAACAATAAAGATGCTGCATAGAGTGGCAGCGCGTCAGTAGAGGAGTGTAATGGCAAGAATCTGGCGAAGCAATAAATGTCACACTACAGGAGAGATGATGCAATAAATTGCAATACTAAAAGCCAGATGATATTTGCAATTTTTATGAATTTTATTTGGAAAGCTCAGCTACGATGCTTGACGAGCAACAAAGGTTTGCATGTGAATTCCCAATAAAATTAACAAACTGCTTTTAATGATTAATTCAGTGTCATAACACAAAACACTGCAATATTTCTGTGTACTGATATTTTCTTACATCCCTAATGTTGTCCATATAATCCATTTTCATTTTGTATTTTTCCTCAACTCTAAGCCACGTAAACTAGGGGTCTGCAACCTGCAGGACCACGTGTGGCTCTGATGAGGCTCCTTGCAGCGTTTATCAGGAATGAACTGAACGTAAATTATGTTTATTATCAGGGTGGTTTATTATAGTATTGTTTGTGCGATGGCACAGGAGTTAAGTGCTTGCCTTGTAATCAGAACATTGCAGGTTCAAGCCCCGCTCGTCTGTTGCTGTTGTCGTGTCTTTGAGCAAGACACTTAACCCACCTTGCCTGCTGGTGGTGGTTGGAGGGACCGGTGGCGCCGGTGTACGGCAGACTCGCCTCCGTCAGTGTGCCGTCAGCTACCACCAGGGTGTGAATGTGTGAATGACTGATTGTGTTGTAAAGTGCCTTGGTTCCAGGACTCTAGAGGGTGCTATATCAAATACAGGCCATTTACCATCATTCTGAAGATTTCTGAAATAGAATGATATAAATACTACAAGCAGTAAACAAGAAAAATACATTTAGAATAGGAATAAGCTATAAATGTCTGGAGTTTTACTAAAATTTGTTTAAAAAGCAGCAAACTGCTCTACCGTTGAAGCTCTCTCCCCGATGGGGACTGAAATTGTATGTTCTGAACAAAAGGGTGCTCTTGAAATGTGAGAAATGGGCAAAAAGAAACATTTATTCATAGAGAATAGTGGAACTGTGAAATATTTTTGGCTCAAAAAGATTTGGTGGCATTCTACAAAAGCAAATGTAAAACCATCTCTTCCGGCTGCGGACTCCTGACACAATCCCTGATTCATTAGTCTACATGTGCATTTCTGTTAAACATCTGAACATGTTAAACATTTCTGTTTGGTGGTTATTCCAGATGTTATGGTGGGAGACTACAGAGGAACCAAAGTAGCAGTCAAGTGCATAAAAAATGATGCGACGGCACAGGCCTTCATCGCAGAAGCTTCCGTTATGACGTGAGAAGTTGAAATGGAAATTTTTTGTCATTCTTTTAAGAAACAAACAAAATAAATCATAGTAACTTGTGATTTCTTTTATCTGATTAGACAATTACGGCATGATAATCTGGTACAGCTGCTTGGTGTGATTGTAGAGGAGAATGGAAGTCTTTTTATAGTTACTGAGTATATGGCCAAGGTAGGTGGATCACTGTTGGAAAATAATTCAAATCTAAGGTCACATCTAACAGATGTGCACACATTTGTTTTCAGGGCTGCTTAGTTGATTACTTACGATCTAGAGGCCGTTCTGTACTCGACGGAGAAGCGCTCCTTAATTTTACTTTGTAAGTATTTCTATTGTATTCCTTTTTTCAGTTGTCCTGTTTTGTGGAAATTCCAGAGTCGAGCTTTTCTTCCCCGTGTGTTATAATTACAGAGATGTCTGTGAAGCCATGGCGTATCTGGAGGTCAACAACTTTGTACACAGAGATTTAGCAGCCAGAAACGTTCTTGTGTCCGAGGAAAACACGGCCAAAGTCAGTGACTTCGGCCTCACCAAAGAGGCGTCTTCCACTCAGGATACAGCTAAACTTCCTGTTAAATGGACCGCACCAGAAGCTCTCAGAGAAAAGGTCAAATCAGCTTCAGCACGTGTAAAAAAAAACATGCAGTAAAAATAAAAACTTACTACTCCTGTTCTCTTATTCTATAGAAGTTTTCTACCAAGTCAGACGTATGGAGCTATGGGATTTTACTTTGGGAGATTTACTCATTCGGCCGAGTCCCTTATCCAAGAATTGTAAGTTTAGGTTGAGTAAATTTGGAATATTAATCTGCAGCTGTGCTTTACTTAACAGAAAAAAAAACTTCTGTTGTGTTTTATGTAAAAACATTTTTCCAACCACAACTTTGTTGTTTCTTTTCGTAGCCGTTGAAAGATGTGGTGCCACGAGTGGAAAAGGGGTACAAGATGGACTGTCCAGACGGCTGTCCTGAAGTGGTGTATAACATCATGAAGCAGTGCTGGAACCTGGATCCTGCTGCTCGACCAACCTTTCAGATGTTGAAGGAGTGGTTACAACACATTAGTCACAAAAAGTGATTTTCCTCCGCTTTTTCTTTTGTCTACCTGGACCAAGGACTTTTATTTTTCAAGTGTCAAAATACCTTTTTTTTTTTTTAGTTTAAAGCAGCTTTTTGAAACATATGCTTCTTATTGACGTCCCTCATGTCAGATGTCCGTTCCAACAGGATTTTAGCCACACAAGGCCAAAATGTTTGTGGTGTCTTCCTGGACTTTGCTTTCTTCAGAATATTAAACAAACATCAAATGGGACTGAGTCGTTCAAAAGTACTCTGATGGGATTTCATACATTTGATGTCCTTCATTTTGATATTTCACACGAGGAAATGTTTTTAAAGATTTGTCAACTTGTCATCAGAGAGGAGAGAAAAATACCCTTTAAATCAGAATATTATTTGTCATTAAATGCTGTATGATTATAATGACTATTACAGTTTGCAGGTACACTTTTTACATGGATGTTGAGTTAAATTGTCTAAAAAGCAGTACTGAAACCATTATCTGCTTTTTTTATCATTGAAATATTATTAAATACACTGCGATGGACTGGCAATCTGTCATCCTGCATGGACAAGCGGGTTCAGAAAATGGATGGATCAATGGATAATATTAAATACATAAATAATTTCATAATTTCTTGACATCTTTTAAACACTTTTTAGGTTCTGAATTTTAAATCTGACAATATGAAAACTATTTTGTGAAATTTTGAATAAGAACGACAGTCTGGAATTTTCTTGGTATATAATGTACCATACTGCCATTTTTAACAATAAAATATATTTTAAAAGACTGTTGGATTTCTTTACACACCGTTTTTTAAAAAGTAGCTAAAAAAACACATTATGTAGTATTTGTGTATTTCTGAACCAATTGATTCTATTTAATAATTCAGTGTTTGGTGGACTTTTCTGAGAGGAAATTGGAGACTTCTGTTCACTTTATCGCACTCATTTGTCCATTCACTAGATTTACCTGACTGGAAAAAAGATTTTTAGAGACAATTCTTTGTTTTAAATTGACTTTTTTTTTAAATTATTAATTTACACAGTCTATCATTCACTAAATATCCTACTTTCTTTGATTAGAAATTCATATGTGAGACAGTTTTATTACAAAAAAATGTACACATTATTTTCGTTAAATATAAATAAAAATGTATTTAAAATAAAATTGAAATTCACAGTAATACTATTGATTCGTTCGAAATAAAATAATTGAGAAAAGCAGTTTTTTGTTACAGTCGGAACCAATCATGTCATGGAAATGGGGACCTGTATCTTTGCTGTACCATCTGGTGCTTCGGGAAAATAAACTGAAAACAAGTGAGAAACAGCTCACGGGTCCCTGTCCTTTCACATTAATAATGGACGGTGATGTTTGCTTTTATCGGGAATTGCCAAAGGTGGTAAGTAAACATTGTAAGGATGTTAAAAAATGTATTTACAGAAGTAAATGTCTTTGAAGGAAGTAAAGATTAGTTTAGTTTAATCTTTTTGTGTGAGTTGCTAACGTCAGCGCTTTGCTGTCACCAGGAGCTGCACGCGCACCTCAATGGCTCTGTCAGCTTTGTTACCATGGAGAAGCTCATCAAACGGAAACCGCACCTCAACATTGAACACAGTATGACAGCGATCGGCAAAGGCCAGCGGAGAACACTGGATGAGTGCGTTTAAACAGAATCAGCCACCAGATCCGTGAAAACGAACACGGTTTCAGTTGTAATCCGGATTACATTCCGAACCTTAAACAGATTCCAGTCAAAGTCATTTGATGATTTATTTTAGTAATGAAAGTTCATAGTTACTTGAACTTAGTTTTTCCAAATAGTGACCAATTTGATTTTAGTTTTATTTATTATATTTTAGTTTATTTACTGTACACATTTATATACAGTAACACGATCTTTTATTGTGAAACATAAGTTATCATCTAGCTTTATTCTACTTGGTTATTCTGCACCAGACCAGATGGCAGCCATGTTTAGAATCTTTATTTTGCTATATTTGATTTTCTTTGTCATGAGTCATCTTGATCATAATGTCATTTTTCACAGTTACATGAAAATATCTAATACACGTTTATGTCTAATCTCGTTTAATTTGCCTTTTAAAATGTTCACGTGTAGTTAACTTGTTATAACTAGCTCTACAGCTGTAACTTTTACTTTTGTAAACAAAGTGACTGATATAGCCACAAACACTTGAACATCCCATTATTAAAAAACAAAGAGAAAACTAGATGAATAATGTATTGTACTTTGACCACATGTGCTGAAACTGTATTTTACTATTTGATTGAACGGACCTGCAGATGTTTCGAGGTCTTCAAGATAATCCATAAACTGGTGGACACGGAGGAGGACGTCCTGATGGTGAGGACAGATTCTCAGCCAAACATGTCATTGCTTTTGTCTGTTGTTCAGATTACTGCTCATAGTTATGCTTATTTTATTTTCAAGGTGGCCACAGACGTTATCAAGGAGTTTTCAGCTGATGGTGTGAAGTATTTAGAGCTCAGAAGTACTCCGAGGGAAGAGAAGGCCACAGGTCGAAGGGTCAACACCGATTCTGATGTTTACATGATTTAATTAAATGTCTGGATTGTGGCACTCATTTATTAGGATATTAATTTTATAATTTCTAATTCTAGGATTAACAAAGAAGAGTTATGTTGAGACAGTCATCAAAGCCATTCAGCGGTGTAAAAATGAAGGAGTGGACATTGATGTCAGGTAGGCGTTTTATTCTCAAACACAATAAGAACTAAATGTTTTCGCTGCATTGAAGCTAAATGTGGGCTATATTAAAGGTTTTTGGTGGCCATTGATCGCAGAAATGGGTCAGAGGTTGCTATGGAGACAGTGGAGCTGGCTGAGGAATTCATGCTGTCATCTGGTGGTCTGGTAGTAGGAATTGACTTGAGTGGAGATCCAACGGTTTGTACTTATCTTCAGTGATGAAGTAATGCTCATGATCTGTGTTTTCTGAAAATATTTTATTTTTTAACCTTTTATAACATTTGAGTAAACTTATGTGCCTCCAGTTTTCATTCACATATGAAATCTTATTTTGGCATTTAAACGTGTTTTGTTTTTTAATTTAGTTCTATAGCACAAGGTCACTCATTGATGAAGTGTTTCTTTAAAGGTGGGCCATGGCAGACACCTTCTTCCAGCCCTGGAGAGGGCCAAAAACTGTGGACTGAAGTTGTCTCTGCACCTTTCAGAAGTAAGAACTTTCCTAATGTCCTGACTTTCATTTTAGTTCCATTATGCGTGAGTGATGTCACAACAAACATGGGCACAGGTTCCCTCTCAGCTGGAGGAGTCAGACCTGCTGCTGAATCTTCCTCCAGACAGGATTGGCCACGGGACCTTTTTACATCCTGAAATGGGCGGATCTCAACACCTTGTAGACAAAGTGACGAAAAACAATATACCTCTGGGTAAGTCTTAGCTGAGGTCAGAACGAAGTGGACGATGACATCAGAAGAAACAAATCACTCTGCTTTGTTTTCTGACAGAACTCTGCCTGACTTCAAATGTCAAAGGACAAACCATTCCATGCTACTCCAAACATCACTTCAGACACTGGTACCAGATGGGCCATCCAGTTGTCCTCTGTGTAGGTTTCATCTCTGTATCGCTTAAAACTGAGAAAACCTTTTCTTTTCAAGGCTACATTTCAAATTTGATAAACTCATCAAATCTGAAAGCTTTTAAATTATTTTGAATTAACACACTCAACCAACATAGGACACTTTTATTTAAGCTTCCAGTAACCTCTTCACATTCTCAGTGGAAGAAGTACACAAAGGAGAATCGAGCCAAACCATGGATATAACTGAGTGCATAAAAACATCAAATAATAGAAATGAACCTTGTTTTCTGTCCTGTTGCAGACAGATGATAAAGGAGTCTTTTGTACAGACTTGTCTCAAGAATATCAGCTAGCTGCCTCCACGTTTGATCTGAGTCACGAGGCGGTGTGGAAGCTCTCCCAGCAGGCTGTGGACTGCATCTTTGCAGAGGAAGCTGTGAAAGATCAGCTCAAACAGAAGTGGAATGAATTGCGTCCTCAGATGTTTAATTTACCCACCCAGCAAGTCTAAACACAATCATATACTTTTGCTTTTAGTTAGTTAAAAGAAAAAAAAAACACAACGGTTTTACAATTATTTATAGAAATGATCATCTTAAGTTGTGAAAATATAAAAATGTGTTATTTAATACGTTGAGCTGAAGAGTGTTCGGTTTATCTGATTTATAGTTTCACACATTCATCACTTGTTGTAAAGTGTTGACATATAATTAATTTGGCAAACAGAGTTGTTTATTTTTACTCTAAAAGAAAAAAAAATATGAATTTTTACGAGTCCATGTTTGTATCTGTAAGTCTGTACGTTTCTATCCGGTCCTGCGGCGCTCACGCCTTCTTTCCAAATTTTCCAGGCTTGTGCTTGCTCTTAAATTTTCCTTGTTTTTCCTTCTTTTTCAGCGGAGGGGCCCCGTTTTTTGTTAGGTCACTCTTCCCTTCCCATTTCCTCTTCTTGTCACTGTTGGTAATGTGAAAATATCAGTATCGTGTTTCTACACCAGCCGCACATTTTTATTCTCCTCCGTTTACCTTTTGATGCTGATGACCGCCGAGTTCCCGGCTGTCTTCAGAACCTGGTCCCACTCCTCGTCCTTTCCACGAATCGTGTACCTGAAAACACAAAGTTGTGAAAAAGTGGAAACAAACTAAATAAGGACAAAGTCCAACCTACTTACTCCTCCAGCTCCATTTCCTTCACTTTCTCCAGATCCTTTTTGTGCCTTTCCTCAAACTCTTTGGCAGCTTCACTCTTAGTAAAAACAAACCAAATAGTTCATGTAGATGACCACAAAAAGAGATTCTTTAAGATGTTTACTCCATAAAATGTCAAAAGCAGTAAAACGTGCCCCTTTAGCAATCCACATTTATTGTTTTTAACAGTTAAATGCAGTGAGATATCTGCTTATGTAAACTGTTTTCTGCAGCATTAGGTAGGTAGCACATCTGCTGAGTTACCAGGTCTTCATTAAGACTTCTGACGGTCGGCTCCATGGAAACGTCTTTAGTGGTTACCATGTCAGCTTCGATGGCTTTCTCCTGGATGCTGGTGAATGTCTACAGAAAGGACAGAACTGCTGTTGTAGCCAATCGCATGGATGCTTTTTATAACAAATCCTTAACAGAAACTCACCTGCACAAATTTGCGAATAAGACGATTAAAGAGGCCCATGAGCTGTGAGCTAGGGAGATCGAGTTCTTTTTCCAACTGATCCACAGTTTTGTGCTGCAGTCCAATTCCCAGCAGCAACGCCTTCAGAAGAACAGTCAGCACCAGGAACAAAACGACAACAGAAATGGAAATCTGGAGGGGAAAACTTACACATTGCGCTGCAGAGAGAGAAACATCTCCAAGCTGTTTGAGAAAAAACAAGCGTGCCACAGCTGGGACCAAGTCCATGATCAGGTGGTAGTCCACCATGTTCCTCGAATACAACTCCAGACGTCTGAGATCATAAGGGGTGAAATGGGCAGCCAAATCAGAGCTGCTGAGACCTGTTGGGATGAGAGGCGAATGAGATCAGGCGTGATGAGCTGCTGCAGAAATCTGAAGTGAACTGTTTTAAACAAAAGTCTTACTGGAAGTCTCCTCCTTGGACTTCTTATTCTGCAGAATGCTGAGAGCCAGGCTGGGGCTGAAGCCGCTAAACTGGTAGGAGAGCAGAGACAGGAAGCGCCGACGGAAATCTGAGGAGAACAGAAACCTGGTGAGAAGGAAAGCAGCAGCTTTAGGATACCTCGAGCTCCTCAGCACAAACCCTTCCAGAAGGCTGACAGCCACTGGCTCTGCTCCGACGTCTCATCTGTGTTCAGCTCCTTCAGCATCACACAAGAATGCTCTCCTGTCAGGTCGTTCTGGATGCAGAGATACACATTAGATATAAATATGTAATTAGCAACAACAGTCGTACAAAATGAAGCCATAGTGAAGCACTTACAGGCGTTTGTCTCAGGTAGACGGGGGTATAACCTGCTTTCTTCCAGAACCTGTCCCAACAGTTTTTCACACACTTAAACTCACAGAAACATTTCTAAACCAGCTCTGACTAGGGTTGTCACGGTGTGAAAATTTAACCTCACGGTTATTGTGACCAAAATTATCACGGTTTTCGGTATTATCGCGGTATTTTTTTAAAACGTGTTACATTTGCAGACAACTACATAAACCCTGTATGTCAGGAAAATATTGTCCTCAGTTTGTGTCTAAATTTAGCCTAAAATGTGTTATTTTGTAATGTTGTTTATTTGTTTACATTTTTCCCTTTAGTCTTTAAAATACCAATATTTGCCCATAACTTCTTATTTTATGTCTGTTTGATGTCATCATTTAAAAAATATTAGATCAGATGACACTCAGTACTCAAGTAGCCTTCTAATCAGATACTTTTGTACCCTTACTTGAGTAACAAACCCTATATCAGGAAAATATTGTCCTCGGTTTGTGTCCTTCCAGTGAGCTTTGCAGATGTGGGAAAATGTCATCAGGCAGTAATCATTGTTAAATTCATAATTATTCTCGGAGAGAGACCAACTCTTATCTGCCCCTGGGAGCCCCGTAATGCATAGCGTCATTTCAACATGGGGGTGTCCACGACACGGTTTATATGCGGGAAGCGGCGCTGCGGCTGCTTTATATAGCGACTCGTTGCGTTCTCCCTCAACCTAAATCCTCGGATCACACATTTTAGCTAAAGCGCTAACGTTAGCTTGCCTTGCGTTGACTGTAGAGTTGTGGGTGATGGTCACGCAGATGTGTCATGAGATTTGAAGCGTTGCTGCCTTTCACAGACACTTTTTCTGCACATGCTGCAAACAGGATAGCCGTCATCTATCAACTGTCCCCCGGCATTCTTCAAATATCCAAAAAATGCCCGTACTTCCCACTTTGTCTTCTTTGAGGGATAATAAATGTCCTGCACACTGCCGTCTCCTCCTTTGGCCATTATTTCAGCTTTAGCTTCAAGAAAGTTTTGGTTGTAAACAACAAAGTGCGCATGTGCCGCCGGCAACTTCAGCAGATGATACGGTGGCTGGTAAGGGTCACCGCGCCTACACCGCAGCCACGGTAAACCCACCGAGATAATATATGTTTTAAAAAACAAGACGGTTTACCGCTACACCGGTTACCGCGACAACCCTAGCTCTGATCTTGTTTTCTAAGGCAGAACTCACTTCAGCAGCTGTGCAGTTAGACCATAGGACACTCCTAAATAATCCAGTCTCTCCGCTCTCCTCTCACTGAGCTTAAGCAGCAAAGGGGGGAGCTCTCTCCGAGGTGTGATCACCTCCTCCAGCAGACTCACGGCCTGGACAACAGAGCTTCTGTCAGGCAATAACGAGAAGAAATGACCAAAAGGGGTTAAAGCCATACCTCACTGCTGACTGAAGCGATTCCAGTGTGGTTTGGTTGGGAGTTCTCATCCATAGTGGGAAACTTGCCCTCGTAGTACATCTGCAGCAGCTGGAGAGCTCTGGAGCCGTAGCCCATCTGTTGGACAGGATGAGTCTCTAGTTACACCAGATCTGGGATCTGTCTCTCTGACGCTGTGGTTCAAGTTTAAAGCACGATCAGACGCATTTTTAATACAGCATTAACAAAGGTCCTCCTCCATAGGAAAAGTCAAAGCGCTGCAAATCTTTACAGAAAGCATAAATTAACTGACGTTAGTTCAGAGCACTCATAATAAATGTGGTTAAAAATTAGTGGACAAAAGGCCTGTGCTGTTTCTGTTTTCTAGGAATTACTACGTACTCTAGAGATAAACAAACTCTGTTCGCTTTCGTAATTTTATGTAGAAATAGGTTCACTTTCATCTGGATTTCACTTATTACCTTCTATGGAGCTGATGCAGCACATTTTCACCTTGTCCTAAAGGCCCATGCTGCCGACCGCCACCGTGGTGTAATGATTTCATTAGGCTACATGAAGGCGATAAACACCGATGAGGGCCTGAGCCTTGAAATTACTCAATTCAGAGCGACTCTGTATTCGAACCAAGTAACGTGATATTTATCTAACTTGAGTAATTATTTATGATGTTGTGTGTTTGCACAGATGGATGTTTAAAGAACACGCTCACTGAGAAACCATTTTTCCTTCTTATTACAGAAATATGATTTGTCACTGAGTTTTCATGCAGGCTGAACATGAAAATAGTCTCCTACACCTATCTCCCGCATAGATTCTGACAGAAAATAGACGATGAAACGCTAGGATTAAAAATCCTGACAGATCTACATCACTCTGTCACTTAACATTCATGGACTCGCCCATCTCGACTCGGGACGGGGAAGGCTGTTGCTGTTTTAGCGTCCAGGAAACAACAGAGAACGTCTTAGCTAGTAGAAGCTAACTGTTAGCATTATCAACTCCACCACACAGCAGAACTCCTCCAGGCTTGTGTTATTTGTGCAGAGCAAACCGAGTCAGTGGTAGAGTTGTGTTGCTGTTAGCCAATCAGAGGAGAGATGTCTGAATATCATGAATTTTAATGAGTAAGACTCAAAATCCTGACCCCTCCAAACAGGAGCGCCAGAGCAGACACAAAGGACTAGCGCCACAGAGATCGACCCACAAGTCATCCATTAATACTAGAGACCACTGCAAATATACCGAAATGAGAGCTTTATTATTGTTTTAGGTCTCTTTGAGTCTTTCTTCCTGAAACGTCTGTTGCTGCTCTATATTTGACTTCATGTCAACTTATTTATTTTTAAAGACTTTTGGCAACACTGAGCATTAAATTGACAATAAACCAGCTGAATTCAAAATCTAATCAGAGAGGGAGCCTTCCTGTCCCTCCTTTAATTTGACTGATAATCCAGGTTTCTGGCTGCTAAAGCCTAAACAAACCACTCCTGACCGCTTACTGCATAACAACCAGTTAACCGTAGTGTTTACGTGTTCTCACCCCTTGGTAGTCTGGATTGACTGCTATTCGAACCACTCTGCCTCCAGACAGGCTGCCAAAGTCTGGATCTTGAAACTGTGATGAGGCGAGAAAAGCATTCCTCATTTCAGTTTTAAAACTTAAGTTTGTAGAAAGCTTTCTGATTGGTGGTCACCTGCTCCGACACGGTCCAGGGAATGAGGTCGCCTGAGGCCTTCTTCCCTCTGGACAGACTGTTGAGGACAGATTGCCTCGATATTTCTCCCTCCAGACACACCTGAGATAGCAGACAAAACAAAGAAGTATGTGAAACCGTTAGCGACTGGACTGGATCTTAGGGTGTTTCTAGATTACCTGCACCACAGCGAGGACCTCGGGCAGCGAGTTCTGAGTAGGAGGTACAGGTGGCAAGAGGCAGAAAAGGTGATGAGCTGGAGCGTCGGACAGCATCTGGAGGTCATTGGGGGAATTCTGGAGCCAAGACAATGAGTCAGCAACCAGGAAGAACAACGTGTGATAATATGCTCCAGAAAAACCGACCACCTTGTAGTGCGATGCCACATAGAGCGCCATCAACCTCTGCAGAAAAGCCTCAGAAGCTTTGTGATAACAAAACAGCGTGTCTCTGTTCACATAGTAGCTGGACAGCCATCACTAAGGACACATACACATTTATTTTCCTGTTGTATTTAAGGATGTTAAGGCCGTCAGTCTGAACTTGTCGATGTCTCTTAGCAGCAGCAGGTTAACTGATCAGAAACTGAAGGATACAGGTCACAGGTCTGTGGAAGTGGGCAGCCAGAAATGAGTCTGGGGATGTTGAGGCAGTCGAGGCAGAGCAGCTCGTTCAGCCACTTCTCCACCGCATCTCCACTACCATAACGAATCGACTCGTGTAGAGAGGCTTCATGCAGAGTGCGAGCTGTGTACGGCAACAGGTAAACATCAGTTAGACAGTACATACAGCCTAGGCAATAAAAATAAAGACTTTAAGGCTAACCTGCTGCTAGCCTTGCTGTGCTGGTGGTCCTGTTCTCTGCAGATGTGCTCTGCTGAGTCTCTGCACTCTGCTGCCTCAGCTGCTGGATCAGCTTGAGGGAAAGCGAGCGCCCGGTGCCCTCATATCTGCACAGACATTCTGGTTAGTTTGCTGAACTCCGATGAACACAAAGCTCTCTGAGGGACATGTTTCAGTTTTTACCACTGACCCGTTGATAGTGGAGGCCATGAAAACCAGATAAGGCCCCAGCAGATTCTTAACGAGAGGAAGAGGGATGGCCGCAGCCTCGTCGATCACCAGTAGCTCAGCTTGGCCCAGCTTTACCGCGTCCCCTGGGTGGATGTACTGCCGGGCACAAAAGAACGCTCAAACCTCTCTTCTTAAAATGAAACAATACGACAAATCCACTGGTTACCTGAATGGTCTGTCGATGCTCTTTGAAGATGTTCACTCGCACCACGGCTTTGTTAAATTCAGGATTTAATGATTGGATGATTTCATAATCAAGATGCTCCTGCGTGTTCACACAAGCGTGACGTGTTTATACCTCTACGTCATCAGTAATTTACCATCAGACAGAATAAGTGAGCAGGTCTACCTGATACTGCAGCGCATCGAAGCCTTTGAAGATGAACTCAAACATGGTGTGAAGGTTGTCTGGGCTTGGAGAGGTTACAAAGATGTTGGAGTAGCTGAACGAGACAAAGGCAGATGGATGAAGGACGACAAAGACACAACATGTGTAATGTTGTGACATCACGAAACTAATCTGTACCCAAAGGCCACCGCTCCAGCCACAGCCAGGCCCATGGCAGCGGATTTGCCTCGACCTCGAGCGGCCGTCAGAGCAACGGTGCTCCTCAGGGTCTTCTCTGAGATTGCTTCGATAAATTTAAGCACTGCTTTTGCCTGCAGGAAAACAGGATTACATCCTTCAATTCAATTCAATTCAAGTTTATTTATACAGCGCCAAATCACGACAAGAGTCGTCTCAAGGCACTTCACATAATAAACATTCCAATAAAGGTCAGTTCATTAAGCCAATCAGAAATAATGTTTCCTATATAAGGAACCCAGCAAATTGCATCAAGTCACTGACACTAGTCAGTGACTTGATGCAATCCTCATACTAAGCAAGCATATAGCGACAGTGGAGAGGAAAACTCCCTTTTAACAATAAGGATGCGTCTTCTGATAGGATTGTTTAACCGATGCTGTCACCTGCAGCTTGCTGACATATTAATGATAGCACTTTTTAACTCCATGTAGTGTAAAGCCTCAGAATCTTGAATGGGTGGTATAAGCTGGTAGCATTGGAGTGGTGCTGACCTGGTCCATGGTCCTGCAGGAATCCACCAGCACACCAACAGGCTGAGTGTCCTGAAGAGACTCCTTAAGGTCTTTCAGCTCCTGTTCTCGAGGAGATAAACCATCCTCCTGAAAGGCATAGAGGGCAAAACTTCTAAACATTTGGAACACTTTAAAGAGCATTCCGCATATTTCCTTTTACGCTGAGACGTGATGGAGCTATGGTCTGTTTGATCAACTGTTGAAAACTATGTCAGGTGAAAACTCTTGCCCACAGGATTTCGCTCTCAGGAGTGTGTTTTGAATGGATTTGTGTCAGTTTATTACACCTGCTCGTTATAAATGTTCAGTTACTGGACTGACTGATGAAGCAAACAGGCACCTGGGTCTTTGGAGGGACTGGCTTGATGTTTGCCGTGTGGCTGGAGATCGGCAGGATGTTGAGCTGGTCATCGATGACAACACAGTTTTTACAGGATGCGAGAGAAAGAATGAACCTGGAAACAAAAATGTTTTAAAACTTCTGTTACATTACTTACATGGATTTTAAAAAAAAGTTCATAAATTCAATAAAGGGGAAGAATCTAGGAATCGTTCTGCCTACACTGTCAGAAAAGACATCTGAGAAACACCGACCTCTCATTGAACCTGCCGACCACGTCCTGATGAGCCTCGGTTCGGTATCGGGAGTGCACATCCTGGATAGAAACAGCTGCTTTGGTAGCCTGAGCAGGAATGAACGTGGAAATCCAACAAGTTTAGGACTTACCATGGTCATGGTGTACAGCTGCTTGAGTGAGTTCATGGTTCGAAGTAGAATGACAACTATCCCTCCTCCTTCAACCGTCTCAATCGTCCTTGCCAGAAGGTTGGGGGTGAGCGCTTCAAAGTCCTGAGTAAAACGACAGATTCTCAAAGGTCGTGTGTGCTGAACAACAGACGTTGTCCTCATGAAATATACTGTTGTGCAGCTTTATTTGAAGCTGCACCTAAAAGACGATTAACTCAAGATTTTTGTCATTATGTCTGTTAAAAATTTCCTAACCAAGAACCCCAGCAGATTGCACTGAGTCACTTACTTGTGTCAGAGACTTTCCAGCAATCCTCATACTAAGCAAGCAGCAAGCATGTAGCGACAGTGGAGAGGAAAACTCTTTAAAGCTACAAAGGCTAATCTGCAAAACAAGTTCGCTTAAAACATGTTTCATGCCTCTTAACAACATTCTAACATAGTACAGCTATAAATATATTGTGGAGATAAAAAAATTAATAAAGCGGTTCTCCTGAATTTGTCCTAAAACCTCAGCCAATAACAAGGCTTGGACTGAAACCAATGATTGGACCATTTGGTTGTTGGTCTCACCGATCCGCCACACCTCCACATTTACCTGGGTCCTCCACTCATTACGCACTTGCATATTTAACAACAGAACAGCACTGGTGTTGACTAAATATCAGAGAGGGAGAAACAGTCAGCTGCTACTTGAACTTTAGGACAAACTACCACAGTCCCATAAAGAAAAGCACCATTTGACGTCACAAACAATAAAAGACGTTTGACCCTAGAAAACAGTGACTGGTGTTTTGTGCTCATTTACTGTGGCAATGTAGGTTCCAGTATCAGGCAGACGTGGCCCACGAATGAGAGCCGATGGGAGGGGTGCGAGTCCTGTGACTGTGTTTGTGTTTAAAAGCTGGCTTGTTTTGCAGATGCTGATGAAGCCAATGGAATAAAAGAAATCTGTCAGATGATGACAGCAGCAGGTTGATGAATATGGGTTTCTGTTATTCAACCTGGTATTTTGTAAGTTATGTTGTTGGAAGGAGGTAGAAAATCTTGCTCTGTGTCTCTTTTAAACATTGATCAACTGCCCCTTCACAGGTCTCTGCACAGTCTTGCTCAAGGCTCTCAGAACACCTTAGAGCACAAAGACTCACCTGTAGGACACACATGCCGTAGGTGTTTCCCAGGATTTTGTGTGTCTCATTGTAATAGCAGTAGCGGATGTTGGTTGCAGCAATGAAGAGTTCAAACGGGTCATCCTGATTCAGGTTCAGAGTGCCAGTTTTAATCTTCTTCTGTAGCTGCCTCATGCGCTTCTTCCGATTGCTGTTTCAGGGAAATATTCATGTATCTACTCTTCAGCTGAACAGATTGCAGCTAAATCTCTGTGTGGTGCTTCCCCTCACCTGCTAAATCCGAGGTCTTTCTTGTAGCACCAGAGCACAGAGGGTCGAGCTCTGACTGCAGCTTTAGACAGCATGTGATGGAGGATCACCACCTGCAACACCAGCAGAATGAATTATGGGTTTAAGCAAAACATCAAACAAAATCCCCCAAATGACAGATGGTCAAAAGAAGCACATAACACTGTCTTTTAGGAAGAGGAGAGGAATGACCTGATCTCTCCCACGATCTCCCACCACCACGAACATGGTCCGGTGCTGCTGAGCTAATCCATTCTCGATCTGGACCCGGATCCGGTTGTCTACCTTCTTACGAACGGTCGCCATTGTCTTTCTGCCACAAAGTAACATAAGTCACCAGCTAATCAACAAAATACAGCATAACATAAGCGGTGCTGCAAAAACAACAAAACAAGCAGCTTCAAAAGGTTAGCAGAGCATCACAACACGAAACAAGACTTCAGATTTAACAAACACAATGTTTAAAGTTATTTTTTAATAACCTGTCGGGAAGTTCTCTTTTAAATAAATCCAGCAAGTCTGTTTAAAAGCTAAAGCTATATGTTGATATACTCACGTGGAGACAGTAGACGATGGAGGACCCTAATGTGACGTCAAAATTACGCGCCAGCAGTTTGGTAAGCCGTTGTATCATATAATAGAGCAGCGCTTCAGTTTTCAAAAATGGCATTCTTTCTGCTCAACAGGGCCGATTGTAGCATCAGATGTTTTAAGGGAGGCTGAGCAGAAAGCTGCCTGGCCAGGCAACTCAACATTTTAAAGAAGAAGAAGAAAATATTTTCTATAGCGCCTCTCAAGATAAAAATCATGAGACGCTTCGCAAAAACAAAAAATGTTACAATATAAAAAATAATTTAGAAAATGGTTAAAAATACATTTAAAATGAGCAAAAATAGACAATTGTGCTTTAAAAAATGTAAAGAAAGAGAGAGAGTGAATAGGAAAGAGGGAAATCAGTGGATCCTGAGGAAAGTGGAATAGGTAGGGAGAGCAGAATAAGGAGAGTGATTAAGGTCATACAAAAGCCAGCTTGAACAGGCACATTTTCAGTTGTTTTTAAAGGAGACCACTGAGTCCACTGATCTCAGGCTCAGGGGGAGAGAGTTCCAGAGTCTGGGGGGCACAGCAGCAAATGATCTGTCACCTTTGGTCTTTAGCCTGGTGCTGCACAACCAGTAGGCTTTGATCACTGGACCTCAGGGACCCGCTGGGGGTGTAGGGACTAAGAAGATCACAATGTATGGTGGTGCTTGTCCATGTAAGGCCCTATAGACCAGAACCAGGATCTTGAAATGAACCCTGAAGTTGACTGGCACCCAGTGAAGCTGGAGGAGAAGCGGGGTGATGTAAATGTGTTTGGAGGACTTGGTCAGAAGCTGAGCACAGGCATTTTGAACCATGCAGACGGTTCAGGGAGGTTCTGCTCAGACACGTGAAAAGCAAGTTGCAGTAGTCGAAGTGTGAGGAGATGAAGGTGTGGATAACTGTCTCATATTCTTCAGAGCAGGACAGAATGGGACTCAGCTAAGCAATGTTCCTGAGATGGAGGAAGGAAGAGCGAACAAGAGAACTGACATGAGAATCCAGGGTGAGAGCTGGGTCAAAGGTCACACCAAGATTCCTGACAGAGGGAATGGTGAGAGAAGCAAGCGAGAGAGTCTGACTTTGGGAACCAGCTTGTCTGGGGCACAGATGAGGATCTCAGTCTTATCGGCATAAGGAAGGAATTTAGCCCTCTCAGGCTCAAAATAAGTTTTGATGAAAGGACGAACAACTAAGTACTTCAGCAGTACTTCTGAGTTAAAAATGCTCATGAAATACATATGTGGAGTAACCAGGTAGGTAGGTTTTAATGTTGCAAATCTGCAACGCCATGCCTCCAGAGGGTTGAGAAACTCTTTTAACTTTATAATCCAGTTCTTCTCATCTACTCCTCCTTCTCCTCCTTAATATCCATCCATCCTTCTCTGACGTAGAATGCTAAAGTAAATGACATTGTCTTGCTGTTGAACAACAACCTGCCAAGAAACCAGTGGAAGTTGGCAAGGGTAGTGGAAGTCTTCCCAGCTGCAGACAACAGGGTTAGAAAGTTCAAGCTGTTAGTTAGTATCACATTTTTGGACAACAGAGGCAAGCGCACATCCCAGCCACTTTCTCAAGGAAACAAAGAGAAAGATTAAGATTTTTAAGGCTCCATTAAGATAAGGAGGCAAACATTTTCTCTTCTCAAAGAATAAAGCCTAATTTATGTGTCTCAGTGCTGAAACATGCCATGCCATAATGCGTCAGCACAAGGGCTCCCCGACAGGTCAGGCTCACAGAGGATGACAGAGACACAAATTTTCAAATATCTGTCAAAAGTGATGGAGATGGCCAGCTTGTGATTGGTCAGGTGTTCTTCCTGACCCCCCAAAAAAGGAAGGGGCGTCACTTCCTTTAAATTAATCAACAGCACAGCCATTGCCCCGCAAAAAGTAAAGAAATATTTAGCAGCAGACACAAGTTGAAGAACTTAGCAGAAAAATCTGAAAATATGAACGTTTATTCACCCGTGACTGAAGAAACACAAAAATATAGAGCAATGGTTTTATTTGTGGACATAAATGACGGGAACAGGCTTTAGAGATAGCAATGCATGAGGAGGTGGAGGACAATGAAGGACAAATTAATATGTGTTGTAAACCCTCTGAAATATATAAACACATAAGTAAATACACTATAGTGGATCGGATACATGAGTAATACCTCAGAAAAGCGCTGCACCTCTGTTGTCCTGGTGGTGAAGAATAAGAAGAAAATACCATTTCTATAGCGCCTCTCAAGATAAAAATCACGAACCGCTTTGCAACACTCCCCAGAGGTCCAAGAGCAAAACGTCTCTGTCAATGCGTGTGCATCTCGACTCTCTTTCATGCAGAGCTGACGTAGAATCAGGCAAGAAAACAATAACAGCTTTATGACACTGGAGACTCCACAACTTCCATTATTTTCTAAATGCTATTGGAAACCAGTGTTGTTCTATGTTCTGACAGCAGAGGACGCAAATTCCCAATACTTTCAAGGCAACAATACACATATTTGGAAGTATTTAGAGGAAGTGTTTCTGCTGAGGAACGGTTTAAACTTTATAAATCCAGTTCCGATCTCCTCCATCTCTTCCTCAATATTAAAATTCCCAAGAGGACAAAAAGAAAGATAAGATTTTTAAGGCTCCATTAAGATAAGGAGGCTAAAATCTTCTCCTCTAAAAGGCTAAAAAGACACAAGTGCAGTTAAAGATTTTAGACACTAAAGGGCAGCAATTCCTCATCTTCTATTTTCTAAATGCTGTTGAAAACGAGTGTTGTCCTAATTTTTACCAGCTGGGGGCAAATTCCCCATTATTTTAAGACAACAAATGTTTGGAAATATTTAGAGGAAGTGTTTCTATTACAAAGGAACAAACAGTTTAATAAATAAATAAATGGGATTAATTTTAGGAGTGCTTCAGCACCCCCCCAAAAGCAGGCTACACCTATGCTGTTCAAAAGGACATTTTTGATGAGACTTAAACATTATCCATCCATCCATTTTCTTTAACTGCGTATCCTCGCAGGGTCACGGGATGGCTGGTGCCAATCCTAGCTGTCCCTGGGCATGCAAGCAGGGTACACCCTGGACAGGTTGCAAGTCCGTCGCAGGGCAACACAGAGACACACAGGACAAACAACCAAGCACACACACACATTCACACCTAAGGACATTTTAGAGAAACCAGTGAACCTAACAGTCATGTTTTTGGACTGTGAGAGGAAGCCGGAGCACCCAGAGAGAACCCACTCATGCAAACTCCATGCAGAAAGACCTCGGGTCAGGAATAGAACCCAGGATCTTCTTGCTGCAAGGAAAAAGCGCTAACCACTGTGCAGCCCAAGATCAACATTATTTATAAAATAATTCATAAAAATTGTATTCCAAGTTTGCTACAAAGTAATAATGTCCAAAAGTCCTTTAGAAGCTTCATTGGGCGTTTTGACATGTAATGCTTACTTACTGTAATAAGTGATTCTTGTAACTGTAGTGAATATACATGTAAACTGGGGGGTTAAATTATAATAAATAAGATGTGATGATTCTATATAAATATAGAATATCACCCTGAATGATCTTGGAATATTTAACCAAAAGAATTAGGATTCTCTGCTTATTTAAGGGATCATAAACACACTTCGTATTATTTCAGACGGAGTCAAGTGTATAATTAAAAATAAACTTTATTTTCTAGACTAATTATATAACATAAGTTATGAATAACAACATGTGATGAGTGTATGATGTGTGATGGAACATGATGTATGAGGTAATGTATAACAGAACCTTTTGTATCTGGAAGAAACAGTGCATTCTGAGTGTGAAAGAATTTGATCTGAGGGGAGATGCGCATGCGCTGACGGCCGATCACCGGACACAGCAGCGTTTGAAGCTGATGGCAGCTCGTTAGCAAACATCCACAAACAATTTAGATGCATTTTTGCCTAATTTAACTACTGACAACGAAAAAATAATCTGGTAAGTATAACTCACTCAATCTGGAGGTAAGTGAAGGAAATTTAGAAAGTTTGTTAAAATATATTGACAAAGTTTTTGAAGTTTTCATCATGGGTCCGAAGAAATCAGCAGCTGAGGCTGAAACACCTGGGACCAAGAGGAGCCGTCCTCAGGACTCGCCTGAGGCCTCATCTCCCCGGAAGGACGTATTAGAGTTATTAGATTCTATTGATAAATGGCTTCTGGGATTTGAGGGGCGACTTCATCTGCTCGAGGTTCTACACCAGGAGTTTCAGAACCTCCGAACATCTCTGGAATTCAGTCAGGAGCAGGTTGAGCGGCTCGCTGCTGAGAACGCGTCTCTGTGGGAGTCCGTTTCTTCCCTGGAAGAGAGAATGACGCGGATCGCCCAGGACAACAAGATTCTGAAGGAGACGGTTTTGGACCTTCAGGCCCGTAGCATGAGGGATAATCTGGTGTTCGCAGGCCTGCCGGAGCAGACGGGAGGGGCGGAGAACTGCGAGAAAACAATAAAAAACTTTCTCCAGATCCAAATGAAGATACCCAAAGAAGCGGTAAAAAACACCACCTTTCACCGGGTACATCGCCTTGGAGCTAAAAGAGGGGACAGCAGAAGATCCCGTCCCATCGTGGCTAAATTTGAACATTTTAAGCAGAAGGATCTTGTTAAAAGTCACGGAAGAGAGCTCAAAGGGAAAGATTTCAGCGTTAATGATCAGTTCCCTAAGGAAATTCTGGATCGGCGCCGGGTCCTCTTTCCGCTGCGCAAAAATTTTATCTAGGATGGGAAGAGGGCTGTCATCTCGGTGGATAAGCTTTATGTGGACAATAAGCTTTACAAGGAGCGAGGAGTGACTGACTGGCTGTATTAGCCCAACATCAGGTCAGACATTTATTATTCTTATCAGGATTCACTGGGTTTGATCACATCAGGATTAAACAGCTGCTAAATCCGTTTTCTAGATGATAAGATCACCTGTTCATCACCACTTCACACCCGTA